CTTTCTTTCGTGTGTGAAATTGTTAATATTTAATTCATCGTCTGTTTTATCATCACCAAGAAATGTCTCAGTAAAGCCGAAAATATCTGGCGAATTTAATTGTTTTAATAGATTGTATTTTATTTCGTCTATTTTAGGCATTAAGTGATTAACGTTAAGGTGTGCAATATGTAAACCTCGTTTTTCAAACTTAGAATTGAACAATTTATTATCTGGAAAATTTGATTTATGGAGCGTAACATTATTTAGTACTTTGCAATTATATTCATCATTTCCGTATTTATTGTATGGCACTGATTGTTCAAAAGTAAAAATTTGATTACCAGATGCAATAGTGTCTATAAATTTTCGTTCTTTTACTATCAAATCGATAATTTTTCGCGTATTTAAACATATGTGTAAAATATCAATTGTGGAATACAACATAAAATCGTAACATACATTATAAATTGATATATTAGTTTGAAAATCGCTATAAAGATCTTGTTTTAATATTGATTTATAAGTAGTTACCTCATTATGAATACAATTGTATGTTTCAAATTGTTGATTTTCACATAAGCCAATGATTTTTGGTGATTTAGAATTGTTTAAAATATGTTTAATTTCATCCAACTTTGGTAATAAATGATATATATTGAGACTGGCAATAAAAAGTCCCACTCCATCAAAAAGTAATGAGTTGGCTTCTGCATTTTGTCTTACTGCGTGTTGTTAAGTTGTTTTACATACATGTGTGTGATTACTTATTAATAAATTGTTTTTTAGATGATTCTCAGAACGAAAGCGCCCCTCATGAATACATTTAGTACATGGCGTTTCTAACAATAGCTCGGAATTATTTATGACATTCGAAGTTTTATCTTTACAATTGATATTTTCATCTAAAACATTTGTTATATATATTGAAGAGTTTGTGATATTAAAAGATCGATTCACACATAAGCATTCATCCAATACTATTTTGCATTTAATACATGTCTCATTATTATTAGTAAGTGAGATTTGAATTTTCGAATTAGTTTCATTAGAACCGATTGATATATTATTTTGAAAATCGCTATAGAGATCTTGTTTGAATATAGATTTATAAGTAGTTACCTTATTATAAATACAATTGTATATTTCAAATTGCTGATTTTCAAAATTTGAGTGCCTGTCGAATATTTCCTAATTCCTATAAGTAAGTAAGTAAATAAATATTTTATTAATGTGTCATATGTAAACATACAAGCAATGAACAAACAAGACATGTATAAACAATAGTATACACCCGGCCCAATGGGCCTATAAGACACAAACAACATGAAGACAATAAATCTGAAAACACGTGAACAACATAAAAGGTATGTTTAGATAAAAAAAAAAGAAAAAGAAGAAAGATCTTATTTATCTTCTAGCTCAAAAGAAATACTAATTTATTCTAAATAGTTTAACCACAAGAAAGTACTGTATAAGAAATTCAATGTTGTCCGTAAATATATTTGACAAATAAGAATCGAATGCCCAAAATTTACAAGTTACATTCAAGATTTGTTATCATTTGAATACGTTGAATTATTATGACAGATTTTTCATAAAATATATGTATCACCTGTTTATAGAACCTTTCACTATGGTTTATCTCAATATCTTAGTATGATTGTAACATCATGTACAAATTAAACACGTTTATTGAAAAGTTCTGAATATGTTAACGTGGTATGATTTTAAGTTCCGAGTACTTAACTTTAAACAATACTAAAACGAAAACGAAAATTTAACATTATTCAAAGTTCATTGATGGCTTAGCTTAAATTGTAATCTAAAGATAACTGACCACGTCCCTTTAATGCATTATATCTTATAGTTCATAAAAATCATGCTATACTATTTCTAAGTCGATAATAACTCTAACATACATGCTACTGTGATAAATAAGGGATTATCAAAGATTATAGAAAAACCGTTACGACTGTTCAAACCTTAATGTATATCAATAAAATATGATAATAAAGTTCAGATTACAATGTCATAAAATGTCCTAATACAGTCCAAAAAATAGTAAATATTTAAATGAATAAGTAATCACAGTTTCAGTGTCTATGAAACAAATAGTCTCTACGCCTCATATATGCCGATACTAAGAATCTAGCTAGTTTTCTAGGGTGATTCTGAACAATATGTACAAATTTGTCACTGTCTGTAAATTGGGTTAATTGATCATTTGAAAAAATCTCACTTAAATGGTTGAGTCTTATATCATGGTACACGCTACATTTTAAAACGAAATGCATTTCATCCTCAATTGATTCTGGATCACATTATGTGCATAGCCTCTGTTCTGGTAATTCACCGACATATCTTCCTGTTTCTACACGAATTGGAAATATACCGCAGCGCATTTGTGCGAGTAATGAACGTTCGTTTCTTTTTAGGTTGAGTTTAAGGCATGATTCTTGATCGAAGTTATTTTTAAAGAGTCTATATGTTCTGAGTTTAGAAAATTGAGTCAATTTCTCGCTCCACTCTGACTTATAATGATTTTCAATAGCCGATTAAACGATCATTAAATTCACTGGCGTACGATTGTTAAAATGTTCTACCAAGCCTATTTTTTAAAATATATCCTTGATTTCACTACACCAATTGTTATGACAATTACGATAATCCGTGTTAAATACGTGTTTTGTGATTCTATTTTCGTCCATTGTGATAACCCTGTTCCATATTCTTATCATGTTAATCCATCGTCTTTGATTTGTTGGTATCCATCCAATGTCTCACGTAATTGCCAGAATAGGTGCGAATCTGTGGACTCCCATGTAGTGTCTAATAGCACGATGCTGTACATTATCAAGCGATTGGTATTTTTTAAAACCCCAAACACCTGAACAATAGTCCATTTTAGGCACGACACATGACTTATAAAGCTTTTCGAATGTTTTACAACCAAAGTCTTTCATTTCTCGCATTTTTGCAATAATTTTACCGAGAGCTAGACCGGCACTTTTAGCTAGCAATTGCGCATTCATGGTGAAATCATGGTTACTGCGAAAGGTTACGCCAAGATACTTGTAGCTGTCAATAAACTCTAGTACATTTTCACCAACTCTGAATTGAAAATCCGTACGTGCTGATCGTCCTTTCCGGAAGTAAATGCATTTGGTCTTCTCAGTATTAATAAGTACTTGCCACCGTCTACACCAATCACGAACTTTGACTATAATACGTTGGAGGTCCTCCTCAGATTTTGCGATACATACTATATCATCTGCATATAGTAACATCGAAAGCTTCCTTCCGTCTATGTTAAATCGACCTCCTTCACTAGATCATTTGCGAAAATGGAGTATAATGTCGGGGAAGCCGAATCTCCTTGCTTTACTCCAGTAGTACATGTGAACCAGTCTGTTAACTTACTATATATTCTAAAGCTATTCTGTCCATAATAATTCCAAGTCTGTCTCCCCCATAATGCATCGCGGCGTTTCTCGTCTGCACAGAACAGTCATCCGATATGTGATCACCAGTTATATACCATTTTGTTGAATTCGTCTTCCCCTTCCCGCGGAACTCTGTGATACATGTGCGTTTTCAACATGCCTTTTATGTTTTATTATTTGTACGCACTTATTTATTGTAGCCACTAATGTCCTGGAACCATGCATGTTTAGGTGTATTCCATCGCTGGAGAAATATTGCTCCACCGTATCTCCATTGCCGTATACAAATGCTTGATATGTTTCAATCAAATAAGCCCCAGTTTCCTGACATATCCGACGAATATTCCGATTTAACTGGCTAATATCTACATCCTGTCTGGGACAAACAGTACAAAGAACAAGAGCTGTCGGTAGGACAGCACGCTCGACTATTCTAAGTGATAGTAAAAGAGCCTTTATAATGTTAAATTTTTTAAGTTCACAAAAGGGCTAATTTTTTTCTTATAAATTCATGTTATAGGCCTTAGAGAGAGTATAATTATACAGTATTGGCTTGACTATTCAGAAGGTAATGTCACAAGGGTGTTTTATTGAGTATAATAATACTAATTACCTATGAATACATAAATTTGACAGACAAGGTACAAAGGCTTGTTATTAAGATGTTTTATCAAGTAAATCACTGCTTTATTATTATGAATGCATAAAATTGTCCCAAAAAAAGGCACAAACCCTTCAGTAGTTATTGAGACAACAGCTTACAAGCAAAACTATATCTTTGAAGACCTTTAACCAAAATTTCTAAGTTTCAAAGGGGCAAATAATTCTGCAAATATTGCAGGCAGAGTTATGCAATTTTGCAAACTGATGTACATTGTTACTATAAAAGAGTATTTTAAATTTCAATTGAATATCTCAAGCAATAATTGAGATATTTGACTTTAAAAAAAAACTTTAACCAAAATTTCTAAGTTCCAAAGGGGCATAATTCTGTCAATATTGTAGGCAGAGTTATCCAACTTGTCAATCTGATGTACCTTGTTACTATAAATAAGTATTGTAAGTTTCAATTGAATATCTCAAGCAATAATTGAGATATTTGACTTTACAAAAAAACTTTAACCAAAATTTCTAAGTTAAAAAGGGGCATAATTCTGTCAATATTGTAGGCAGAGTTATCCAACTTGTCAATCTGATGTACCTTGTTACTATAAATAAGTATTGTAAGTTTCAATTGAATATCTCAAGCAATAATTGAGATATTTGACTTTACAAAAAACTTTAACCAAAATTTCTAAGTTAAAAAGGGGCATAATTCTGTCAATATTGTAGGCAGAGTTATCCAACTTGTCAATCTGATGTACCTTGTTACTATAAATAAGTATTGTAAGTTTCAATTGAATATCTCAAGCAATAATTGAGATATTTGACTTTACAAAAAACTTTAACCAACGCAGACGCCGACGCGGACGCTGACGCCGACGCCGGGGCGACTACAATAGCTCTCATATTATTCGAATAGTCGAGCTAAAAACTCTGCGTTGTTGTTCTTGCAGCTTTACAGTTATTTCCAACAGTTCCTGGTAGGACGTCTCGTGACGTTTGCCGCCACTAACGTCATTTCCGCCTACATGTATTATGACGTTAGAATATGGTCCCATATCCAAATTGTCAAGGCTGTTTGAAATGTCTTTTATTTTCGCTCCACTGCATTTCTTGATATCTATTTTATCATTCAATCCTTTTTGTTGAATCCCCTTTATCACAGAATCACCAATTATAAGAGTCTTTTCTCTCGGTGGTGTTTCTTTCTGCACTGTTGAAGTAATTTCTGACGAACGCCTGTTTTCACCGGACTTCTGTTTTTGTGTATATGCATTTTTCACTGTATCTGTGATTCGTTGCAATTTTCTAGATAATGAATCGTTGTTTTTTTCTATGTTTTGTTTCAATATATTTGTAGCTGTATTAATTTCTTCAAGCTCTGATTTTGTCATTGTATACGCACCGGTCTCAAATATCGACAGTAAGTACACAATGCAATGTTACAATCATTACTTGTTAGGCATTGAATCTTGATAAAACTGTAGCCAGTAAAAGTTGTTGAAATCTTAAATGTTGTTTGCGTTATAATTTCAATGATAGTAAATACTCCGCTCAGGTTGATAGTTAAATTGTTTTGATGATAATGTCACTACAGAGACTATCTCTAGGTTGTGAATGGATAATCAAAACTGTGCTTTTTTTCTAATTTTATATTAAGCAAGGCTTACTATATTATATGATTTAACTAAATTATTTTAATTGTCTGCATTATAAGGTGAATCGTATTTAAAAAGAGATAACTGTATAAAATCAAGATATATAGGCCTACGCATCTCGCCTTATGTTTTATCATGTCATTCAATTATATGAGGGAAGTCATATTTCATCAGTGTCAAGATATACGAGGGTCAAACGGGCAAAATTCAAAACTGGCACTACTCTTACAGATGAACAAGGAGTAAATGAAACAAAGCCGGGACATAATCCTTAATTGGTTTTTAGACAGCAGTGGTACATTTTATACATAGGAGCATGACTGCTACACTGAAACTTTTTCTTCAATACCCGCATAACCACTTGTCCAGCCAGACCCCTATTGTTTTATGGACCCCCTGCTGTTATTATGAAGGTAATCCGAATCGGTAGTAACAGCGCATGTTTATGGTATTTAATGACACATGGACACTTACAAATTGTCTGCCGATCGATTTAATAATTGAAGAAAATAGGCAATCAGCAAAAGTTTATAACATTTAAAACTATGAAAATTTATAGACATGTGATTTTTTAGAAATAAAATAAAAACAAATAAGCATTAAATTAGCCACTAAAATAACAACAACTAGAATGGACATACAAATTGCTTGGAACATTTGCATAAGAGCCTGGGAAAATAAATGACTAAATCTACTAAATGATTTTCTTATCAACATTTCCTGATGTATGAAGCTCTAATTCTTGCATTGGAAGCGGGCTTATTAAAGCCCCGGCCCGGCTAATAGGTGTTCAGGTGTAAAAATGCAGATTTTTTTATAAGTAATAATGAATAATAAGGGATGTTTATCACTGATTCAAAGAAGAACAAGAGCTGATGCTCCCAGATTTTTTTATAAGTAATAATGAATAATAAGGGATGTTTATCACAGATTCAAAGAAGAACAAGAGCTGATGCTCCCAGAACAGGATTTGGACACAGAGAAACTTCTTATTGATTCTCAGTGTAAAAATGAACAAAGGGCAATAACTCTGATATAAAGCAAGGCAAAGTTACAGTGTTAATGCACTACACTTCTACTTTATGAGATCTAATTACATACAAAGTTTTTTGTTGATACCTCTTGTAGTTTCAGAGTTATGGCCTGGACAAAGTTTAAAGTGAGAAAATGAACAATGGGCACTTACTCCAAAATAAAACAAGGCAGAGTTCTTTTGCAATGCACATCTACTCAATGAAATCTATCTACCTACTAAGTTTCCTGTTGATACCTCTTGTAGTTTCAGAGTTATGTCCTGGACAAAGTTTAAAGTTAGAAAATGAACAAAGGGCACTTACTTCAAAATAAAACAAGGCAGAGTTACAGTTCTTTTGCAATGCACATCTACTCAATGAGATCTATCTACCTACTAAGTTTCTTGTTGATATCTCTTATAGTTTCAGAGTAATGTCCTGGGCAGAGTTAAAAGAAAGGGCAATACTCCAAAATTAGACAAGGCAGAGTTAGGGTTCTTTTGTAAAGCACATCTACTCAATGAAATCTATCTACCTGCAAAGTTTCTGGTTGATACCTCTTGTAGTTTCAGAGTTATGTCCCAGACATGAAAAGGGGACAGACGAACATCCGAACAAAGCAGCAACTATATGCTCTCCATTTGGAGAGCATAAAAGTTCAAAACATTAATACCAACCCAGAGCCATTTAAAAATGAACACATAACAGTAACAAACCAGAAAATTTTAAAGAAAACACCCAACTTCAGAATTATTTTATGGAACACTGGACAACCATTCATCAAAATGATACCAAAGAAAGACAAAAAGGAGACAAAACAAATAACAGAAATGCATTTTAACTAGCCCATACCTATTTCACCCCTACCCAGCAAACTTACCAGAATGGAAACATCACCAAAATTATCAAACACTTTTATGCCAAAACAAATGCTTCATGCTCCGTATTGATAATGAACTTACACTTAGTATCCACAGTGATTAGGATATTTTAGTCTGCTAAATAATTTTCTAATAAAAAGCAAAAAAAAACAAAAAAAACACACACACACACACACACACACACTAGAAATTTGAAAGATCTTGCACACACAAAGACCAACAAAAAACAATCTAATACTTCACTCCAAATATTTGGAAATATGCCAACTTTTAATATATTTTTAGTAACATTTCTTCTAACAGTAATTAATCCTGTTTGGATAATTTAAGGGCTGAATTTCCATATTGTTTTTATTCTGAAGAAGGTGATGATATCACTGAATCTGGTAGATTTTTAAATTTGATTCAATTTTACCAGATGTTAGACATGTTGTTCTTCATTCCACAGCTTTAATTAAAGCCAGGTTCATTACTATTTTTTAATTAATTTATTTGTTAATTTAAAAATAGTTATCATTTACACAATCTCAAAATCTCAGAAGTTAATTTAGTTGATTCATTATTCATTTAATAACTAGTTCAGCATCTTCGCTTGTAAAGAAGATGAAAATTCTTCGTGATAGTTCTTTCCCTACACGTCTTGTTGTTTCTAAGACACCAGCCCCTCTTCTCACCTGAAAACATAAACAAAACTACTCTTCATAGGGAGATTGAAATAACAAGTCATTTTCAGTCAAGTGAACATATAATTAGCTCATATTTTAAAGTAAACAAAACAAAACAAGAGATTGTCACAGACAATGTAGCAGACCCCTACTGGTATACTCTAGTCTGATTCTCTACCTTAAAGCTATAACTTTATAGGATTTGACTTTAGATTTTTTAGAGTATGTCCAATAATTGTAGGATACTACGTCATCCTGCTGAATCCTCTCAATAATCTGTCCACTAGCAAGTACAATAATTTATTATGTTTTTATTATAAGAAATCATTTAAGAAAAGAATGGCTACTGTATAAAAAAAGTTTACTGTTAAGTTGCAAAAGTTTAGTCAAAAAACAACAACACACACCTAACAGTAAATCATATTGTATAACATCTTGAGAATAATTTTCAGATATCAAAGCATTGAGTGATGTTATGATTTATTAGAATTAATTTGCATATTTCTATTCAAGTTAATATTTCGCATGTTTTGTTAAAAAATAAAAATGCTTCCAGTCCAACTCAATTTTAGAAATGCTCCAACACTAACTCAGAATTTTACATGTAATATTTTACATATTAAGATCAAAGACATGGCAATCAAATATATCTCTGTTAAAGTCTTTTTACAGATTGTGAGATTCGTCTGAAATTGAGGCTACCTGTGGGGTGGGGGATTTTGATATTCAAGTTAATACTTAAGAAATTTCATTTAAATTTGTATTTAAGCATAAAATAAAAAGAAAATTTGTTTGTTGTGTAAGATGTAATTTTAACTTTAAAATCAGTATTCTTACTCCTGGCTAAACCATTTGTGAGCATACTGTTTATAAAGCTCACTCAATGAAATATAATTACATTTTACACGAAAATAAACAAATATCCTCTATATGTCTTTGATGGACTTCAGAATATTTAAATAAAGCAGTGTACAATATTGTCTGGTTTAACAATGAACAAGCTCTCCTGGCTATATACTGGTGTTAAAGATATTGATGTCATCATTACTGCTAGCAATATAAAATTTAAAGTTAAAAAAACTTACAACAATATTTTCAAGGAGTTTGACAGCTTCTTTTTCTGTTGAACATTTCTGATATGCCTGAAAATAGGAAGAAAACCATAAAACAATAAATAAACCAGAGGATCATGATGGCCCTGGATCACACACATTGCTTGAAAAGGTCAAACATTTTAGTTTTCAATGTTAAAGACAGTAATTTGGTCACATTTGGTTTTCGTCAAAGCTGAAAAACTTTTTTTTAAATATTTGGAGATGTCTGCTTTGAAATGCTACATGACAAATATGTCCAATGCTCTTGGAATTGCAATTTCACACAAGAAGACTAAAAGTAATTTTCCTATAACTACTTGACCTCCTGAGTGCAAAACAGTTTTGACCCAAGCGGCCATGATTTATAGGAAGTTTAAGAGGACTACCAGTTGATGCTTCATACCAAATATCTATGCTCTGGGCATTGTTGTTTTGGAGACAAGGTTTTCTAAGACATTTTTCACTGTAAAGTTTATATAAACTAAGTGCCTCCAAGGGTCGGACTATTTTTGACCCAGGGGCATGACTTATACATGTTCTATAGAGGTTCACTAGGCAATGTCAAAAATCAAAGCCTTGGGTACTGTTGTTTCTGAGAAGAAACTTAAATGTATTTTGTCAATTCATGTCAATATAAACTCAGTGACTCTAAGGTTGGGCAAACCCCAGGGGTGATGATTTATATTACTTTTGTTAAGGATCCCAAGGTGATGCTATATCATATGCAAAATATTTAAGCGCTGGGAATTGTATTTTCAGAGAGTAAGAATTTTTGGACATTTTTATAAATACAAGTCTATGTAAACTAAATGTCCACCCTGGGTCATTTTTGACCTAGGGGTATGACCGATATAGTTTCTGAGGTCCAGCAGGCAATGCTACATACCAAATATCTAAGCTCTTGGAATTGTAGTTTCACAAAAGAAGACTTATAACTATGTCCCTATACAAGTATATATAAGCAAAGTGTCCCCTTGGTCCTTTGACAGGGTAAATTCTGATCCGATGGACAGACAGTGGAGACAAATGACGACAACACTTAAAGTTTCAGATTGTGACAATAAATGAACAGTTGAACATTCTCAATCAGCTGACATTATGGGGTTATTACTTTGATCTTCTTGATCTGTTAAACCTCACAAGTAACATTTTTTATAATAGAGGCAACTAAAGTACCCCTAAAGTATCTATGATCAACAAACGTTCACAAACCTTTCTAAGTAGTAATGGACTAGGGTATTCAGCAATGATTGCCTGTGCTATATCGGGACTTATATTCTTGAATTGTAAAAGTTGTTGTTTCCACACTTTCAATAAACCAACCATATTCTTTTCAACCTTTACTCCACTTGTGCCCTCCTCAAGAAAAGAAAATACTGGATCAAATCTGTCTTTTCTGTAAAAATAATTATGTTTCTTACATAGATGACAGTCATAAAATCTATTCTAACATAAAATTATGCCCAAAAGATTTGTTTGAGAGATCAATATGCTCCAGACAAAAATTAAACAGTCATGAAAAATAACAAAAAGCAATAATTAACAAAATTGATGTTCCCCAAACCTGCACATTTGTAAATGTATTCAATACACAAAAGTTAGCAAAGGCAATAGAAGGAAGAGTGTAACAAGTATATCACTGTAGGCAATAGATACTCAGGTCTCCATACAGTAAATTAACATTGTTAACCATGAATGAAAAGCAGAAATAAGGTCTAATATAAAACTGTTATCACAAAGTTCATACATGTATCTGAAATAGTAAAAATTTATGGTTACTAAGGTTGCTATGAGAAAGCATTTAAGTTAAAATTTAAGCAAATCCTTCAAGGGGTAAAGGATAAAGAAATTGTAAGAAATTTAACCTTAAAGAGTGACCTTAACCTTGAGTTGACAGTTTATAAGGTTTTCTTCCTTTTTTTAACTAATATTATGGGTAGAATGGATTTTGAAGCATTATATGTTTACCTAGATGGACAGACAAGAAACCATAACATATAACAACCCAAGTTATCAATGGCTGTATAAAATGTGTAGTATTTCACAATCTCAATATTTCTTACTTAGCAACTCTTTCAGCAACAGCTTTCGAGAATCTTCTAACCATGTCGGCTACATCCTCTGATGTGTCAAGCATTACAGTAGTACAACCATTATGAAGTAATGAATATGTGACTGCTTCCTCCACATCCACTTGAGACACTGTAACTAGTCCAGATCTTCCCTTCCCTTGTTTACTTTTGTCACATGAATTAGATGATTTAACTTTGTCTCGGTAATGTGCTTGTGTCTTGGATTTCAACTCTCTGCAAGCATAAATAATGTTTAACATTAGATCCCTAAAAAACATCAGTTCATCTACTACGTTATGAAATATTACAAGAGTACTGCCAAGCGGTGATCATGCTTTTTCTTATTTGAGCCGTGTCATGACAAAACCAACGTAATGGGTTTGCGACCAGCATGGATCCAGACCAGCCTGCGCAAACGTGCAGTCATATCAGGATCCATGCTATTCCCTTACCAACTCTATTACAAATGGAGAAACTGACAGCGAACAGCATGGATCCTGATCAGACTGCGCGGATGCGCAGGCTGGTCTGGATCAATGCTGGTCGCAAATGCATTACGTTGGTTTTGTCGTGACGCGGCTTATTTCTCAAGTGGAAGAGGAAGAATATTGTAGGAAAGAATATTCCTAGAAAACATGATTTTCTCTGACAAATTATAACACAAATTTCATATTGAACTCTACTGTCAATGCCATTTACAAATCAAAGTCATCCTTAAACTATTCAACATGTCGGTGTTGCCAAGTGTTGTTTTGTCCCAGGATAAATCAAATCTGCCCACTATAGTAGATGATAACAAATTAAGCTAAACTTAAGAGCCATCGTCAGACTGGGGCAATGTTGACTTTTTAAATTTTTCTAAAAGCAAACAAATAAAAGGCTTAAACAAATCTTTAAAAGACAAGAGCGGTCAGTGATCATGTGCTGCCTCATGTTAGCCAATTGCATGTTGAAGCTACTGTGAAGTAGGAGAGAGAAAAATCTTCAACTGGGCAATCATGTTTTATATTCAATGGTCATAACTCAACCAAAAATCATTTAACCCAAAAACCCATTTAATATGAACAAGTACTTAAGATACTTATCAATCCTGTAAATTTTCATTTAAATTGCATTAGTAGTATAAGAGATGAAGTCCAAACAAAACTTTAAAAAATAAAAATCATTTAAGGGCCGTAACAAATATCATTGAACCTGAAATGCAGAAAAACACAATACTAAACATGGTATTCATCATTCCTGTAAAGTTTGGATAAAATTGCGACAGTAGTTTCTGAGCAGTAGTCTGGATAAGTTTTGTGAAGGACGAAAGGACAAACAGCGAAGGCAAAAACAATATATCTCCCAACATTTTTGGGAGACATAATAACTCACTGCTATGGCTGTTCAGCAACACAATAAAACATGTTTTTTAAGGGCATATAGTGTTCTTATTGTATGTCTAAAACTTATACCTACTTGAGGTACTGCTGTAGACCAGGAACAACAATCGTGATATTTTTATCAGGCTGACAAGTTCTTATATGTTCGATATGGTCTTTGAATGAAACACCTTCTATACTATCACCTCTCTGTTTCTGTAATTACAATAAAATGAAATATTTGTTTTTGTTACATGAAACTTCATTTTTTTTTTATTTAATAAACAAGAGGGCCATGATGGCCCTGAAGTCGCTCACCTGTATATAGGCCCCCGGAGCAGGGCCAGTTTAAACCCCAGGGCTTTTATTTGAACAAACTTGGTAGACACCCATTAGAAATTCATGCTAAACATCTAAGGTCTAGCTCGTTGGGTTTTTTAAAAGAAGATTTTTTCAATTTTTTTCTACAATCTTTGTAGACACTATAAATTGTCTCATGCTTAATATCTAAACTCTAGCTATTCGGGTTTTTTCAAAGAAGATTTTTAAGTTTTTGCTATACACATATAAGGAAAATCAATATCCCCCCAGGCCGGCCAATTTTGACCCCAAGGCTTTTATTTGAACAAACTTTGTAGACACTCACTAGAAGATGCTTCATGCTTAATATCTAAACTCTAGCTATTTGAGTTTTTTCAAAGAAGATTTTTTAAGCTTTTGTTATACACATATAAGGAAAATCAATGACCCCCGGAGCGGGGCCAATTTTGACCCAAGGGCTCTTATTTGAACAAACTTGATAGACATCCATTAGAACATGTTTCATGCTGAATATCTTAGCTCTAGCTCTTTGGGTTCTTTAAAAGAAGATTTTTTAAGCTTTTGTTATACACATATAAGGAAAATCAATGACCCCCGGGGCGGGGCCAATTTTGACCCAAGGGCTCTTATTTGAACAAACTTGATAGACATCCATTAGAACATGTTTCATGCTGAATATCTTAGCTCTAGCTCTTTGGGTTCTTTAAAAGAAGATTTTTTAAGTTTTTACTATATGTATATAGGGAAAATCAATGACCCCCTTCACTTTGTGACAGGTGAGCTAAAAAAATTCTTATATGATTTTATTTCTTAGATTATGTTTATCAACCAATCAAGTATCAAACATGTTTTACTGTCTACTTATTGTATGTCTCCAGTAAATGGTGATTTATTTACTTGGAGAGTCCTCAGTCACTTTTGAAATATCAAACTGAGGTGTCCAAAGGTTCTTCCATTTGGTAATAGATAAAAACCTCAAGGTGTACATCTATGTAGGCCACCAGAGATACTTCTATAGGGGAATGGGTTAAAGCTAAACTCAAACACAAATACAAAGAGGAACACATAGAAAGTGACTTTACAAATAAGATCAACTATGTAGATTTGGCAGAGCTTTTGATATGCAGGATGAATGCTTTACTCTACCATGACAAAAGTGCTGGCATCATGGCCAGGTGGTTAATGCATCAGACTCATGCTTATATGATTTTTAATTATACCATACACATGATTTACTGCAGAATAACCTGATTTATTATGTGAGTAATCAATAAAAAAAATTACAAGTACATATAAAACAGTCAAATACACCAGCTTTACACTTCAGGACCTATTTTAAATTTCCTTCATTGTTGCAAAACATTTATATTTACATCTTTTTTTCAAATGGAAAGACAATGTTTTCTAATGTCCGTATACAAATAATGGTCTGTGCAACTGTCTGATTTTATGTAATGAACCCAGTTTACTATATATAAATAAAATACATGATGTCGGATTCCTGGCAAACTAAGACATTGAACAACTGTGAAGATCTAAACAGACACATTCTATTCAGCTCTTCTATGCAGGGCACAGCTGACAATTCCGTCCAAGCCATTTTAAGCATGTTTAAAACCTCACTTGTTGTAATATACCTGGTGTTGTTTTATTAGGTCATTATGTTCATAGGCCTTGAACTTTTAGACTACTAAACAATGGTAAGAATTTGCTTTTAAAGTTGCATGCACTTACTGATTTACACTCAATATAAAGTATAATGAATACCAATTTTCCCTTAAAAGTTTAATACACAGAGCTGAGATAATGGCCTTTGCAAATGTTACATCTTGATTCTGGGGAACTTGCCATTTACTTTTGCCTTGCATAAATTTTCTCTTGTTACCTGTTTGAATGTGTTGACCATGTTACCTGTTTGAATGTGTTGACCATGTTACCTGTTTGAATGTGTTGACCATGTTACCTGTTTGAATGTGTTGACCATGTGTACAAAGTCTGTCACAGGAATAACAACCAGCATTTCTTGTTCTTCAGTTTCAATTTGAGCTGTCTCTAACTGTAAACAAAGACTGCATTTGTGAAATCTTGCACCCCAAGTAAGAGCTTTCTATTTATCATTCCTCTATAGTTTTATCAACATCTTCTAAATTGTTAAAGAGGAGATATAGTTTACACTTTTTCTATTTTTAGCACTAGTGTCCTTCTTATTCAGAAGATGGGAACCAAATCAGCAATACAAGGAACATTCTTGTATAATAGTTTCATCACTATGAGTGAAGAAGTTAAGGAGAAGATATTGTTTAAGTAAAAATGTAAACAACAGATGACAAGAGCTATCACAATAGCTCCCGTTGACCACAACAAGATGAAAATAAAAGGTTTGTTAGCCAACTGCATGGTTGACAAGCTGTTCTAGTATTCAAACATACCTTATTATCAGCTGACAATTTGCACTCTGTGACCTGTCTCAGCCAAATTATAGTAAATGGCACAGGTAACTCCTTGGTTTCACATGTAACTCCCAATTCATTACATGCCTTGAACAAATCCATACCCAGTCCACATTCATTTACTATGTTGGTATCTATGAGTACTTTCATGTACTGAAATGTTTTAGTAATAAGTTAAGTAACCAAAAACAACAGTTAAACACAAATTCATCTGATCTGTATGAGGGACCATACTCCCCCAGAAATAAAAAAGATAATCCAGAGTTATGGGACATGTGCCCATCATGTTAGATAACCACAAAGCTAGATATCAGCAGTTAAAATTTATTTTTGTTATAAATACCTCTGGATTTAAAATTTAACTTGGATATTTACTTATAGAATATGAATTTTAAACTTGCTACATTTCTTCTATCTATAATATACAATATTCAGATCATAATGCATCAACACATGGGATATTAACAAATCAAAATATTTTAAGTATGACAGAAGTGTCAGAATATGCAAAGAAAATTAAATTGTATATTGAGAAAGTAGGTTACAAGTCTGAAAAATTAGCTTCGTATTTAGGTGAGGACGATGACAAGATTATCCAACAAAATTTAGAAATTTGACCTTAAAGGTCCAGGTCATTTATGAATGAAAGTCAAGGTTAGTCTGTTCTACTTGAAGGTCTTGTCCCAAGGGTTGTTGTGGCTAAGTATGAAGACAATACACTAAGAACTAAAAAGTTTTGATCAAAAGATTAGGACGGGAACGCCAACATGACTTATACAATAACTCTATTTTTTTTCAAAGTCAAGCTGAAAAAATACATGTAATTTCACAATATTAAAAATAAATTTTAAAGGTTTACAAGATTACAATTATACAAACTTTCAAGCAAGAGCCCAAAGCAAACTGTTTCTTTGATTCTCTCTCAACTTTTCTCATCTCTTTTTCAGATTCTTTAGCTGCTTTTAATTTATCTCTCTCCTCTTTCTTTTCCTGAAATAAATTTTTTGTTGTCTTAATAGGACAAAACTCCCCTAAAATCATTCATCATCTTTTCATTTTTTTTCATAGTTAAAATAATCATTTATTTACGAAACTATTCTGAAATTTTTGTATGTCTATAAGTTATGGAATACAATATATACAATGTTGTCAATCTAATCTGTTCTGTAACAGAAAATTCCGAATCAATCTGTAGTAACAAGCAATTTCATCGGAATGGATATCCCCAAGCCTCATGATACAAGTCATTTTATTATAGATATAAAGTTTAAAGTATTGTAGTTTTAACAATCAAGTGTTCATTAATGTGATCAAGTTTGAAAAAGTATCCATTCATTAATAGAAAAGTTATAGCCAGTTTTAGCAGAAATGTAACAAAATTCAATAATTTGACCTTAAATGTAAAGGTAATTTATGAGTCAAGGTTAAGTTCTGTTTGGTTTTCCTGAAGATCTTGTCCTGAACATTCAATGTCAACTCCAAGTACGAAGAGAAGCCATTCATAAATAACAAAGTTATAGCCATTTGTATCCAAAATAATGTAAAATTAAAAATTTGACCTTTATCATGGTGAAGGTCATTTTTGAGTGAAGGTCAAGGTCAGTATGGTCGACTTGAGGGTCTTGTCTAAAGGGTTGTTGTGCCATTTAAACATGCCATGTATTTTAGTTTTATAATGTAACATAATTATATCAACAATAATTTCGCCTTGAAATTTTAAGCTAAACAAGAGAACATTGCTATGTGGTTTTATTTATATTTAAACCATGCAATATGATAATGAAGCCAAAAAGTTAAGAATTTGCTGGTGCATTAAATGTTTTTGACAACCAGACCATTTAACTGTCTAAGCTTTAAACCAACCATCATTTTTTGACATTTTTAGCTTATTGTACACAATTATTATTAGAGATCATAACAGCTGTCTAAGTTACACTCATATAATCATGGTAAATTTCTGTCATGATTACCTGAGCCTTTCTTTTCCTCTCTTGTATTTCTTCAGCTGTTCTTTTCTTCTTGGATTCAACTTCATTACTTTTACTAACCTCTACATGTTTATTGTTTACTGAAAGTTTATCAGACTGAGTTTTTATTTTAGGGCCTGTTTCAATGTCAGTGATGTCAGATAGCTCTGTCTGAAAAGATTTTCCTGAGACACAAGAAACTGGCTCATACTCAAGTTCACCTACAGGACTAACACTGTCATTGTTCATATTAACATCATTCCAAGACTGTGGAATGATACCGCAATTATTGGATGCACTATGTTGTCCATTTAACTTTTCTTCTTGATTTAAGTCAGTGTAAGCTGGCTGTGGCACTGTCTCAATACTACTGGCACAAGATGACAGTTTACTAAATTGTCTTTTTCTGACTAACCTATCTCTTAGACTACCAAGCTCAGGAAGACTGTCATCATCACTGGAAGAGCCATCTGATATGAAATCTTTTCTACAAGTCTGTTTTTTCATCTTGATATTGCACAAACCTAAAATTTATAGAAACAAATATAATGTATGTGAAAAGATTAAGGCCCAAAATAAGCATTAAAATAAACATTAAACAACACTGTGTCAGAGTTCCAGATAATGTGTGCATCAACATATTTTACACTTCAATCTTAACGGTAACCAAAAATGCACAAGGTTACAATCTTGCTGTGTACACGCATACATGTACCTTGCTATTCAATATATTCCAAGTTCCATATAGAGATTTCTGTGAAGTAATTAAAATTAAAGTTGCAATTTTAACTCATTTATCTGGATATTTTACTGATATTTTTAAAAACAAGATTTCGTTTGTGAAAAATGCTATGCAACCGCATTAATACAACACTAAATAATATTGTAGGAAGACCCCCGAACAGAAGATTTTTTTGTTTGTTTCTGTACAATTGAACTTTGCCATAATGCAGTTGAGTCTAGTGAATTTGGTGGTCAAGGTCATATTTCACATGGCCTTAATTTCATGACTGTACATCAAAGGACAAGGCAGTTGTCAAAATCTAGGTCAGCTGATATCAAAGTTCAATTTACATCTTAATCTGTGCACATGGTTCAAATTTCAGAGCTGCATAGCTGTACCCCCCCCCCCCCCCCCCCGGCCAATTTTAATACAAGGGGCTAAATTTGAACAACTTTAGTAAAGGACCTATAGATGATATTTCATAATACTGCACGTTTGTAACGTCGCTTTTCACTGGATAATCGTGACGTTTATATAGTTTTATATACCAGGGACGTAACTAGGCGTACTCCTGTACGCCCGTGCGTACAAATCAATCCTGTATTCAAAAAAATCACATGCGCTAAATGTTCTAAAAAAGTGATAAAAACATAGGGGGTAGAGTGGTCGGGGCACATACAGGCCTACTGTCTCTTTCGACTTAATCATTATATGAATATTTCATAACATATAGAGCGGGTTAGGGTATTTCTGAACACGTGGTAGTTTCTGAACACTGTCATATTTTAGTGTTAAATGAACATTGTTCTGAGATTTTAACTCAGAATTATGAAATCAAGCCCACCCCTTTCTACTTCCGGTAATTTTTTTGCAGACGCTGCCCAAGGTGAGTTTTATTTTTTGAAAAATATATTTGAAGTCATCGTTTTAACACCTTTACCCGGGTGTAGATTTTCCAGGGTAAGCCTGGAAGAGAGGCTGGTAAACCCTGGAAAACTGTGGAAAAGCATGGAATTCCATGGAAATTCATGGAAAATTGGTATTTTTTCCATGCTATATGGACTTTTTTTGTCCAGCCATTTCCAGCATTGCTGGAATAGGCTGGAAATTGGCTGGACATTTGTGGTAAAAGTCTGGAAAACCATGGACTTTACTTCCATGTAGCATGGAAAGTGGAACTTAGATTTTTTTGATGCTGGAAATGTGTTAAACTTTCTCTAAGTATGCTGGAAAAAACTTGTAAAAATTACAACAAGAAAATTCTTACTTTATATATTCAGCTCAATATTGTAAATTTACGAAGAAAATATAAAATCATCATTTATTTTAATACAAGTTACTGTAAATGATTTGAAATTTCACACTTTATACATTTCATGTAGTTGGAAAAGGGTATCTCAGAAAAAATGTCTATGCTAAAGACATAAATGAATTGATTGTTAAATACATATTATTATTATGAAGTTATGTACAATGAAATAATATCCATTTAATTACAGGCTTTAAGTTTAACTATAAATTAATTAAAGTCTGTGATTCTATCATTTAGACACTATAATAATCAAGATGGGATTGCATTGCTTGCCATTTTTAAATTCTAAGAATTCATGTTTTTGGATAACAATAAATAAATCAATAAATAAACAAAACAAAAACACTGCATGAAAGAATCTCATATATATTCTATATTAAATTGATCAATATATATTGCTTTTATTTAGGAAAATAAATACTACATCCACTGAGATTTTACGCTACACAGATCAGAGCTCTAATAAAACTCATTGACCAGCATTTTCCCAACCATCTGTGTATGCCTAATTTACTCCACTGGTCATTCCGACAGATCAGGCTGTTCCATGTGATTATTTTGGGGAGAGATAGAATTATAAATTTCACATGCAGAATGTGTCTAGAAGGACATTGCAATCTTTTTTGTACAAAATTTTGTAATGATCTTTAAAATCTATATTATATATTAGCTATTTGATATTTTCTTTTACGCTCAAAGAATAAAAGTTAAAATGATGAGTAGATTAACCCTGCTTTACATAATGATAGACCTGTCCAGTAACTGTTGTAAATTTTGAATTCTAAGATATCTGGGTCAGCAAAGAGTGCAAATTACAGAGGATGTACTTGATATTTTAGCAGTTTTGGATATATTGTTTTGTTAAAGATTTTAAAGAATTTAAGTATTGGTATGATAACAATCAGAATCACCTGGGACAAGGAGATATACAACAGAATCAGGTATTTATAAACCTTAAGTAACAGGTTATATATCAAACTATCAACATTTGTAACAAGAGATCAAGGTTGTTTTTATATTTTCAACTTCATGCATTTGTTTTTCTGATAATTGTTTTTAATCTATACATGTATAATCTGTAAAATATAAATTATTCAATGATTTCTTTATAATGATTGTGTATATTGTTTAAATGACATGTTAGTAGATCTTTTTCATTTCCTGCAAATTAAACAAATTAAATCAATTTGATTAAATAGGACTAAATGGTACAATCAGTAGTTTTGTACAGCTGAACAGGGTCATCATAAACATTTGTTATTTTACATGTATGTGTTGTGTTTTCAATGGAACAATCTAAAATTACATTTTACATTATACATTTGCAGGCTGGGACATAAGTGCTGACTGTGAGAATTACCAGCAGTGTTTCATAATGATGTGCAGTATTAATCCTGAAAAGGTATATTTTTAAATCTCAATACTTTTTATTCCATGTCTTTTCTTGAAAAAATACATACTGGGTAATAAATAATGTCACAAATTTACTTAATTCTTATACAGAGAAATTCTTAAACACTTGTGCACTTTGAAATAAGATATACTGCATTGCTTTAGTATTTTTGAATATGCATAAGCATAGTTAATATTTAATAGTTAATACTGTTGAAACATTAGATTTGATGTTATTAAAAGATATGAAATATAACTGCATATATGCAATAAAACATAATTCATTACCGCATCTGTGTTTAATTAATCATGAATTTTATCTTTAAAGGTGAGCACAACCACAAGAAGTTCTAGGAAACACAGGCAGAGGACTAAAAATGGACTTCAATAAAAGAAATAGTAATTTAAATAATCAGAATTGTTTGAAACAAATTTAAGATTGAAACAGTTTCTCACTGACAGACGAAGAGCAAAATAATTGCTAAAAACAAAGTGTTGGATACTAAAAAAAACAGAACCTCCCAAACCTGCAGCTGGAAAAAAACTGTTTGTGTTAAAGTGAATGTAGGCTCTATTCTGTATTTGGACTAAAGGATATGTATTAAATTTTTGTAAATGAAATATGTGATCATGTTAAACTCATAAAAATTCCAACCCAAACATTCTTGTGCTGAATTCCGTCTCAGAATTTTACATTTTAAGAACATTCAGGGATGCTGGAATTAGGCTGGATTTTTTTCCATGTTATTCCATCAAGGCTGGACTATTTACCATAAGTCCAGCCTCTATGGTTGGCAGACACATGGAATACCCTGGAAAAAAATCCATACTTTTGTTCCAATACTCCATGTACATGGAAAAGCATGGAATAAAGTCCATGCTTTTCCATGGAAAACATGGAAAATATTCCATGCAGCATGGAAAATGTTCCATGTTTTTTCCCTGTTTTTCCAGCCCATTTTTTCTCAGCTTCAGGCTGGAAAAGGCTGGAAAATTTTGTTCCAATACTCCAGCCTCTTATTTTCCATGGAAATCCCTGGAAAAGCATGGACTTTTTACACCCGGGTAAACTACATCCTTACATTGTAACACAATACTTGCTAACATTATCTGTTATTAACTTTTGTTGATATTGACTCTTAAACTGGAAAAAAACACATTGTACATCTTACTTGTAAGTGTTATTAATGGATTGTGTCCCCAGATGCATTTGATTTTCATTTAAACGATGTTCAGAAATACCTGAAATAAATTTATTCATTTCGGGTATTTCTGAACAATTTTCTGTAACATGTTACTTGACTTAATTCATCAAAATTTAAGAAGAGCTCGTTTTAATATCTAGTTTGAAAAACAAGACAAGCTCCTCCTGATTCAAATGAACACATGTTTAGAGCGTAAGTTTTCCCCTATATTAAGCTGTTTTTACTAATTAAACTTTTTCAGATGAGTCGCCAAATTGGATCAAAGAAGTATCGTTCCTATACTGTTGACACATTGCAACATGCAGTGAACCTAATTCGGAGTAAATCCATGTCACTTAATCAGGCAGCTGCATCCTTTGGTATTCCAAAGAGCACTCTATCCGACAAAGTAAACCAGAAGACCGTAATTGGTTGTAAATGCGGCCCAGCTACCATACTTACTGCAGAAGAAGAATCTACTCTTGTAGATTGGGCTCTACATATGGCCAAAGTTGGGTTTGGACGAACCCGTAATGAATTGTTAGACACAGTAAAGGTTATACTGGATAAAGATGGTCGACCAAACCCATTCAAAAATAATCGGCCGGGAAAAGACTGGTATTATGCATTTGTTGAAAGGCATCCTCAATTAGGAGAACCAACACCACAACAACTTGCTAAAGAACGAGACATTATTACCCCAGCTAAGATTGAAAGCTGGATTCAGGAATTCTGTAATTTTATGGCCGAGGAGGTATCTGATTCTTCCATATGGAACAATCCCGCTCGCTGGTTTAACGCAGACGAGTCGGGATTTCCATTGTGTCCAAAAAGTGGTAAAGTTTTGTCGCCAAGGGGTGTTCCGAATATATACAACTTCACTGCTTCTGATAAAACACAAGTAACTGTATTAGCATGCATGAGTGCGGCAGGTCAGTATGTAAAACCTTTGATTGTTTATCCAGGTGTAAGGTTTAATTATAACCCTCTTGAAGGATTTGCTGACGCTGTCTTTGGTAGGACAGAGTCCGGATGGATGGACTCTGAACTTTTTGTTACATGGCTAACTGAGGTATTTGAGCCTGCGCTGTCTGAAAGGGAAATCAGAAGACCTGTAGTCCTGTTTGTAGATGGTCATTCTACACACTGCACATTAGAGGCCTCCAAGTTTTGTAGAGATCACGAAATAATCCTTTACTGCCTACTTGAGCATGCGTCCCACCTGCTGCAACCTTGCGACCTGAAACTATTCAGCTCACTGAAGGATTCCTGGAAACAAGCAGTACGTGATTTCCAAATAGCCAACATAGGAGAATATGTCACAAAACAAAAGTTTGCGGCCGTTTTTAAGCAAGCCTGGGAAAAGTCTACAACTGTTGATATAGCTGTAAAAGCCTTTCGTGACAGTGGACTTTTTCCAATGAACCCAAAGAAGGTTTTAGGTACTATTAAGATGGAACCAAGTACAATCTTTTCCAAGGCCGATACAACAGAAGCTGCAGCATCTTCCCAGGCAAGTCCAGCAGCTACAAATAGAGGTGACAGCACCTCTGACAAAGTTGCCTCCGACCACCCACCTGAAACACTCGTGTCAGATAAAAGTAGCAGCAGTTGTACATCTAAATCTGAAAGTCATGTCACGCCTGATTCTCATGCAGACACCATTCTTGCAACCAACTCCGTTGAGCGTGTTTCAGGTGATAACTTACCTCAAGCAATAGCACCTATTATGTCGTCACCTTCTCAAAACGTATCACCAGCCTTCACAGATGTGTTGAAATTTCCAAAAGCAAAACAATCTGCTTGCAAAAGTAAACAAAAGCGAATACCACTCCCAAAAGCAATATCTGGTAAAAAGTTTCATGATCTGCTTGAACAAAGAAAACAAATTAAACAGGAAGAAAATGCTAAAAAAGAAGCAAGTAAAGTTAAAAGAGAGGAACGCAAGAAGGAGCGAGAGGAGCAGCTGAAACAAAAGCAAAAGGATAAAGAAGAAAAGAAACTACAACGAGAACAGCAGAAGGAAGAACTAAAGAGAAAAAAACAAATTGAAAAATTAGAGCAAGAACTTAAAAAGAAACGGAAATCAAAGGATTCTGATATAGATAGTACAGATGAAGAAAATGAAGCTATTGAAATCTCCCTTGCTGATGATGAAATGGCCGATGTAGAAACAAGTTTTTCTACCACCAAATGCTATTCTTGTGACCAGGCATTTGATGGAGACTCCGAAAACTGGATTACATGTCACAAATGCCCACGTTGGTTACATAGAGCTTGTGTGAAAACAATTGATTTGCTCTCATTGTCTGAATGTGAAATTGCAGATTTACAATTTGAATGTGACTACTGTTGAATTACAAAGTAAAACAGAATGTATGTTAAGAATTCTGAAAGACCCAGTTTTTCTTTTGTTTAATAAAGCACAATTATGTTAACATGGCATGAACTGTATTGTGAAAGGTTAGGATGTTTCTGATACTTAATAGTTTAAAAGTTATGTTTTAACTATTTTGAGTATTTAAATGTTATTTGAAAGTGTGTTTATTTTAATGAAATTTACTTGAATGTTTATTTTTAAATTTGGATGTATTCACTAACAAATCATATGTTTAACGTTTAACCGTTTAAACTGAACGTATTTAGTGTTTGTGTTGTTTTTTTTAAAAAGTCAAAAGTGTTCAGATTTACCCTCCGATGAGTTCAGAATCTCCCGACGTGTTCATAAATTACCTCCATCAAATGACATAATTTATCCTGTTGTACTGCTTTTGTATCTATAATGTATCATGATTTGTTCGAAATATCCCGCAGAAAAGTGAGTCCGTGTCATTTCTGACTACTTGAGAAGTTGCCAAGACAATCTGTTTTAGTTAGATAACATATTTTTGCTTAAGTGTTCAGAAATACCCGAACCCGCTCTACAGTATAAATTAATATCTTTTAAAATGATCTATATTGCGATATATTGTACAGATTCAACGGAGGTAAGTTATGAAAAGCTTAAGGTGTCTTGTTCAGAACCTATTCTTGGCCGAGATATTCCCCAAGCATTGGCTTGGTGGCCCGTTTTATGATCGTGCTTCTTATTCGGCGCGCAGGTCGCCCGCAATAATTTTTTCCCAAACTTTTTACTATTCCCGTATCGGCCCTTTTGTGTCCTCTTGGGTGCCTTTTGTGTGCCCTGCTGGTGTGGCTGGATTGTGTAGGTGTAGGGGGCTGAGTTCTGCCAACGTAGCTTTGAATGTTTGATTTTTAATCTCATCTTTTAATCAGAAAACAAGTAACAAATTGGTGTAATTTCTCAATGGCATTTGATTGAGAGAATGACTTTGCCGTGCCAAAAAAGGGCAGAAAGAGACAAAGAATGTACAATTCCTTCTCAATTTTATGCATTTATTTAAAAGAATAGTAATATTCTAAAATTAGTTGTTGAGATTAAATTTATCATTCTCTGTGATCAGCAAAACATTGCGATGAGTCATCAAGCAAGTTACATCATTATTAAAGTCGTACATGCATATATCTGCTTATGAATTTACTTTATCACAAAAGGTCTTAAATGAGTCCTTTAATGTATTTTCACATGATCCACATAATCTATGTTATATGCAACAATTTTTAATTAATTTACTGACATTTCTGAAAGGAGATTTTGAAATATCTTTGCGTGTAATATAACGTGTAATATAACGCGTTATATATATATATATATATATATATATATATATATATATATATGTATATATATACATGTATTGTAATGAAATATTTAACAGTCCAAAACACTCACTGAACTTAATCACAATTTTCAGACCATTATCGTTCTTAAATTAATATATTGTTACAATAGTAACGTGCAGAATGACAGTCATCCCTCTGAGAGCATTGGGGCATTGTGTAAATATACTCATCTTTGTCGAGAGTCTCAGCGTTAGCTGTGGCTTATGTGATGGACTAACGTGAATTTGACAATTCCGTCCAGCTGTCCCGGCTTTTCTAAAGAAAGCAAGGCTCTGTACCCAAACATGACATATAATCAGTTCAATTAAAACAAACGCTTGCTTTAGTTTTCGACGTTTCTAGCGTTTTTTTTTTATTTAAAATTTACTGAATACGGGAGATTTGTTGCTATAACATCAGTTTGAAAGTCGCAAAATGACAATTTTTTTCTGCAAAAAAATCGATATACATGTATAAATATAAAAAAGTTCTATGGTAGATATATATACATGTAACGTACTTGTTCATTTTACCTATTTTAAAATTAACAAAAAGAGTTTGAAATCATTACCAATATGTTGTCAATATAGCCTCGAGATAGTCACAAAATGCCAGGATATCGCTTCCTCTTTCAAAAAAAATTCTCGGGGGAGCATGCCCCCGAACCCCCCTAGTTAAGGAGTACATACCAAAATAGCTCAGTTACGCCCCTGTATACACGGCTGCTGTCGATATCTTACTTTTTCTCCACAAAATGATGCTTGCTGTATTATAAATTTGTTATAAAGATTATTGACAGGTTATATGGCCGTATATAAACGGCTGTTTGCAATATAACCCTCGCCTAGCGGCTCGGGTTATATTTACAAACAGCCGTTTATATAGGGCCATATAACCTGTCAACGATCTTTATAACTAATAATATACCGAATATCAAAGCTTGTACCTTCAGACAAGAATACTTTACTTTATTACTATTAAGTACATGTATATGTACATGTACATAGTCCAAATCAATTACACCTGGGGCAGAGCCAATTTTGACCAAAGGGCTATAATTTGAATAATCTTGGCAGAGGTCCACTACACAATGTTTCATGCAAAATATCTATGCTCTAGGCCTTGTGGGTTTTCACAAGAAGATTTTAAATTTATTCTTATAATTCCATATGGTTGCCATGGCAACCAAATTTCTGCATGGAATCAAATTCTTTGAACAACTTTGGAAGCCCTTTTACCCGTTGAACAATCCTGCCAAGATTGGTTGAAATTGGACTAGTGGTTTTTCACAAGAAGATTTTTTAAGTTCACTATATAATCTATGCAACATGTGCACACACACGCACACACAAACGCACGTACACACACACATCGGTGAATCATTATATGCCACAAAGTGGCATAAAAACATCACATTTTAAGATTATCTGAATGTTGACTTGGTATTTGTCAGCACTAGAAAGTAGACATGTAGCGCCAATTTAACCTGTTTTAAGCTTGTCCCGATTATACTTGAAACCCTGATAATATGAGTAAAATTCATCATTTTAAAATGTTAATAACTTATTCATAAGTATGTTAAATGATTATTTTGAAGAGGGATTAAAAAAAATCTTAATCATTTTAATTTCTATGAACAATATAGGTGTAATTACAGGAAAGGAAATTTCAACTAAAAAAACCCAAACACTAATAAAGCCAGTAGCAGGCACTGGATAATTAGTGCAAGAGGGCTCAACAAATATCCGTTGACCACTAAGCATAATACTTCAAAGGATAAGCAAGATACAGCTTGAACAAATTTTAATATTTTTATTTGACCTTTGACCTCTTGTGACCTTGACCTCCATTTTGTGCAAGACAACTCAACTCAACATGGATCTACCATTTGTGCTAAGTTGTATTAAAATTCATCCATGTATATAAAATTTATACTCGCAAATGAATGTTTTAATTTATTATTAGACATTTGACCCCAGTGTGACCTTGACCTTTTCCACAGACACCTGAATTTTTTCATGCGACACTCTACCTTACTATGGAGAATATCTATCCAGAGTTATATCAAATTCCCTCCATGCATGTATAAGTTACACTCCGGACAAGGGTTTTGCACTGACCCCCAAGTGTGACCATAACCTTTGAGCGGTGGACCAAGTTTTTGTGCGCGACACACCATCATGATGGTTAACAGTATCAAATTATTTTGTAATCCTTCAAAGAATGAGCAAAATATAGACCAGACAAATCCAGACAAACAGACGCACATATATCTAAAAATACCCCAAAAGTGACAATCGAGTCAAGCTCACCACAAGCGTGCTCAACAAGGTTTTGTTTGTTTGGGGTTTTACGTCACATAGACACAGTATAGGTTATATCGCGACGTTCCAGCTTTACTGGTGGATGAAGACCTCAGGTGCTCTTCCGTGCATTACTTCAGGCACGAACGGGCACCTGAGTAGAACCACCGACGTTCCGTAAGCTAGCTGGATAGCTTCCTCACATGTAAGAATCCAAAGTCCCTGTCAGGATTCGAACCCACAGCGGTGAGGGGCAAGCGGTTTGAAGTCAACGACCTTAACCACTCGGCCACGGACGCCCCCAACAAGAAGGTAACATTAAATATAATTATCATTTGAAATGAAAGTAGGCTTGTTTACGTTTCTGTGAAACATCACAAATAAAAATAATTGGAAGTGAAACGTCTATACAACTCTAAAAGACTTTAGTGATAGTAAAACGGATGGTATGAACCGTTTTGGGAGTGAAACGTCTAGGTGTGAAACGTCTTGGGAGTGAAACGTCTAGGTGTTAACCGTCTTGGGAGTGAAATGTCTCAATTACAAATTGTCTTGGGCGTTTGTTTCGATTTTTCGACCAATTTGACAGTTATAAAACTTGGGGGAAAAAAATAAAAAATGTAAAGCAATGTAAAGCAAAGACAAAAAATTCTGGAACCTCTGAGATTGGTACAGAAACCAAATTGTGCGGGTAAAGCTTTACCTACAAATTGCTGTTCTCACGACACCGTTATCAAAATGATGCTAACTAAATTAGAATTTTGTACATATTTACGAGGTTTGTATGATCTAATAAGATGAAAAAATAAATCCAAATGAGCAATTATTCTGTGTGATGACAGTTTGATAATTTTCTTCTATGTGTTCGTCTTTAAATGAATTTCAAGCCAAACAAGACCAATTCGGCCTAAAACCAAAATCGGTCACACACTGCAAAAATCGGGCCTAGTGTCCAAGGACGATTCGTCATCCCTCCCCCACCCAAGACACTTCTCGGGTCCCACGGCCCCATTTGAAATCTGGTAGTTTGCAATCTGAAATATATTGGTAAATGATGTGCATGTCATCATTCTATCGGTTTATTCTTTTATCTTTTAAAAGTTTTTAAATTTGCATATATTATTACTAATTGTACAGCTAGACAATATAGACAGTGTTCACTGGCTATCTGTACGTGACTGCATACATATATATGTTTTATTGTTATGTACGAGGAGGTTATGTACCATTTTTGGAGTTTACGTACCACTTACATATTTTGAGCACATACCATTATTATTTTCATCTTATTTCTATGAAATACATACAGAGTAATATATATGGCTTAACAATTATAATAAAAAAAGAAAAAGTAAATTACAAATAACTACATTTATATTACTGATTACTTAAATCAAAATCATATCAAAGCAATATTAAAATTCAATATTTTTACCTGTATCTATGCATGATTATCACACAGTCAGAAATGGTAATCAAACAAATTACAAAGTATGAAATACTATTATTGTTATTATATTATAATCGTAATCTCATAAATATACAATAGATCAATTAATGCATAAATTTAAAGAATAAACAATTTTAACTTTATCCCTTATTATCCCTTTATTAACTATTTGTATATGTGCATGGTAGATAACCTCAAAAAATTGTACATTTATGCAGTCATACGTTTCCTTCATGGTATGTAACCTCCAAATTCCTTATTAACAGTTCCCTGACAACACAACTGCTAGACATAATCAGAACTGATTGTTAAGCAGTATCATGTAGATCGATGGTTTAATTTCATAACATGAACAATTTAATCTCTGATAATTACAGACGCAAGGCTTGATCCCCTTTCAAAATTCCATTTTCTTTAGTTCTGTCCATTGTTTTCTCAGTTATGGCACAAGCATTTTTGTGGAGCCTGATGCTGACAGCTGGACATAGTTGTCACAATGGCGGTTCAGTGTATGTATGTGCGACTGTCTGGATTATGCTTGTCCGGATTGTAACTCTGTCATTAGTAGGAAGAATTTGAAATAACTTAAATAACACAAATGTTTACAATAATGAGACCACGTGTCGCACACAAGAACCGTATGGTAAGGTCAAAGGTCAAGGTCACACTTTAGTCAAATGCTAAAAATATGGTCTCAAACAGATTGTCTGCTCCATAACTCAATCACTACCTGGTGGAATTTCAAATAACATTGCTCAAATATTTGACATGACGAAATGGCATGTTGCGCTCAAAAACAGTATGGCTAGGTCAAAGGTCAAGGTCATACTTTAAGATCAAAGGCCAAAACATGGTCTCAAACAGCTTTTCCATTTGTACTATTTATTATATAAATATTTGTATACATACTGTAAGCTAGACTTCCATCACTCATGAAGTCTGAGGTGTTTTACTGTCTCTTATACATGAAGTGTATACTTAAATATAATTTTAAAGTCTGTTATAAAAACTCTCCTAAAACATGATTATTTTATAAAACGCTTATAAAAAGAAATGTTGTTTCTTTTTTTATTGAAGGTTCTTTACCCATAATACAACAGTGCTGTGGATTTAGAACTAAATTTAGGAAAGGGCGACCAAGAAATCCCATTGGCGTAAGAGGAAAGTTCAAAAGGGCTTACATGGTAGAGGGTGAATTTGTTTACAAAGGAGAGGTCCTACTGAAGCAGTCTGGACTTGTAAATTATCCTGGTGAAAATGTAAGACAGTTTTATTTGAGATCTGAGTTTCTAAGATTATTTAGTATGTTCACAGTAATAGTGACTTTAACTGGACAGCAATATCTTATTTGTTTTATATCTAGGCTTGTTTAGACATCAATACAGAAGTACATATGATATAATTATTAGCTTGACTTTTACATTTATATACAAGTAAGAGCTATCTTATTTGTCTTGCATCTGTTTCTGAGTTACACTGGTAATTTATCAGTTTGTTTTGTACAACAACGCCTACATTTTCATGCCATCAAATCATCCAACTGACCTGTGTGTTTGGCCACAATATGAACTCCTGTACCACTCAGACATGTTCACATCAGCAATTGATTGGTTAATTTAACTCAGTCATCCAATCAGTGAGTATGTAATGTGGCATTTTCAGTAAGAAAATCAGAATGGCTTCAAATGTCAAAATAGAAAAAAGAAGTCTAAAAAATCCTCAACAAAACTGAAATAAAGGGTGTATGAATGCCAGGGTAAGGAATAAAACAAAGCAACATGTAATATATGTTTTGCGGTCATGTCACTTGATCTTTCACTTTTGTATTTTAGGTTGGAATTCTGAAGAACAACACACTAGTTGCAGCCAAAGATGGAGTAGTTATTTGTACAAGTGAAAAACTGAATCCATATCCAGACAGTCCATTGTATGAGAGAGTGAAAAATGGCATGACTATACATAGACAATTTTGGCATGTTTATCCTACACCTGTTCATGCAAAATTCAAACTGGTCACAGAGACATTAGATTCTAACAGCTTTAAAAAAGTATAGTGTTGTTATGTTCATCAGATTAAATGGATAAAATTGTAACAAATTCCTGTTTGTATTCTTGGCAGATTGTGTGTTTTAGCTCACCTGTGTACAAAGTACTCACAGGTGTGCTTTAATAATTGCCTGATGTTTGTCTTTTTTCCTCAGATTATCCCAAACCACACAGTAGATTTTACTAAATTCACATTGCTTTTCTTTAGGTGGACCTACAAATATTTTGTAGATAGTTCTAGTATGATTCATAAAAAGAAGGCTTCAAGACCCTTAACATTATGTCTGAAGTTTTCCTGTAAGGCAGTGTCTAGAGCTTAGATACTGAGATGTAGCATAACCTGTGGCACTCTACAATACATGTACATTGTAGTTACACATATCACGTTCCTGGAAAGCAGGCCTGGAGCTAAGGCCCTCACATTTACATGTATAAACGAATTCGTCATAAGTATTTGTAATATTTTTGACAGTTTAAAGGTTATAACAAATTTATTTTATCTAACATATTACTATATTTATTATTAATATAATTTTGGTCCAAGGTTGAAACTTTGCTGTATCTTTGCCAGTTTGAGGTCAAAGTCACCCTTAAAGGTCAAATATCAGAGAAGTGTATGTGTATAAATCCTGTACTGCTCAAAGAATTTATTTCAAACTTGGTTCAAATGTGAACATAAACAAGATGATGAACAGAATCCAAGGTTATGATTCTCCTTGAAGGTAAAAGAAAACAACACAAAAAAATCAGATTATTTCATGTCATCCTTATCAATTCTATACTTCTTGAAGTTTTAACACATTCTCTCGATTTTCATTCATAGTGATTTAAACTTGCTGAAATGGTCATGGTCACAAGGACCTGTAATAACAAAATTTAAAAACATTTGTGCATTCATGACAACATACGCGGCCATTTAAAACTAAAGGGATATGACTTTAATACCGGATATGACTAAAATACCGGATATAACTAAATAAGTTTTTTCACAATTATTGTTTTTTGGATTTTTTTTCTTGCAATGACAATTTATTACTGTAAAATAATAATGCATGCAAAAAAATCGTTGTATTTGCGCTATAAATAAAAAATCCTTTGCAGATTGTATACTACTTACAGTAACTCAAAACCAACATTATAATTATAACAAATTATTGTGCGAAGGATGAGCGTACTACATTTCATACATTTACAGCCTTATTGAATAATAAAAAAGGCTTAAACGTGCCGTACCTTAGCGCAAGGAACACACTGGCAGTAACAAAAGTTACCAGAAGAACACTAGGGCATTTGAAAAAACGGGCATAAATTGTTAGCCGGGGCTTTTTTTTATACATGTATATGTTTGCAACTTTCATTATAATTATAAATAACGTCGTTATTTATATACACTCGTAGTATCTATTTTTAAAAAGACGTTTTGGCGGCAGATTTTTATTAGTTTGATAAGTGAGTTATTAATAAAAATTTATAAAATTCACGGCGGATAGTCGGTCACAACGGGTAGTAGATCAAAAAGATTTTTTGCCATCGAGTGCCTGTGATAGCAATACATAAAACTGGCCATTAGATAAAAGTTCAATATCTGGGGACTCCACTGAGTTTTTTTGTCATGATTGGACTGAAAATATTTTTTCCAGATAAATGTACCATTTGATGAAGGTTTAGACCACTAATCTTTGTGCAAAATTTCAGAACATTTGAGCATTTCGTTTTTCCAGAATAATTATTCAAATTGTAAAAATGTAAAAAAATGACCCAAAATGAAAAGCGTTTAAACGCTTTTCACTCAAACTGGGCTAAGAAAAGCATAAAAATAACATTTTCAATTTATTTCGAAGTATATTTCTTAACTATCTTTTGCATATATTTCTGTTTAATGTGTCCCAGCTCATTTATGTAAGAAACTCAAATGTTATATTTATAGGCCTTTAAAACTCAGAGGACTGCAAGCTTTGTAATGATGATTCCCACTTGTCGTATTCATTTTACGATAAGTATTTTTGTGTGGTCAACTTTGAAATTTAACGATCATATTGATGCACCTTTATGTCGATGAGCTCTGTCTGCAATGCCCATTATGGGCCAAAGTTCAGGGTAAAGGTGACCTTTAATTCAACAGACCTCTTTAATTAGGTAAAGTTGCTCTTACATGTATATGCAAAACGTCTGTTTTTCAGAGACAATCAAATATCCAGTGCTTTCAGTGCGTATATTCTTGTACTTGCTCATATTCTTGTACTTGCTCGCTATGAATGTATGATGATATGTTGGCCTGTTTTAGATATTCTTAGTTTTTGTAAAGCTGACCTCGTGTGTGTTAATGGATCATGTACATGCGGTTTGTACACCAGTTTTAGTGTGTTTTGCTTTTTTTTTTTTTTTTTTTTTTTTTTTGGTAGAAAACAGTTCTAGTAATAATCTGAGTACACTTGGCCATCAGGTTAATTTAAAGCTGCACGCCTCCAGATGAGCCAAACTATTTCAAGAAAGTCAACCTTTAGAAAAAAATGTATTAAGATCTTAAGAAAAGTAAAAAGATTCAATATTTGATTAATTATTTACAAGTCGTGTGCGATTAATTACTGATTTTGCAGTATAGATCATTATAATTCTACTTCGTTACTACCGCAGTAAGAGGTATTTATGTATATTTTGACCTCTTGGTAATTTACGTGGATTGTAAGTAGCGTTTGAAATTTGTAAATTACTTTCTTTGATCACTTCAAAATATTTTATTTTTAAATACATTTTCAAAATTTTCATGAAAATTAACATGGATCTGGAGCTATGCTGCTTTACTGACTGTTGCACAAATAAACAACTTGCAGTTGCAGAACTGATTATGCCCTTGTTACCGTTCAATTCCATATATGGTACCACTTATAGCCAAACCTTATAACATGTTCAAAGTTGGAAATTTAATCTCCAGTTAATGTGTTCTGCAAGCTAATGCGATTGAAGGATTTCCTTCTTACTTGGTTTTAATAATATTGTTTGCATTGCTTTCAGTGCCAATATTTTTTTTCTAACTGATTCAGATACTTTTGTTATGCGCTACTATTTCGTGTGGACAAAGTTTACTGCTATCGTAAATTCCATGTGACCACGAAAGATATCATTTACTTGTGGCATTACAATGTAGATGATGCCAAATTTCGTGACATGAGCTGTGGACATGACTTAGAAAAATAACAGTAAGACAGAGACATATAGACAGAGACCCAAAGAAGATAGAGAAGCGATACATATGAGATTGTCCATGGATATAAATCCATTCGAATGAGAAACATTTTCTATACACTGTTTAACAGCTTCAATTCCAAAACAGTCTGGAAGTAAATGACATATTTGCACAAATTAGAAACATCATAAAAATACAGTAATGAGGATTGGCGGAAATTCTTTATTTAGGATATTTTGTCTACTTCAAACTTCTGATATATATTCCTACATTATCATTATTCAGGTCATGTGCCACAAGATTTTATTCGAACACGAATATTTTAAGAATTATTTACCCTTTAAATTGTTTTTTTTTTAACTCTTAACTTCTTAATTTTTTACTTTTAACTTTAAATTTTAGTTGTATATCAGCTTCCATATCATAAAAATGTGGCAATGTTTATAACTCGAGCGTTTATCTCCCCTTCAATTTAGAGATTTCCTTATGTTTTGTATCTTTATTATTCAAACTTTAGAAATATTTTTTTTTTATTAACAAGTAGATCATATTTGATTAGAATTATAAGTCAAGTGCCTGTTTTTCTAAAACTATCTATATTTTAAACTTGGAATTTATTTTAAAATTGGTATATTTTTAAACTGTTCTCTTTGTTACCATAAATGGTGTCTTACTCTAACATCTATTTCAAGAGTTATTTCCTCTTTAACTTATAACTTTGCATTAAAAATTATGCTCTCATCCTTTTGTAACCCTTGTGGCTGAGGGATTTCCTTAAATGGTTGATGCATCAGAATTGCATCCACCGTTTATCCCTGCGTGATCGTGAGAGGCGACTTAATTGGTTCCCTATGCATATATTAGCTCCAGTATGTGAGGTGGTCTTGACCCCTGGTGTTGCTTTTAGTTTGTAATACCCGAGTTAGGCAAATTCATCTTTCCTGTTTCGGCGCCTTATTACCTTAATTGTGTTAGTGCGCCGTAAAACCAAACAAAATATACAAAAAATAACTAAAGGGATTGACTTCAGATTTCAATTTGTTGTCTTTTCCATTAGATACTGAGATTTAATTTATATTTGAAATTATTTTTTTCGGACAGGATTGCATTTTTCAAATGTATCATTTGCTGCGATAAATGGGCTTTAAAAAATAACCAGTCTGATTGTTTATAGAAAATTCAAGCATTTATTGTTGCGCCGTTCGTGACCAATTTTCTATAAATGCTTAACTAAATAGTGGATATTTGCTTTTTTATCATGAAAGATCGGAACAGAACAACGTCCACGAGTGTTTATATTAAAAATAATTCTGTAAAATTTCTGAAACAACATCTTCAACTTTGGTGAAATTAAACCATTTTGCCTTGTCCTTCATTCAAAATTTTATAAATATTCATCATCAAACTACTTTTTTCATGAATGCAGTACATAATTATTTCAATGTAGGTTCTTTGGTATTAATTCTTCTCAAATATTCACAAGATAATATAGCTTTAACATGCTGATAATATAGTGGATATTGAATGAGTGTAAGTTCAATACTGAATTTATGGCACGAGTTGAATAAAATTATATTATGCTAGCCTCTGGCGAGCATAATATTATTTTATTCAGCGATTTCAATAAATTCAGTAATGAATTTACACCAATTTAAAATTCTATTTATCACATACCCAAAATAAAGACAGTTTAAAGTGAAATAAGAGTCATTTTTCATTGACGCGCCTATAGCATAACGCTAACATTTAGCGCGTCTTTACACTATGTTTGCAAAACGCTAATGACACAAAATCGGCACGGGTATATTATTTTATTCAACTCGTTCAATAAATTTAGTATTAAGCAAATATCCTGTATTTAACATGCTTTGTATAAAGTATTTAATTCGTTATATGTATATATGTCATTCTGCCTTTATATGTTCTAATGAAGGAGTTTTTTTTTCAAAGTTCCTGGCACTTTATAGTTATTTTTTATATTTTAGTAGCATGTGTGTATACAATCACTAAAACCTTTTTTTATACAATAACCATTAAATATGTATTAAATGTTTATCATTTATATTTACAATTAATCATTGTTCCATGTGACAAGCTAAGTCGTAGATTATACTAAAACAGTAACATTTCTGATGCGCACTACAATAAATCATTTAAATGTTCGTCTTAGTTATAGAAAACATTCTTATTGGAGGCTTTTACACAGTTGATAGTGATAAATGATTATTACACTTTGACATTGATCCCTGTTTTCCAATGCTGACCATGATGTAGATTTTCAGACCCATCCTCGCCATTGTAAGCTACCATATAAATACGTCTGACTACAGAATTCCTCACATTTCTAACACTTAGCCAGGAGACAACAACAACAACAACCACGACGATGAAAAGCGGAATTATCGTCTGCGCGTTAGTTCTCATCATTTTCGAAACTTACGGTATGTATGAAAATATGTTTTCGATTTATTTATTTATTTATTTATTTATATGTAAAAATAACTATGTCTTGTTTTCTAATTTTTTTGATGTTTTTTTTTTAATCAAATCAAAAATGTTAGTTTTATTTATTGTTCCTTTTATAGAAAATAAATGACGTGATATTTTTCGTTTATTTACTTACTTTTTTGTGTGATGAATGACATCTACCTTACTACCAAAATCAAGCTAACAATTAATGACATTAAAACAAATGAATTGTTATCAAACATGTACATGTGATTTTCGTTATTTTGCATTATTTTATGTTCTGACAAGTTCAACGTTAAACAATACTTTTTCAGTTTATTTCTTTCTTTTTTATTTATTATATAAAGTTGTCTGCCTCAACTGTTTAAAAAATCAAACTTTTAACAAAAAATGTTCGATTCAATGGTGTAACGGTTGGCATATTTTATGTTAGAATTTTGCTAAAATGACTATTTTTATCGCACATCTATCGGTGTAAGGGTTTTACAGCTATATTTTTTTTTTACAAAAGTGTTGATGTTAGGTCCATCTTATTTTCTACAAAACTTCGATATTTTGTTCACTTAACAATTCTTTTTATCATCTAAGCCACTTTTAAAAAAAATCATGAGAATAATCACGAATCCGGAAGCTTGCTGCTTTGTTCGGTATGTGAGGGAGTCGTAACCTAGTGACCAAAGTACGTCGTTCTCTTTAAAAGCTCTTCGCGTTTGATTCCTACTGAACAAATGCTGGCTTGTCCAGGAAATGGATCTTGTATCAACTTAATTAAGCTTTCTTCACCATCGAGTTAGATATATTTATAAAAGGCCTATAATTAATTTATTGTGGATCTGGCATGACTTTTTATTTGATATAAATTTTTATGAAACTCGTCCAGGAAACTATTTTTATTTGAAGTATATACCATTTTCCTGAACTGTATAATGACAACGACGCGCGTAATATAAATAAATATTAATATTAATCAACAAGGGCAGTTATATGTGTTCAAATGTAAATCATACCATGAGCACAGAAAATCGAGCACAAAAGGAAAATAACAATCAAATAATGTTCAATTTTTAAAACTTGATGAAATATGAATTAAATTAATATCTATGGTACCTGATTTGCGCCGAGTCGTATTTTCGATCTGCGGGGCGCCAGACAAAAGGACAATGAAGTCAACACTACCGCAATTTTGCTCCGCGCGGCGCATTGCGAAAACACGACAATACAATACAACAACGTCCCCATTTTGTCGTGCTTTCCCTATGCAGGACGCAAGGCGGAAACACGATAATACGTTATGGCACAAATCAGCCACCATAAATATACTTTTTAAAAGATTCAGTTAAATTGTATGAATCTGTTAAAGTGAAGTGTCTATAAGAAGCCTTGTAACCCTGGAACATAACTTTGTTACGACTGAAGACCCATAAAGAAAATGAGAATTGCATAATAGGGAATGAAATAGTCTGCACATTTAAAGTACATGAATATATATAACAGTTCAAACGTTCTTGCACAGTAACTTTGTACATTATGCTTGTTCGGAAATGTCAGCTTGTCTTACTTCTGTTATAAAGCTACATTTATCGAGATATATAACTTTAAAACAAAAACAAATGTACTGTTTCCCCTGTCATTTCATAGAAACCGTAAATTCATATTACGCTGATACAGTCTAAACAATGCTCGATACTCCTATCTGACAAACTGTATTTTTTGTTTTTGTTTTAATAGCCAATTCCAAAATAAAACCGAAGCCCACTCACTTCAAAAATTCAGCAGGTTAAAGTTTAATGTTGCGTTATTTCAAGATTGTCTTTGATAGTCTGTGAATATCAAGTCTTAATGAATTTTGACAACGCGAATTTATTCCATATCTCCTAGCTAACTTGTGTTCTAATATAAAGTGAAAGATACCCATTAACTTAAAAATGGATTCAATATTTATTTGGCTTCAATTCATAGGGTTAACATGTCGCAAAATGTAAATACATAAATGAATTAGTCATTTCGTTATGGATCTTTTAGACAAGTAATTCAATTTGAGGCCAAAAGTTTCTCTATTGCCACATTCTATCATTTGTTTAATCTTTTAAGTCACACTGGGAATAAAACAAATTAAAGTATTTGTGCAGATAGATGCCGCTATACGCTGGGAAGAGAAATTGTCATTGTTAATTTAGAACTAGGGCATTGTTTTGATCACATATGTTAAAAGATAAAGAGTTTTCCTTTCGTATAAAGTTGATAGCATGGTTGAATTTACATGTATAATTAAAATTAGAAAAAACTGACATCACTTTGTTGCCTGCAATTCGAGAACCTGAACATCGCGACAAAATAAGACTTGATTACAAATGTTTTAGTTTTGTTTGTTGTTGTTTTTTATGTTTTGGTGCGTTCTTTAGGAAGGAGAGGCACCCCAGTAAAACCACATTGAACAATTTTCTCGCATGAAAGAATCCAAACTTCTGGGCGGAATTTAAACCCAAAGCAATTATTATAAAGAAGTTTGAAGTTGACGACCTTCACCACTCGGTCTCGGTTACCAATTACAAACGTTCTTCAGTACGTACAGAGTCTGGCTTGCATTCACTTCAAATTTAATCTTGATAACCCTAATAATAGAAATGGACTATTCCAAAGTTAAGGAATAATTTTTTTTGACTTGCAGGATTTGGAAATGGAGTAGGTGCCAGTGCTTTATTTCAAAGACGTCAGAGACCGAGCCCATCTTTTGAAGCAGGTATGTGTCTCCACGAAAAGTTAACATCTTGCATTTATATAAATGCTTAGTATGTATATTACATATCTATCTCCTGCATGTATACTACCATCAGTATTAAAATTTACCAAGCTGGGTACTACTTCTAGAATTTAATTGATTTATCGATTGGCAAAAGTGCTAATATTTATTAATGGTAGCGGAATTTTCAGTTAACAGCCTGCTATAGAGGGATAACTTCTTCGTTGTCCGTCTGTCCGTCTGTCACAAATTTTGTCCGGACTACTGAGAAACTAGTGGTGCAATTCCGTGGAATGGTCAGTATTAAGTTTAGATGTGCATATCGTCGACATTTTTCGTTTGATGATTTTTATGTTTAAACCTTGTCCGGACTACTCCTTTTATACCACTTATGCAATTTCAATGAAACTTTACAGGATTTATTAATACTTCAATTAAGTACTTGCATGCGCATATTAAATGGGTTTTCCGTTAGAATGATTTTTTTGGGTTTAGTTATGGCCTTTGAATAAACAAAAAAAAGCATGCAACGTACCTATTCCATTGGCTGGTTAATTTTAAATTTTAATCCACAATATTGATGTTTGACAGTTCCAAAAAGGAAAGCTGGACTAGTTATAGGTAGATATATTTATTTCAGTATTATAACATAGTATATCTAACACAATTACAGTAAGATCATTAAAGAAACTTAATCAGGTTAAGGGTGAATGATTTTGTCAAACCAATTTCATGATATTCCCGAAGAGTAAGATATCTCTAGATATAAGTTGCTATTGTCAAATCAATGCACCATTTCGTTTTTCTTTAAAGTTTTACTGCTAAAATCCAGATGCTTCATGAAAATATAAGATATGTGTGAATGTAATTTAATATCAAATTTATGTCTACTGTTGTAAAATCTAAATATGTATCATTTTTGTATGAACATAGAAATAAAAGAATGTACTGTTTCATAAAAGAGCATGTTTGAATATGTCTTTATGTTTGATCTATATAAATGGTTTGACTTCTACATGTTGATATTTTCAGAAGAGACTGGGCAGACTGAGTTCGGCTATCCAGCACACAGTGACTTTATGAAACAACTCATTAATTACCTGGAATTTGTTGGTAAAAAGAAATAAACCCATGACGACTGTGGACAATAAACTCTATCAGTTACTGAGAGAATGAATAAATCATCGTCAAACATTAAATGTCTTCTTTGAAATGTGAAAATAGATGATAAAAAAATTATACGGTGTCATGTTCTATTTTTATTTCCTTCTACGATAAATTTGGTAAATTTCAGAGTTTTTTTATCAAATTTGTTGCACATACAATGAACACCATATCTAGTCAAATCAGACCAATGGCTGTTTTTATAATAAGATTCTTGTGACATATCCGTATGGAGCAATTCAGCCCCTGCCCTCACAACACAAATTAATATGTTCTGAGCAGCTATGGCTATCATTGCTGTGCCAATTTACCGTGCCTGTCCAAAAATATGCCTATACTTTTGGGGCAGTTGCCCCTGCTTAGTTCCACACTTATAGACAATTCCCGAGTATTTCGAACATAACTTTATAAAGTGGCGATCTTTTAATGCGATACTTTATGTATATATTTCTTTATTTCCTTCAGTTTTGAAGAGTTATACATTTGTATACAATGTACAATACGCTACAAAAATACGCTACATGTAAATCAATGTATGACTGACAAACATTATGTATACTTTTCTTTATTTCCCCCAGTTTTAAAGAGATATACATATACAATACAATTCTTTAAAAAAAATACAGAAATCATAACATGTACATCAATGTATGACTGACAAACATATGAATACAATTATATAAATGTAACAAATATTAGATAAACACAGAAATAATATATACTGTATAAAGATAAGGTATATGATTTTTTAACATAGAAATAATATACAACTACGCACATGAGAAAACAAACGAAAATTTTGAAATACTGTATAGCGACATGCGGGGAGAACTGACAATACTTTAATATAACCATACTAAACGTGTTTACAAAATTTTTAAGTCATAAAAATGAAATACATGTGCTAAGAAACAATGTCAGTGTGTGTGTGTGTGTGTGTGCACGTGTGCGCGCGCGTGCGAGTGTGTGCGTGTGTGTGCGTGCGTGTTTTCCAAAGCAACAACATTTATATTTCAAGCAGTATTTTCGGTGACCATTATTATCTTACTATCGTTAAAAGTGAATTGTGCAATACCCTTATATTTGATATATGTATAAATAATAAGAAAATAGCGGTGCTGCGTTTTGGTTCTGCAAAATTGAAAAATATAAGTAGGGCTAATTTTCCCCTTTATTTTGGCTCGACTTTTTCGAAGAAAAAAAAGAGAGCTATATTGCTACAGTTATGTGAACGTTGCCGTTGTTGTAGCCGGTGCCGTTGTCGCTGCCGTTACCACGTTGATCATACTTTTTTTTTATTTCTCAATGGGTTGCCTTCATACTTGGATACAACAATCCTTTAGTTAAGACCTCCAAGTTAACCAGACTGAATTTGACTTTCATTGATAAATGACCTTGACCTCCAAGGTCAATATTTAAGTTTTGCTTGATTTTGCTATAATTGTCTATAATTTTGTTATTCATGAATGGATAGTCATCATACTTGGGCACAATAATCCTTAGGACAATACCTTTATGTAGACCTAATTTAATATGATCATCACTCATCAATGACCTTGAACTTGAAGGTCAAATTATTGAATTTTTCTTGTCTTTTCTATGATTTGCTTTAAATGTGTTATTTATTATTTTCAAACTTGCACACTACCTTACGTACAATCCTTACATCAAGACCTATAATTTGCTATAACTTTGTGAGTATTAAATGGGTTGTTTTCATACTTTGGCACAACAATGTATGGGACAAGACATATGTTATTGATACTTGGACAAAAGAAACCTGATGACAAAACCGACATGTTGAATTATTCTGATATTACCTTGACCTTTAATTCACATTGACCGTCATGGTCAAATTATTGAAATTTGCTTAAATTGCCATAACTATGTATTTATTTACGGATTTGATTTATTCTTGACAAAAGAAAACGTATGATAAAACCGACACGTTTAATTATTCTGATATGTCCTTGGCCTTTCTATTGACCTTGACCTCCGATGTCAAATTAAAGAAATTTTCTAGTCGATCAGTGGTTATTTCGATGGGGGAGTTGAAATATTCATTCATAATTAATTTTACTGCTTTTTGAAGTATTGTTAATCTGTTATTTATATCATGTCATGTTAATTAATATTGAATACATTGAAGTTACTCGGTTATGACATCGGATCTTTAGCTAGATAATACAAACAGGAAATATATGTAATTACTTAGGATGAACAGAATTTAAAAATATTAAATTTGAGACATAGTATTTCTTAATACTTTCGATTTCGACACATTAAGAAATATTTAGGACATATAGTACTCTTGTTAATTAACAAATCAAACAAGAAATTACGAACCTTATAAAGTAGTTTATATAAGGAAAAATAGTATAACATAACAAGAACTGATTTCATAATCGGGAACTTCTGGAGTTCAATAATAATAATAATAATAATAATAATAATTAATAAATGCTGTTTACATGTCTCTTAACGTTGTCTAGCTTATTTATAAATCCTTTTGTTTTTTATCTGACATTCTTAGGAGACTGTTAATTAGTATAATATTTAAATAGAAAAAATATTTTCGAACTTTTGCTAGTAGTGCCTGCATGGTAGTCGTAGATAAACAACAATGAATTCAAGTAGGTGTTATTTTGGTCAAGTATACCTAGTTTTCTAATTGATAAGAACGTGGATAAGAACAAAAAATATTAGCACAATCTTTAAGCATACTCGCTTGATATACTTAGTAATTATAAAAGTAAAAGCAATGCCCTAAATAACCAACATGCAGAGATGATAGTCATTTTGGTGTTAAGACTGACATGGGGTCATGAATTTTGTACATTTTCATTCAACAGCTTTTTTAACATTAATAAAACATGATCCTGTATCAGTCAAGTTTAATTATTACTTGTTTTACAGTGGAATTCGTTAGTACGTATAATTTACTCTTAAGATGAAAACATCTCAAACTCAAAATAACATGTGTTTTGTATATAAGGTTTTCTATTAATTAAGTAAGAAGAAGCTTGCGGATAATATGAGGTTGGTTCTTAAGTATGCCTACCATAGACTAAGAGACTAAGTTAAATAAATCCCTTTCCCATACGAGCTTTAAGACCATTAAAAACAAATTCAGTCTTTTTTCATGTGATACATGTGCTGGGATTGACAAATATACATTTTATTTGGATTTTAAACGCGTTTTGAGGTCCACACCCCCAAGTGTCTGTGCAATTTTAAGGTATGTTTAGAGTCATTTCTTATAATGTAAGCTTAGAGAAAATTAATGCGAAAGTCTGACCAAAAACTGTTGCCGTGTTCCCGGATTTTTCACCGGTGTGTTAGTAAAAACTTCCTCGGGTAACACGTCATCCATTTTGACAAAATGGATCGAACGGTAGTTTCCGTGTTATTTTGTTTCGTTTCCTATGTTTTTCAGCTGGCAAGTACTGAAAAAAATGTGTATAATTTCAACGGAGGATGGTAAGTCATGCTTTTATCATCTTTTGCAATTACATCACTCCAATATTGGGAAATGGAATATATTTTCGCGACGTATCCGTTTTTATAGACTGCAAAACCTACCGATTGTACAAACTGAGGTACCCCAAACTGATAATACTGTTACTATTTAACTTACCAGTAGATATGTATTTATTTTTATGCATTACCCCATTAACCCCCCCCAAAAAAAAAAAAAAAAAAAATATATATATATATATAATAATAATAATAATAAAAAGAATGGGGAGGCACATAGTTTTTGTAGCATCTGTACATCTGACTGCATCCGTCCTCCCATCTGTCTCGCGGTCTTCAGTGTCTTCGAGTGAGAAAATTGTCCAGCCCATAACTTTGTCATTTATGGATGGATTTTAAAATAATTTTGTAGAAATGTGTAACACAATTGGCAATGTGTCATGAAACATCTAGGTCTGAAGCTCTAAGGTAAAGGTCACACTTTGACTTTAAAGGAATATTTTTATAAAAATGCACTGATCCACAAATTGTCATTGATGGATGGATTTAAGAATTATTATGCAAAAGTGTTGGACATAATGATGACATGCAGAGCATAAGAAATGGGACCTTAACAAAAAGGTCAAGGTTACACTTGCAGATCCAAAGTAGTGATATGAATTTTATAAAAGTACACTGATGTTTGTGTCCAGTCAACAAATCTGTCATTCCTGAATGGATTTAAAAATAACTAAGCATAGATGTGTTTGACATAATGACAATGTGTTGTGTGCAAAAATTAGGTCCCTACCTTAAAAGTCAAGGTCACACTTGTAGATCAAAAGTCATCATGATATAAATTTTTATGAAAGTACGTTCACTGATGTCGTGTACTGTCAAATATTTTGTCATTTCTGAATGGATTTGAAAATTATTATGCATAAACAGGGATTTATTTTGGGCTTAATTTATAGCCTTTATTGGGTCATATTCCCAATTGAAAATAGTATGCTATTTTCCAAATCCACAGGAAAATATTCCAAATTGAAAGTTACAAAATTAAAATATTGAATAAAGAATTCTAAAATCTTTGAAAATAAGGGCTTCTTCGCTTTAATAGTGCTTAGATATTTGAAGATGCCATCCTCGACAGTGATTATTTGCATTCATTTAATCACTGCAAAATTTTAGTCATGCATTTTTTCCCAATTTTTAACAAAACATCGCTGAAATTCCTAATGTCATGGTGTGGGTCTTTTCCCAAAATTCTTGAAAGAATCCCTGATAAATGTGTTTGACATAATGACAACATGCTGCTAGCATGAATCGGGTGCATACCTCAGAGGTCAAGGTCAAGGTCACACATATTTTCCAAAATTTTTAATGAATTTTTTCATTAAAGTGCATTGATGGTTGTGTTCGCCAACAATTCTGCCATTCCTGGATGGATTTTATGATAATTTGGCATAAATGTGTCAGACATGATGATGAAATGTCAAACATAGGGGACAAGTATCCAGTTTAAAGGTGTAGGTCACACTTGTATGTCAAACTTTATGATTGTAAATACACTGTCTTCTTTCGTGCAATGCTTTGTCATTCACACCCTGAAATACTTATGCATAAATTATTTATTGTTATGCTCCCGAAGGGAGGCATAATATAATCACACTGTCCGTCTGTCCGTCCGTCTGTGCGTGCCCACTTCATTTGTGTCCAGACTGTAACTTTGTCATACATTGAGGGATTTTGAAATAACTTGGCACAAATGTCTACCACATCAAGACGATATGTCACCTCCAAGAACCACATCCTTACCTCAAAGATCAAGGTCACACTATAATTTTGAAGTTTCACTTTATCGCAATTAGAGTAAATAGGTACACACATTCATGTCCGGACTGTAACTTTTTCATGCATCAAATGATTTTAAAATAACTTGGCATAAATGTCTACCACATCAAGATGATGTGTCATGTCTAAGAATTAGGTCTGTACCTCAAAGGTCAAGGTCGCACTTACATTTTGAAGTTTCACATTATCACAATTAGAATTAATAGGTACACACAATCGTGTCCAGGCTGTAACTTTGCCATGCAGGGCAGGATTTTAAAATATCTTGGCATAAATGTTTACAACATGAAGGATTTTGAAATAACTAGGCATAAATGTCTACCATATCAAGACAACATGTTGCACAAAGACCCATGTCAATACCTTCAAGGTCAAGGTCACACTTTAGAAATAGTTTGAAGATACACATTAATGTCCGGACTGTAACTTTGTCATGCATGGAAGTATTTTAAAATAACTTGCCACAAATTTCTACCACATCAAGATAATGTGTCGCAGCTAAGGCTTATGCCCGTCTGTCCGTGTGTCCCCACTTACACAACAATCATTTTCAGACTGTAATTTCGTCATGCATTGAGGGATTTTGAAATAATTTGGCACAAATGTCTATCTCATAACAACATTTTGTCGCGTACAGAAACCACGTTCCTTCTTTAAAGGTCAAGGTCACACTTATATTTTGAAGGTTCATGCTATCACAATTAGAGATTACAGGCAGGGTTAGAATTTAGCAAGATTTTCTACTTGCAGATTTTTGCAAGTGATCAAATGTTTAACTGGCAATATGAGGTAGTCAACTAGCATTTCCATGATCACGTATTTTATTATTATTTTTATAGACAATGACAATGAATTTTGAACATCTGATATGACAAATGATAATAAGCTTGAATGTCTATTGAAACATCTTTATCACTGGTAAACACAGATGTCTTCTTGTAACGAAACAAAAACATTTCAACAAATTAATTTATAAATGATAAACAATTGTTTAGGGATCAGATTAGATATACCATCTAGGAACACCCACTGGTGACAACATACAGTTATAAACTTGTTCATGTTATGTAATTTCTTAGGACCTTAATTTTAGCATATTTTGTACTTGATTACATCAACAGCCTGAAATCTCAGAGGTTCTGATCTACTTATAATGAATAAATATTTCAGCTTAAAAGTAAACACTTTACAGATGAGTGCTACACATTTACATTGGACCCTGATAAAACATCTTGGATGCTCTAATCAAAAGTGTTTGGCTGTTATAAAAAGTCCATCAAAATATAGTCACAGAAAAAATAAATAGAGCAATCAAAAATTGATTTATATAAAATATAAGTTTTTAAGGTAAACATCATCAGTTACAGCAGGGGGCAGTTGCCAAGCATCATCATCAGCTCAGAAGATAAAAAATTATGTAAACGTCCAAATTGAACAATCACTTGCAAATAAATGCAAGCTAGAGTAATTTTTACTGGCATTATTAGATTTTAACTGGCATTTTGCCAGTATGCCAGCTTAAAATCGAACCCTGATTACAGGTACAATAATACAAAGAACAATATTCAGCAATATTATTAGTTACTTTTATTCTCTTCTTTTCATAATACCTGCATGATTAAGAAACCTTTTTGGGGGCATTCGTCACTTGGGTGACAGCTCTTTTATTAAATCTATTATTTTAATATTATTATATTTAAAATATGCTGCTTATTATGATGATAAGTAATGAACAAAATTGAGTTCAGCAGCCCAAAGGTCAAGTTCATACTTGAATGTCAGAAGTCATGATATGACAGTGCATTGCTGGTCATGTTCAGATAATGCCTTTATGTCATATAATACTGGTAATGACTATGTATTTCTTAATATGTTACCTCCATGAAATAAAATGTTTATAATTATTATTATTAAAATAATGTGATAACAGGAATGCCTAGTGTTGTCTTGTTCTGGAAAATCTTTCAGAGTGAGCCCAGTACAGTTATGATTGATGCTCATTGGCTAACATGATTATGACTTATGAATATAAAATCCATGTTGTTGACTATATTTACAGGGAAACAGATGAGAGCAAGATGCTAGCAAGACCGGGTATATGTAACATAGATGTTGTAGATGTCAGCAAACAGACCTTCTCTCAAAAACATTTCGAGGATTAGTAAGTATTTATAAAGTTCAGATTCTATTTCTTTATATAATTTCAATATTTAAAAAGCATTTTAAGAGTGTTTGTTTGTCTTGTTTTTATGCCAATTTCAACACATTTTCTTTTGTCACATCTTGGTGGTAGGCCCACCAAGCTGACACTGGTTGATAACTAACCAGTAATTACAAATTTCTCTGAAAGTAACCAGCTATAAATCCCCCATGATTTCTAAATCAGTGGTAAGAGACATGTGACGATAAGACTCAATGTCTGATATCAGCTGTCATGGAGAAATTTACTTCACATAAGGATCAATCCAGCAACCCAATCCATTGCTCTCCCTATTGAGCTAAGTAGGCCAAAAGCATTTTAAGACAACCAGTTAACTTGTCATTGTTAGGTATATTCTGATAAACTTACATTGACTTAAGACAATCTGATCCAACCTAGTAACCCAATTTATTGATTAGGGGGGTGGGGTCATCCCCCATCATATCTTACCCTGTCTATGTAATTTGACAACAATTACTTTTGACATTTAATCTTGTAAACTTTAAATCAATACAAGAAATGCAGCTTACCATATGAGACAATTGACAATAAATGTGCTTGAAATAATTTATCAAAATTCAAAGTCGGGTCATACAAATACATTTTACAATTTTTTTTGTGTTATAAAAAAATTGTGTAAAATCTTGAAAGTATTGGAACTTTTGTATTTTCAGCTATGCATATGTAAAACCTGTGATTATTAAAGGCTCTACAGACAATACTGTAAGTAAATAAAATGGGTTTAGCTATTTTTCTTTACTTCTAACAAGTATTTGAACCTTAATCTTTTAAAAATGATTTGTCCATCTTTTAATCTGGACTCGACCATTTATTATTTTTATGGAGAATTTTTAAAATATGTACTTACTAAATACAAAAAAAACATGACTCATGATGATCAAATCATTCAAATGGGTGGGTACTATAGGGGTGGTATTTAGATTTGCCATTGTCCGCCACTCTGAGCATGTGTGCAATTGTGTGTGTGTGTGCATTCCATGTTGTGTCACATGTACTATCAAAAGTGCTTGCAGTAGAGTCAACAAAGTTTAATTATATTTTATTGGGCTATAATTTTTGATGTTGAAAACTTATGTTTTCACTATTGTGCATACATTGTATATGTAGATATTAAAATCTTAGATATCATATAATGTTTTACGGATAACATACATGATATGACATATTCTTAAAAATCTATTAAAATGCTCCAAATTTTTGTCTCAGAAATTCAGAAAGCTGTGTGAAAAGACAGCATTGTTAGAGAGATATGGTGATAAAATTGTTCGTCTGAGCTCAGCCAATACACACTCTTATAGCAAAAGTAAGTTTATCCTTCATGAAGTAAATGTAAATATATCATTTCTGAAGTAAATGTAAATACATCATTTCTGAAGTAAATGTAAATATATCCTTTCTGAAGTAAATGTAAATATATCATTTCTGAAGTAAATGTAAATACATCATTTCTGAAGTAAATGTAAATATATCACTTCTGAAGTAAATGTAAATATATCATTTCTGAAGTAAATGTAAATGAAATTGAAACATCTTAAGGGTTCGACACTTACTGTTTTTGAAACTGAAACTGATTTATATAATTAAATGCCTATTTCTATACACATATTCAATGGCGTTGTACAATAGAATAATAAAAGTATGTACATAAAGATATAAAATCACTTATGCATGGCAAAATAACTCCAAAAAAAAAAAAAGTTAAAGAAATCAGTGGTGTAAAATACTTATACACGTATTTGTACTGTTTTATTTACAGGAGATGTTGAATTAAAGAAATATGTGAATGAAATTATGAAACCACAAACTTTGGACACTTTAGGAAATGGTAAGAATTTATTAAAAATAAAGGCTATTGAATATATGAACTTCTAAAGTCTTATTATGGAACTAACAAACAAGTCTAAACATTAAGACCAGGGTCGGAGGTTATAAAGAAATTTTCTAATCTCAGATCTGAAGTATCGATTGGTCAGAAACATTAACAGAATGTGCACTGATCAAATAAAATTGTAAGACCTGAGAGAGGTCTTTAAGAAATTTTTTTTAAACTTTGGGCCAGTAAACTAGCGAGTTTACAGAAAAATACTAGTTGGTCATTTTCACTTTTGGATCCAGCAGTTTGAGGGGTTAGAATCAAGCGAGATATATGTTTAGCTCATGCAAGCATGGAAAGAAAATCTATGAGCAAGTTGCTGTTGAATTAAGTTTATAAATACACAACCCATAAAAGGATTTGCTTAGTACATGTAAACTGCTTTTCAAAGAATCAGAGTAAAGGAAAAGTTGTTTGATGTTTTATAATTTGTTAGAGAGGGTATAATGCTTTATTTATCACATAAACTATGGCCCAGGAGTGTAATAAATAGAGGATATTGAATTAGTGTAGATGTAATACTAAATTTATTGAACAAGTTGAATAAAATCATATTATGTGAGCCTCTGGCGAGCATTATATAGAGGATATTTGTTTAGTTCAGTGTAAGATCGGAATATATTTCACCGAGTGAGCACCAAAAGGTATATTTCACGAGTGGCGCAGCCACGAGTGAAATATTAACTTTTGGTGTTCACAAGGTGAAATATATTTCGATCTTACACTAAACTAAACAAATTTTCTTTTTATTACATGCAAAGAAACGTTTTAAAAAGACATTAAACCTAATATTGAATGAAAAGCGCGCCAAATAATTATACAACGTGACGTCATTTACGACGTCACGTCATTGAGTTGGTACCCAGTACTGTGCACGCTGGTATTTCACTGAAACAACGTGAGGGGCTTAAATTCAAAACAGTGAAATTATTAAAGTGGTAATTTCACTGTTTCAAACAGTGAAATTACCAGTTTTATATCACTGATATATTTCTATAAACCACCGAAAAGCATGTAATAAATTGTTTTATTCAACAAGTTGACTACACAAATGTTATATTCTATTTATCACATATATAAAATAAGAACAGTAAACTGTTAAAAGACTTATTTTTCATTGATGCGTGTAGCGCTAACATTAGTGCACTTTAATGATACGTTTATATATAGCGCAAAGGACGTCATGTTAAAGTGTTATTACACTAGTATAATATCTTTTTTATTTAAAGGCTTTATTACACTCCTGCGCGGCGGCGGTTTATGTGATAAAGCCATTTTAAAATAATAAAAATGATATTACACTTGTGTAATAACACTTTAATGCAATGTCATTTGCCTCATTTACAAACACAGCGCTAATGTTAGTGCTACAATATAGGCGTGTCAATGCATAATGACTCTTTTAACCATGTAAACAATAAACCGTTCTTATTTTGCATGTTGATAAAAAGATTATTATATTTGTGTACATTCAATTCTACACTTGTTGAATAAAACAATATAAAGCTCGCCTAATATGATTCTATACGACTAGTTCAATAACTCATTCAATATCATGTATTTTCATTACAGAGACTTATTACTGGTTTGGGGACAATGATTATGTAGAGTTTGCTGATTTATTTGATCAATATAAAGCTCCACCATATAAATTACCCAACATGCATGGTGTTTACAGCTTTGGTTTAGCAGGTACATTCTTTATTTATGGTCATGCACATAATTTGTGTAACTTTTTAGTAAAAAGACATTATACGGTAAATAATTTTTCTAAGTCTTATTATTTTATTGTTTAATTTCTTTAAAGATATGTGTATATGTGTTGTTATGTTTTCATAGACTTATAAACATACATGTATCTTTCTTGGCCATATTAGACATTGTTAATGGTCAAAGTGATTTGAAATGCTGATTTACCAATTAATGAAATGAACCAAAGTTTTCAATGAAAGAAAACTTATCAAAATAAAGATGTTGCGTTTTAAATATAAGTTTAGATTAAAGAAGAGACAACTGTCAACATCAAAAGTTATTGTTCATATGTACATGCATAAAGTACATGTACATGATGTAGTAACATAGAGCTAACTGTTATTACATTTTCTTAATTTAAAAAGCAAAGCAAATAAAAGATACTTAAATATTATATGAAAATAAGTTGTAATATGGCATTTCTTTATGTACTAAATTTACATATTTTTACTTGATTTAGAACAAGAAAACATAAGTTTCTAATGATAGCATCTATTCTCTAGCTGCAGGTACAGGTGTTCCTTTTCATTTTCATGGACCTGGTTTTGGAGAAGTTATTTTTGGTAGAAAGGTAAAAATATCTTATTATTACATTATTTGAGTTAAAGATTTTGAAACAGTTGTCTGTAGACGTATTTAGCTTGACTGATTTAGATTATTGAATAGTAGAGTTACCCTACTCACTTCATAAACTATACACATTACCCACATCCTACTCACTACCCGTACCAAACACTATTTTCCTTTAAGGTTTTACTTTGAAAATTTAAATATTTGTTAGTGACCATCATTTCCAGCTCCTGGCAAATTGACATAAATCTATCGTGGATTTTGACAAAACTAAATCTTTTCCTGTATATCCTTTCCAGATAATGCTTTGAAACATTAAATACTTGTTAGTGATCATTATCACCACTTCCAGGAAAGTAATTATAATTGTTGAGTATGGACATTAATACGGACTGCTCTTGTTCAGTGATAAAATCTGCTCATGTGTTTTTCTTTGGACACATACACAGGTGTTATTTCTTTATACATGTACTTCTATAATGAATTTAATGTTGAACTTATTTTAATAAATTAAGTTTTGAACCTACACTCATTCAAGATTATTGTATTTTAGCCTTATTATTTCAGCGCTGGTTTTTGTATCCACCTGAGAAACAGCCTTCATTTAACCCAAATAAAACAACACTTCATTGGTTAATGGAAGAATATGATAATCTACATCAGTTAGATAAACCTCTAGAGTGTACAATCAATGAAGGAGAGGTATGCTTTTTTGTCCCCTGGCTGTTTTGAAAAAAATAAAATGGGTATATAGAGATGGGCTTCATGGGCTGCCTGTCTGTTTGTCCGTCTTTCTCTTTTTGTGACCAGTCCATGAGGGCATTTTGAAATAATGTAGCACAAATGTTTACCATAATAAGACAACCTGTCATGTGAAACAACCAGACCCGTATCTCCAAGGTCAAGGTCACACTTTAGTTCAAAGTTCAACATTGTCAGATGAAAGGTACAATGTATATATTCTGTGTCTGTCCCATATTTTTTCATCCATCAAGGGATTTTGAAATAATTTGTCAAAATTGTTCACCATAACAAGTCAAACACAGAGACACCTACCTCCAAGGTCAATGTCACACTTGGAGATCAAAGGTCAACATTGTCTGATGGGAATTATTTTATGTCCAATCCATAACTTTCATCCATTAACAAATTTTGAAATTACTTGGCCCACAATTTTTGATGTTCACCATAATCAGACAATGTGTCATTTGCAACACCCAGACCCCTACCTCTAAGGTCAAGGTCACATAACTTTTTCAATCATCAAGGGATTTTGAAATAATTTTTTAGCCCAAAATGCAAATTTAAAAGAATCTTCTTGACAGACAGTACAATTCCCAGAACTTTGATATTTGGAATATGATTTCATTTGTAGGTCCTCTATTAAGTTGCCTCTAGTTTCAAATTGGCTTCATCTTGTACTCAGCTTTTGGGTATTTCTATAGATCATCAATGAGACCCTAGGATGTTCACATATTTATAGGACAGTTAAATAACAAAAAACAAAACAAAAACAAAAAACATGTTTGTTTTAATTATAATTGGTATATATTGTATGTGTAACAAACATGTAGCATATGTAGCAATGTACATGTACATTGTATATCAAATATTATTAAATTATGTGTTGTGATGTTTCGTAATTTTAGATTTCATTTGTATCTATTTTCAGATTATTTATTTTCCTGACAGATGGTGGCATGGAACTTTAAACATTGACACAAGTGTTTTTATTTCAACATTTCTTGGATAAAAACAGAACAAAAAATATTAGAATGACACATAATCTCCTTTAACTTAAATGAGTGGTAAGAATAAGTAATGAAATAAGGAATACAAGAATAACACAGCAACACACTGGGAAATAGTAAAATTGTAAGAAACATAAAGTTAGCAATAGTGGCTTGGTAAGGATGAATTGAACAAAAAAATTTTAATAGTTTGGAGGGATGGAATGACTGAAGGACCAACCGACATCATGCTGCAAAACAATATGCCCATTTCTTACATATGTTTAGATGTAGAATTTGACTTTCACCTACATTTTGATCCAGTGAAAACTGTTTCCACTCAATAACTTAGAGTATGGACAATATTTTAAATGTTAGTTTAACTTTATAAAAAGAACTTGTGTAGAATGTTATATCTTTTCTAACATTTTGAGTATTTAGAAAAACTTATATCATTTAATTCACATGTATAATTCATTAGTTTTTAGTTTAGCATGATAAAAGCAAACGTTATATATTTACAAAAAAAATAAAATTAGGTGAATATGATAAAACAATAATTTTGTATCATATTGCTCTAGAAATGACCATGATTGTTAAAGATGTTGTAAATTTACTATTTTTAAAAGATACAAATAATTGTGTACATAAACAAATATTTTTTCACAAACATAACTAATTTTTTTTTTGACTTTAATAATGGTTACTTATTCTTACTACTGTACCCATTTAAGTTAAGAAGTTACTGAATTATTATGTAGAACACCATAACTTTTAGTCAACAAGAAATCTTAAAATAGGTCATGAGTGTCATTTTAAGATTTCTTGTTGACTAAAAGTTATGGTGTTCTACATAATAATTCAGTAACTTCTTAAAAAGTCAGATTTAAGATAGAAAGTCAATGAGAATTATACTTCATATTGTAATATTTGTAAACAGAAATATAATGCTATTAAAACCTTACCATTTTCATCAGTTGAGTACATGTACTCGTATGTTTTGGTACAATGTAAAAGCAAAACTTGTAACTACTTACAAATTGCAGATGGCTTAGAAAACCTTTTAATTGAACTAATAAAAAAAGTTGTTTAGACATTTTTCCTTTCTAAGAATTTGATTATTGCGAATTATTATTTTTCATATTTCAAACAAATGTTTATCATCATTTTCCTTTGAATACATAATATAGTATTAACTGTTTGATTTAGGAATATTGGGAAACTCATTTTATGTAAAAAGAAAATTGTGTGTCAATTTCTACATTTTATAGCTAATCTAAGCTGGCACTTTTAGGATCATTGAATGTCTGTCATAAAATCTTGTTAACACTCTAGTATCTAATGTTTCGGTACAAATATCCTGGGAAATGGTCAGAAAGGTTATTTTGATGATTTCTAGCTTCAGATTGAAAATGGGTCACCTGGGATTAAAAACTAGGTCACACAGCCTGGAATGGAAGAACACTTTAGAGGTTACATTTTCAGCCTGACTGTCCTGGAAATTGGTCAGAGATAACTTCCTTCCTTCCTCAGTCAGTCAGTTCGTCCATCCGTCCGTCCATCCATCCACAAAAACTGGATCCCATGATAACACAAAAAGTACTTTAAATATTTTTAGGTAGATGGCAGTCTGGAGATTATGTACGTCTTGTTTATGCCACTGCCAAATTCATAGCAAGGCAAATCAAGTACAAAAATTCAGCAGGTTAAGGGTTGATATAATTTTACTAAATTCTGCCATGGAAATTGATCACGGATTTATATTACATAGAGGATATTCAGGTTTTTTCAGTGAAATATGATAATTTTCATACCACAAGATGAAAATAAATCCTGTATTTATAGAAAAAAACTGGTATTTTCTGTTTATTGTTTATTATATATCATTTTTTCCTTTTAACCTCATGAATAGGAAGAATTCTTTTTAATATTGTTTATAAGCTGAATTTAGAAGAAAGTAGTGAGGCAAGACACCAGTGAAAATACGGATAATATGTTTCACAGTAGTGAAAAATAAATTTTTACAGTGAAAATACGGAAAATAAAAATATGCATTTTATTTCATCAATATTTCTCAATATTTCATTTATAAGAATGTAATAAATTAAGTTATTAAGATCCGTGAAATTTATGCACTCTTATGTGTGTTATGATTCTGTTAAAAATTTGTGAAAAGTTTTTGGATAAATGTCTATTTAGACAAAGTGCTGTTGGGATAGTTGCAATGTGTTCATATTACATAGTGTATAAATTTATATTATAAATAATTGTGAATTTTATCATTTGTTTCCTTTTTTCTCATTGAATTTGTACTATTTGTTACTTTTTTTCAATTTTATTAATTTTGTTTCATCATTTATGTAGAAAGTATGTTTACAAACCTAATAATACCACAGACTTTAATTACATTAATTTAGTTATTAGTTTAGTGTTTTTAGTTACCATATGCTTTCGAGTCGAGTGAGACTATCATCACAGTACACCTGATTAACTGAATTTTACTATATGCTTTACTGCATAGGACAATTGGACCAAAAACCAATTTCATATGCTTTACTGCATAGGACAATTGGACCAAAAACCAATTTCATATGCTTTACTGATGACTACATTTAAAGAGCTACAATATTCTGAAAATTTCAATATAGCAGCTTTGATCCTATTGACTAGTATTTAATCAATTATATTGCCAAGTATGATGCATTTCAAAAGAGATGTATTTATGTACAAATTTCTTGCACTATAAATAGTAGACTAGTGTTTGCAATGCCTGTTGTTTTTCTAACACTACTGATTGAAACAACAGATGTTTTGCTCCCAAGACCCATTAAACCGAGATGGTTCACATCACGATTTTACATGAACCCAAATATAAGTTTACCCGAAACAGTGAGGTTCAGTTACATTATTTCAAATAGCTGTTTCAAATTTCTTATCAGGTTTAAGTTAAATGTTATTATTTAAGTTCATTTGAATAATTTGATACACCCTTTACGCTCTTGTAAACTATATGAAAAAGCTAGCAATGACCACCATTATTACGAGCGAAATTAATGACAGAAGCTGAATCGCTACTGAAGCCGAATAAATATAAAAAATACCAGGATCATATAGACTAAATCAATGCAAAAATGTCTTAAAATTTGAAAACAGCTGTTCAAATTTTGAAATCAGTACAGTACCCTAACCCGTGTTAGGTACGCCGTGAGATTTGACGGAGAAAATAGGATTTGCTGATGCTGACAAAAAATATTTTAAATATTAAATAGTGTATCGGTATTTTTTGTTGTAAGTGTAGAACAGCTATAAGACAGTGTCATGCGTATTGATTTTTTTTTGGTATCTTCTCGTAGAATCCTATTACATGTATATTCCGAATGTTGTTTACATAAGAAGTTATTCTAGCGGGAAAAATCAAATGTTTAACGTCCGAAGAACATGAGCCTCCTTATGTTGATATTTTCAACTGGACCATTTTAAACGATGAACAGAAAGTCACTTTATTACACTCAGATTAGCCCGATGTCCATATATATGCATTTAAATCGAGGTAAGTTTATGCAGATCGAGAAATTTAAAGTAGGTAAAATATGCATTTTGTCATTAAATCATATTCAAATGTATTTTTGTCTTATCAAATTGCATCAAATATTATTCTATTTTATTTTTAACTACAGTAAGGAATGAATAATGACGTTCCAATATAACTGTATAAAGGCGTTTTTCAAAAAAAAGGATTTTTTTTTTGAAAAAAAAAACAAACCAAAAACAAAAAAAAACACAACAAAAAACTCCAAAGTCAGGTTGCTGCGAGCGGGATACCCATCCCTTTTCCGGCGTTTGGGGGGGGGGGGGAGGATAGGTATTGAGGTATTGTTGAAGGATGGATCCAGGCTCAAGACCATCGGCTCTTCTAACCTACCTGACATAATACCCAATTTAGCGATATAAAATTTTAAGTCGTAATGGAAAAAGAAAACGCATATTGAAAATTATAGATGCGAAAAAAAAAAACCCACCACAGAGCATTTCTCCCTGAAATAAATACATATTTTATGTTAACAGAATGATAATGTATAAAGTGAATCAAAACAGAATTAAATGAATATGTCTCATCTATTTTTCATCGAAGTCCATGATATTTGTTTTACTTATTGGGACACTTATTTGTGTTTTTCTCTCCAGGCTGTACCACAGGCACGAGTATCGGACCTGAAAATATGACCACATTGATAAAAAAAAACCTCTGTACCTCTGTATTAATCTTAAATGTGTCAAAAACCAAAAAAAAAAAAAAAAAAAAAATTGCCCCCCCCCCTTGAAAAAAATGTACCATAAGTTAACTTATACTGATCAGAGAGATAACTCCGACACATAGATAACTCCGACACTTGATAAATATAATTTTTATAACTTTGTTTTTCAACAAAAAAGCATATGGTCACCTAGTAGTATAGGAGCAGTACAGAATGTGATGATTTTTTGTAAGTTGGTAAACTTTTTAATATTTTTCAATTAACCGAAACTTTTCGTTGGCAAAAACTGCTTCAAAACGTTCTTTTTACTAAATTACAATGAGGTAGTTAGAAATGTATTGACCACAGGCTACTGACTTGGGAAATATTTTTGAAATCTTGTTTTTACATCAACAAAAAATAGATAAAACATATAAGATGTAAAAATAAATTGATGATGCTGATTTTCCTGTCATTTTTTACTTAAAAATTTTAGTGTTTACTTTATCTACTGTTGTGGGGTAAAAAGACCATGTTTTGTATACCCCATTCAGGACCTTAAAGAAGTACCAATTCTCACTTTCATACATAATTTTTGTAGTGTAATGTAAAGTCTTTGAACTGAACTTTATTTAGGTGGTTCAACATTTAAAATATACAGGAAGATAATTTATTACAAAAAGTATGTGATTTAGTGTCGGAGTTATCTCTCCAACCAGTAAGTATATTTTTTCAAAGGGAGCAAAACTTTTATTTATTTATTTATTTATTTATTTATTTTTGGGTTTTGACACATTTAAGATGAACACAGAGTTTTTTTTATCAGCGTGGTCATATTTTCTTCCCAGGTCCGATACTCGTGCCTGTGGGCTGTACATAACCCTGAAAAAGAAAACGATTGTTAAAGTGACATTATGCCCATCCAGGGGATATATAGTGAGTGAACGGGTGAAGATCAAAATATGTTTTCATTTTGCCATAATCCCTTTTAATTTGATAATTAAGTTCACATAAACAATAGATAACACACAAATCCAAATGAAATTTCTGTAAATATATGTTAGAATTTACGTATAACGCTTAGTTTATTAAAAGAGTGGGACAGTCTTTTTAAATTTTAGGCAGATTTATAATTTTATCCTAAACATTTTCCAATATCAACTGTTTGCCAAACACGATTTTGACAGTCAATATTTAGAAATATAAAGTCAATTCAGCTCAACTTGACTATGAAAATATGAGCATAATGTCATTATATATACCTGTGAGCATGCACAAATTTTTTTAATGATGTTTTAAGTTTACTTGCCGCGCTATAATTGAGTTGCTATTTCATAATAGCTTTTTTATGGTACAGGCACAAACTTTTTTATGTTCTATATGGGCTATATATCTTTATATACATATAAAGGCCGATTATGTAAAATATTTGATTATGTTGAGAAATCACGGAGTTTGACGGAAAGGGCCGAGAAGATGCGGGAATCTTTCTTATCGCCCTTTGAAGATCGCTACAGTAAAGTTGACAGAAACAAGGCTAGAAAATGTCTCAAAGTTTCCGAGTTTTGACACGTTCGTTTTCATCGTCAGCTGCAAGACAAGCTGCAATAAAGAATGTCACAATTATTGGAGGTGGTCTTATGGGAGCTGGCATTGCACAGGTGAATTAATATGAGCGTATTATAAGGTTGTACTGAAGCCTGTAGTAAAGGTCAAAAATTGTAACGCTTAACCTGTTAACACACCAGGCCGTTTTCGGCTTTGATCTCAATCTTCTCTAGTCAAACTCCTACTGGGAGTTAGAAAAATAAAAAAAACGGGGATTAAAGGTGAGATAAAAGTTAAAAATAAATAAAATCAAGGAAGGTGTGTTTTTAGAGTGAGACTAGGCAAATAATTTACTTATTTAGCATGTGCTCATTGCTTTCCAATCTGTCAGTCTGTCAAATATAATAATTAATTGTCTGGAAACATACTATGTAAACCCTTTTCATACAATTAAACTTGTCTCGGTATAACTCTGTAAAGTTTGCTATATATAGTGGCTGATTATGCCATTCGTGGAATATGGCGCGGCTGTGAAGCGAAATATTTTTTGTTACAGAATCTAAATTGGCGTGCCCCCTGTAATAGGCATGGTATCACTCTGTGCCACTTCCGTGTTATTTCTAAAATCTTGGTCTGTGCCTCCGTTGGTTGACGTTTTATAAATTTATTAAACTTTGTCCCACGCCCCTGCTAAAAAGCACGTTTTTGTTTCGAGCCCCCCACCATTTTATTTCTTAAATCTCGCTCCACGCCTCTGTGGGACCATGTTTTATTTATTAAACATGGTCTTGTGGCCTGGCTAATTACTGTGTTTTCGCTCCGCACCCCGGCCATTTTAACTTGTTAATAAGACTTTTCGCTTGGGAGGGTCACAGTGCGAAAACACGCTAGGAGAAACGTGGGATGAAAAGAGATTTTAACTACTTAAAACAGCCGGGAAAACATGGAAAGTAGCAGGGGCGGGGAGCAGAGCAAAATGTTGAGTTTTTAAGAATAATTTGGCGAGGGTATGAACAAAAGCACGCTAATTAGCACCCTATAACAAGAAATATTTCGCTTCAAAGCCCCGTCGTATTACAATTAAATCTCGACTTTGGTCTGTGCCCCCTCTTATAAGCATATTTTCGCTCAGCATCCCTACCATTTTATCTTGTTAATTCCCACCTTTTTGCTGGCGAAAAACAAGAAATGGCACAAATCAGCCACCATAGCTATACACAAATTATGTAAGTGTTCAAGGGCAAAAATAAAATACAAGAGCAGACAGCTCTTATTTTTCAAGTTTGTGACTCTTTGTAAAATTGGATGTATTTAAAGTTCTATCATTCTGTACTCAGTAATATTTTTAGCAATATTTTCTTCCATTACTGAGAGAGAATGGGTAAACACTATTTTGAAAATTTGCTACTGACAAGAATCTCGGCATGTGTGTTTACCAAATGCATTCTTGTTTCATTGAAATTAACCTAATTATCTGTTATCAATAGAAAAACATAGCATTTATACATGGTTTTAATCTTGTTTCAGGTAGCAGCAACAACTGGACATAATGTTGTTATTGTGGATACATCTGAGGATATCTTAAAGAAATCAAAAGCAAGCATCGAGAAAAGCCTTCAGAGAGTGGCAAAGAAAAAGTTTGCTGAAAACCCAAAGGTTATTATGAGATATTTGAATTGGTTAAATATAAAATAATGTAACCTTTTTATTTAATTTCATTATCAAAGTAATGTGGTTACGAACCCCCTTGCTTGCTACGCAGCTGCAATTGTACAGCGCGCAGTAATATTATTCTTACTTGTTTTGCATGCGATATTTGGCGCTACATTGTGACGTCACGTAAACAACTCTTTAAACGTCTGTACAGCGTTAATGACTGAATTATAGATATTAGTGTTAGGATTTATTTTCTAAGTTAGACCATTTTCTATCATTCAAGATAGTTTTCAAAACAAAATTCGACAAAAAGTTGTTTTGTATTTATCAGGTTTTCCAAACAAAATGGCCAAAGAAGTCCCTTACAATAAATATGAGTTTTGAAATATATTTGACTGATAAAGCACCATATTTCATGGGTAAAATTAAATAATGTGTAATATTTTCATTACCATTAGCCATGATATATCTATAATATCATTATTCATAATTGATTTTGTCTCTCTTTCATTTTGCCTAAACTTTTCTTCATTATTTTAAGCTAAAAGTTCAAAATGTGTACTATTCTTCATTATGATTGAATGAGGTTATTTTGCCTTGCAGGATGGTGAAGCTTTCATATCAGATGTAGTTGGAAGATTGAGTGTACAAACAGACGCATGGGAGGCTGTGAAAAATGCAGATCTTGTTACCGAGGCCATTGTTGAGAATCTAGACATTAAAAAACAACTTTTTTCACAACTAGACAAGGCGGCTCCTGAGTATGAATACCTCATTTACTTGAATTTTCTTTATTTTACACAGACAGAATCAAGGTTTACCTTAAATGAAAATGCAGAGAAAGTGTTTGTGTTAGTTCGCATTTGTGGTCATGTGATACCCCTCTGTCTGAAATAAACAAAAAAATCACCTTCTATTATAGTACTACAGAGCCTGGTGGACATCTACAAAAATTGTTCAAATTGTATTCCTTTGGTTGAAATTGGGCTGCCCCAGAGGAACATAGATTTTCCTTATATGTATGTGGTAAAAACTTACTTAGAAACCATTGACTTTCCATAGCAACCATTGACTGCCATAGCAATCAGTGACTTTTCCTAGCAACCATAGAGTTTCATAGCAACCAGTGACTTTCTACAGCAACATTGACTTCCAATAGCAGTTAGTGGCTCCCATGGCAGTCATTGACTTTCCATAGCAACCATTGATTTTCCATAGCAATAGAAAACTTCCATGGCAACTGTTTGCTTTCGATAACATTGACTTCCATAGCAACCAGTGACTTCATAGCAGCAATTGACTTTCCATAGCAGCAATGAATCTACTACTGAAATTCATAGCAGCAATTGACTTCCGAGAAAACCATTGATTTTGTACAGCAACCAATGACTTCTTTAGAAACTATTGTATAACCTGAAAATCATCAAATAGTTATTTTTGTACATGATACAAATATGACCTTTGTGATATCAGTTTAAGATTTATATTTTATATCTGATTTTCATTTATAGTAATATTCCTTATTTTTCTGAAAATATTTTCAAAATCTTTTTTTTATTGATTTGCCTCTAACAGATCCATAATTTTGTTTGATGAATCTTAACTTTGAATCTTTGTTTACATAATAGATAATTTGTTTTCTGCTTCAGTTACCTATAGCTATTATTTTATTTTACAGAAAAACTATATTTACAAGTAATACATCCTCCATTCCCATCAAAGAAATAGCTGTATCAACATCTAGATTGGATAGATTTGGAGGTCTACATTACTTTAATCCAGTACCTATGATGAAGCTTCTTGAGGTATAGTTTTGTATTCTAACACTTCAATACTGAATTAAATTTCACTGTAGCCAAACCATATTTGAATGCAGATTCATAGCATACTGTTAATATATCAATGACTAGGAATTTCAGTAGAAATACAATCTGCAAGGTGAAATGTATACACATAAACATAATAATTCTGTTCACTTTATGTTAAATTTGTAACATTCAAAAATGATTTAATTTGTCAACCTTGAACTTTAAAGCCCAAAAAATCACCACTTTACTTTGAATAGTTTTTAATTATCAAACTTATGTAAATCTATGTTTTATATTGTATTAATTCTAGTCAGTGGCTGCAAAGGAAGTGGCGGATAAATTCCCTATTGACAATTTTCTATTTTCATCACTCACTGTCTGGCATCCATCCATCCATCCATCAGTCCACACTGCTCTTTAAAAACACATCTCATAAATCACCAGGTCAATAATATCAAACATTTCTAGGAATAATCCTCAGGTCATCTTTTAAAGTTATTCCAAAAAAAAAAAAAATCATTCCATTATGTTTGCCATGGCAAAATATAAAAAAGTCATCTCTGAAACTATAAATGCTAGAGCTTAGATAAATGTCATGAACATCATGTATTGGTTCTCTAACAAGCCTGTTCAAATTATAGCCAAGGGTAAAAATGGCCCAAAGTTAATCTAAGTTTTATATGTATTTTGTTGTATATTCAAGTTTTTATATTGTAGGTTATAAGGATTCCAGAGACATCAGACGACACATTTAATGCCTTACTTGCCTTTGGTAAAGCTATGGGAAAAGTAACAGTCAACTGTAAGGTAAACATGTTTAGTCTTTTTGTAGCAATAAATATATCCTTTTTAGCTTTTTAGCTTGACTTTGAAGAAATATTTAGAGCTTTTGCTATGGTCAGGTTGTCATTCCTGTTGATGTTGTGGTCCAGAAACTTTAACATTGGCCTTTTTGAAAATTTATAATGGATTGTCTTCATATTGGACACAACAATCCTTTAGGTAGACCAGACTCAACTCATAAATGACCTTGACAAGGTGAAATGTTTGAATTTTAATGTTTTTTGCTATATTTGGCTTCAACTTTGTTAGCAATGAATGGATTGTATAATTTACGAGTATATTTCTTTTAGGACACACCAGGGTTTATTGTGAATAGATTACTGGTACCTTATATGATGGAGGCAGTACGAATGGTAGAAAGAGGTGATGCCACACCACGGGACGTAGATACTGCCATGAAACTGGGAGCCGGATATCCTATGGGACCATTTGAACTTACAGATTATGTGGGTTTAGATACATGCAAGTTTATCTTAGATGGTAAGTTCGATAAACTTAAGTGAAATGTTTTTTTAATTTATTGAAGTAGTGGAACATTACAACCATGGGAAAACTAATCAGCTTTTATATGCCTGTTTGAAAAATAAAGGGGGATGTATAATAGAATCACAACTGGCTGGCAGGAGACATACAGGTAGTTGCAGTATATCTTCTCGAGCATGGAGGAATAGAAGTATTACTTGATACAGACTAGAAGTCCAGGGCACAACTTACATAATTATGCATTGAGAGATGTTAGTATATTTTGACACAAATGTACACCTGTGTGAGGTGGTGTGTCTCATGCAAAAATTCAGGTCCATACAGCCAAAGCAAAGTTCAACTTCACACTTGGAGGTCAGAGTAGTTTTTACTAGAAGGATTTTATCACAACTGTTCAAATTTATTAGACAGTGTAACCAGCATAATCCAGGTCATTTTGTGCTAGTAAAATGTTTGAATTGCAACTTGCTGAAAAACAGTTACAAAAATGTGCTTCATCAGTTTGCAAGACTGAAGTTCTCAAGTAGTGATCATTTTAAATCTTTTGTTGACAAAGTTGAGTTATATAATGATTTAAAAAGATTTTAATGCTTGTATTAACCATGCATATATTACATTTCAGGCTGGCATGCCAAGTATCCCGATCACCCCTTATTTGAACCAAGTCCATTACTAAACAAATATGTTGCAGAGGGAAAACTAGGCAATAAAGTTGGAGAAGGTTTCTACAAGTCCAAGAAATAAATCACCAAACATTGTTAACTAATACACTGTTTTCCATGACTTTCAAAAACCACAGAAACATATTTATGTATTCTACAGTATGCCATAATTTATAGAACTATATGTATTTTGTAATACAGTTTTAAAAAGTGAAACTTGAGTGTTGCTCAATCCATGTTTAGATGTAATATATTATTATCTCACATAGAGAAGAGTAAGTAGTTGTTTGTTTTCTTTTTAAATTTAGAGGTGATGAATTTATATATTATATCAGATAGGCCTTCTAGGACCAATGTTGTGTAAATTATACTTTATTTCTCTATATGTTTGCATAAACACACACATTTTAATAGTGGAAATTAAAACAGTAAATTAAAACTTTGATATTGGTTTTATATTATAGCATGCTCAACTTTTTCTTACTTCTAAGTGAAACACATTAAAGATAGAATATTGCAGTGGAGATTACTCCTAGAAAACATAACTGTCTTGAACAAATTATAATTCAAATTTCATATTTAACCTTGATGTCAAAATACGAATCAAATCTATAAAAAAGTTATGACAATTTTAAGTAAATTTCAATAATTATCACCTTGAAGGTCAAGTAAAAGTCAAGGTCATACCAGAATAATTTAACATGGCGGCTTTGTCATATGCTTCTTCTTCCCTAGTATAAATCAAATACATTTATAAATATCAAAGTTATGTTAATTTAAGCTAAATTCAATATTTGACCTTGACAGTCAAGGTCTTATTAAGGTCAAGGACATATTTGAATTACTGTACATGTCAGTTTTGTTATAAGTGTGTGTTCTTTTCCCAAACCCATTACTAAATAACAAAGGTATGGCCAATTGCTGCAAAATTTAATAATTTGACCTTTAGTGTCAAGGTCAAATTAAGGTCAAATTCAATACAATCTTCTTTTATGTCTTGTCCAATAGATTGTTGTGCCCAAGCATGAAGACAATCCATTTATTACTTACAAAATGATAACAATTATAACAAAAGAAAATGGTAAATTACAATAATTTGACCTTCAAGGAGAAGGTCATTTACTAGTCACAGTCAAAATGGGTGTGTTTTTTTAAAGACATTTTCCTTACAGTAGATGTGATCAGGTATGCAGGAATTTTCATTTATAATTAACAAAATTTAATAATTTGACCTTCAAGGTGAAGGTTATTGATGAGTGAATCATAATGTGGTCTTCATGAAGATCTTGTCCTTAGGATTATCTTATCCAAGTTCGAGACAATCCATACATAAATAACTAAGTTATAGCCAATTATAGCTTAAATATAAAGCAAAATTCAAATATTTGACCTTGAAGGTCATTTATGAGTGAAGGTCAAGTTCAGTCTCGAAGGTCTGATCCAAAAAGTTGTTGTCTCCAAGTAAAAAGGCAATCCATTTAGAAATAAAAAATTAAGACAAAATGTAAGTTTTCAGAAGACACCAGCGACAGCAAGGACAACATTTCTGTAACAAACTGTAGCTCTTTTTTGTCCTTCAAAATATCAAGCAAATGAATTACAAAGATTTATGAAAGTTTATTATTTTCCTTTTAAATGCAGCAAAAATGTACTGTACATGAACAAACATGACTGACATTTGGTGAACTAAGAAATCAAAAAATCATTTATGTCTTCCACAATGGCATATTTGATTGACCATGGCCCTTTATAATATTGCTGATTGTCTTTTCATGCTTTGTGTACTTTGATACGGAAATTAGGCCACAACCCCTGACAGTTATGATGTAAGGTGACATGCTACACTAGATTAACAACTGTTGTTTTTGAGTTCACAAGTAGGATTTTTGTGCAGCCTGCTAGAGAATGACAGCATAAAGGGATTACTTCTCCATCCTTCGTTGGTCCATCCATCTTAGGTTTTATGTCTTTATTTGTGTATGAAACTACAATGTCCAGAGCTAAGATGTAGCATCCCTTGTGGACCTCTACAAAATTAGTGGTAATCATGCACCTTGGGTCACTGTTGGCTCCACCCCTGAAGTCACTCAATTTATATAGGGAAATACATTTAAGTTTTATTGTGAGAAACTCTACATTGCCCAGACCTGTTTGGCATGTAGCATTGCCTTGTGATCCTCTACATAACTGACATAAATCATGCTCCTTGGGTTTACATTTGCCCTGCCCTGGGGGTCATTTGTTTTATATAGACCTGTAAAGGAAAATTCATTTTAGTCTTGTGTGATATACAATGTCCAAAGCATAGATATGTGGCATGTATCATTGCATTGTGGACCTTTGTAAAATTGATATTAATCATGCCCCATCTGTCAATATTGTCCTTACCCTAGGGGTCATTTAATAGTTATTCTAACACGACCCGCATTTTTCCCTATTGAACATAGAAGAACAGAAAGTGTGTGTTATTATGCAACAGATGCACAGTTTGACGTTCTATATTTAGACATGTGACGTAATCATTATACACGTGACGTAACCACTAAAATCCGACGCGCTGAAAATAAGTACGGAAACAAATCAGGCGCAATTTTGCTTAACTATCAAGTACGGCAACATTTTTTGTTGATATCGTGTTAGAATCGAAATAATATATCCAAATCAGTGATTTTATCGCTTGATAACATCACTGTTTGTCGTTCGGGGGCGCATCATTATATCACTCGGGCTACGCCCTCGTGATATAATTCCTCGCATCCGAACTCCAAACAGTGATGTTATTGAACGATAAAATCACTGTTTGTGATATATTATTTCTTAAATATAGACTTGTTTATTTTAAAGCAGCTGACCTCCAGTAGATAACAGAAAAACTACCATCTTACTAATTTACACATGGAAATAAGTTTAGCACACACCGGAAATTTAAAATTGGTAGCGACTGAAAGCACTGTCATGAGATGACAACATAATTGAGCTAAGAAACAGTTATTTGATAAGTAGCGATACCAGTTTAGTAATCTCAAACCAGTAAATTTATGAGTTTATTTTATTTTTAACCAAATTTTTGAAGCATAAGCAAATGGGTTGTTTTTTTTTTACCAAAAATGTGTTTTATAAGTATGGTGTTGGAGCTTTTACAAAACATTCACTGGTGGTTATTTTTGGTAAATTTTGACCTAAAATGACATTATATAGCCAGATTTTTAATAACGTGTAACCGCCATGCGCTCAATCCTGCTCCTCTCCTCATATTACTAGTAAGGCGTCTAATGCAGTTTTGAGGTAAATTTTGCCATTCTTGATGCAGAGCTTGTTCCATGACTACTGGTTGTTCATACCATTGCCCAAATATGTGCCCTGCCCCTTGGGTCATATGCATTACTTACCGGTAGACTAAAGTATAAGAAAATAGGTGGAAGACTTAAATGCCTACAGCTTGTATATTTTGCATGAAGCATTGCCTAGTAGATCTCTACAAAACATTTAAGAATCATACACATATAGGGCCAAAACAAAATATTGTAAGAAAACAAAATATAGGAACAATTTATTATATAAGAGCAATAAAGAAGCATCCAGCATCTTCGTTGAAGTATAGTATTATATAATGCAATACACAACAAAAAATGAATAACAGCGTACAAAATTTATGACAAGTACATGTATATTGTATAAACATTAACATTTGTTTCACTCTACATGAAACAATCAATATTAAATGCAAAGTTTGCAAACCTTTGGTAACACAAACATTTTTATAAACTGTATAGTTATAAAACATGATACTTGTTCTTTGATTCTCTAATGTATAATTGAAAAAATCAGTAAGATTCTCTAATGTATAAATGAATACATCAGTAAAATACTGCATTACAGACTTGATGCATTATCCTATGCTAATCAAGAGGGTCCATTATGGCCCTTATATCGCTCACCTGATTATGAAGGCTCTTGATGACAAGAAACAATTAATATTGTACACTATAAATGAAAAGCAGAATTGATATATATACTAAATAGAACAATATCTCAAATGTAATACAATTAGTTGGACTAGAAATTTATACCTTGGTGCTATAATTTGAACAAACATGGTAGAGGCTCACAAGAGAATGTTTAAAGCCATATATCTGAACTTTTGCCATCACCGTTATAGAGAAGAGGATTTTTTTTACATAAATGTGGGTCCAATTAAGACCCAGATCTATAATTTGTACAATTTTTGTTGAGGTCTACTAGACAATATTTCATGCCAAATCTCTTATAGTTTTGCCTTTTATAGTGTTAAAAGTATTTTAAAATGTACATAAAAGGAAAACCCATGACCTCCACAGTGGGGCCAAAATTGACACAACTGTCAACAAGTTAAACATGTTTTGTAGAGATGAACTAGCAATGTTTAATTTATTTTCACCCCCTATAACCCAGATGTTCAATGGATCAGAACCATTTGAACAATTTTCATATAGCTTCATACTACATGTACTGAGCCCCTAAGGTGACATTTTCCACACTTTTTTTCCCGGAACTAAATTCGTTTTTACAAAATAATAATTCGTAATTACGAAATATTAATTCGTAATTACCAAACATTAATTCGTTTTTATGAAATATTATTTCGTTTTTCAAAATATTAATTGTAATTACGAAATATTAATTTGTTTTTACAAAATATTAATTTGTTTTTACGAAATATTTATTTGTAATTACGAAATATTAATTCGAAAATACGAAATAATATTTCATAAAAATGAATATATTTTTTTAGGGTTTCAAAGAGTTTTGGTAATTTTTATAAAGAAGGCCTTGAAACTAAGTTCCTGACAAAATATAAGGCATGTAAATGCAATATAAATAGTGAATTTTTCTCCCCATGTTTTATAACTTAACACTATTGTATATAAATTAAAATAATCGCCTGTCAACAGCGTTGCCGCCACAGCAGTGATAGTACTCGCGCTAGGAAAATTTTGTTAAAATGGGGGTCATGTGCTTCAAATCCAAACACAGACATTTTTTCTGTTTCGTTTTGTTGATATTATTGAGTTTTGAAATAAAATATTATGTTTTTATGATCACACGGTGCCCATACATAAAGTGTAAGGAAATATACTTTTTTTAATTGATTAGATTAGAGAAAATCTGTAGCCCCCCCCTTTAGTTTTACTAATGTGTATGATAAAAGAAAGTAATAATATAGCATGTTTCTTTTTTAAAACATTGCTGATAAGAACATGTATTTGACAATGGGGAAAAAAGAGGATATTTTGGATTGAGAATGATTTCTCACTCAAAAACCCTAATCACTTAAATACAATAACTTGAGAACCATTTGGCTTATAATCGCAAAGTTGATCTAGGCTTGTGAATGACCCCTTTGTGAGATTAGTAGGTTTTTGTTAAACTCACAATGACCTTATATAAGATTTCTTAAAAACGAATTAATATTTCGTAAAAACAATTATTATTTCGTAAAAACAAATTAATATTTCGTAATTACGAATTATTTATTCGTAATTATGAATTAATATTTCGTAAAAACAAATTATTATTTCGTAAAAATGAATTATTTATTCGTAATTATGAATTGATATTTCGTAAAAACAAATTAAATGCCGGAAAAAGAGTGTCAAAAATGTCACCTTAAGGGCTCCGTATACATGTAATCCTGGACAGTCCAGGGAAATTTCATAAAATTTGACCTAGTGGTTCCAGTGATGTTGTTTGACAAACAGTTAATGTCAGAGACACAGATGCACTGACAGATGATGGACACCAGACAAAGTTTGACCACAAAATCCCACCTTAAAAGCAAACTAAAATAGTTTCTTCTCAAATTTGACTGACATGAAGGCATAAATACACAATTTCCCATCTAACAATTTATTAACCAAATTATAAGTGTTAGAAATATTTTAATTTCTTTCAAAAGTGGCACTTATCTAAAGTAGTCTATGTAAATAATGAATAACATAAAATATCAAAGTACCATATTGTTTCCAAATTAACCCCCTTATTCTAATAAGGGCCTTCTACCACATTTTGCAAAAGATATTTCCCACTATATATGTTTCTCACAGTAAATTTAATCTATAATGAAAGAGCAAATTAAAAAAGATCTCCCAACCACACACACCAATTATTTTTTAAAGTCCATTTGATTGAAAGTCAAAACTGATTGACACAAATTTATCTACATTTATAACCTACTTACATATTTTATAGTACAAAATATATGTGAGGGTAACCCATCCCCCCACACACCTATTGAAAAAAATGCACATTCTGGGGGCATTAATTAGAAACAATATATTATTTCTATTTTATTTATCAAGGTCAGTAAGATTATAAAATACACTGAAAACCACTACAGATTCCCTTTAATAATAAACAAATAACAAAATACATTGTAATTAAATGTGTATAAAAACAAAAGTTTTAAAATGTATAATAAACTAACACAGACAACCTTGTCTTTAAATTGAAAAAAAAGCTACATGTAATAACAACTACACTTGATATACAGTTATAAATGAGTTATATAAAACAAAATTGTTATTGAAGTCAGCCTGGTATATACTTGATGCTAGTTATAGCATATAAGAACCATACAAAAATTATGCAAGGAGAATAGTTTTATAAAAAGTTTAAGAAACAGTTCAGTCTTTGTCTGTAACCTACAGGTACAATACTGAACAGTGAAGTTTCAATTTAATACTTGATTGGTTGTAAAAATAGAACTTGCATACCCTGAAGGAAAAAGAAACATAACATACCATCATTGACAGCAATGATCAAGTATGATACCACTGACAAGTATGTATCTTATTTATCAAAGCTTTGTAACAAAATGTAGTTCAACAACACAATGTACATCTTCATAAAAATACTTAATATATGTGTCTATATTTATCATAAAACATCTGATAACTGTTAACTGCATCAAATTATAAGTAGGTCATATTTATGTAAGAGTGACTATAGCAATAGTCCGATGATAACATTGTTTGACTACAAGTCAAGGATCATGGGCTTAATCCCCAGGTTTTTTAACTAAAATTACTAAAACACTTTAGGACGACACTTAAAGGGTCTTGTGTAATGCCTTATGTTTTTTTACATTGCACATTATAGTCTAAAGTAGAGTATTTTCTCTATCAGTTGCAATAAATTCCAAAATTATTTAACTCTAATGTACTTATACTCTTCAATAGAGAATGACCCCTGTGATTTTCAGAGAGCCAGTTACAATCAAATATCTTTACACACACATGACCAAGTAATTGTACACATACTGATTAAAGACAAAACATGTAATTACATATTAACAGCAAAGGATCTGTTTGATCTTTGTATATTTTTTGATAAATGGTTTCGAGTCCAAATAGTTCATATAAATTAATACATATATATATATAAATGAAAAAGAAGAAAATTATTACAACTGGAAACTATCATTAAATGATATAAACGGAAGTAAATGCATGAATGTTTCATTGTAGAAATTACCATTAATACTACAGATAATTCATTTGTTTGTTTGATTGGGTTATACTTCACATAGACACAGTAAAGGTCATTTGGCGAGTTGGTGACGTTCCAGCTTTACCAGTGGAGGAAGATCTCAGCTTCCCTTTCGTGCATTATTTCAGGTACGAACAGGCACCTGAGTGGAACCAAAGATGCTCCGTAAGCTAGCTGGATAGCTTCCTCACATGACAGCATACAAAGTCCTGTCATAGTGGGAAAACAAAGCGGTGAGGGCAAGTGGTTTGATGTCAACTACCTTAACCACTTGGCCACGGACGCCCCTTACAATACATAAAAAACTTACATGTTACTAAACATACATAGTACATGTATATAAACATAGAAAATAAATAAAAGTAAAAAGTTTGCACTTTTGTCTCCTTGACATAAACTTTGGCACTATACAAAACACAGGGACCATTGGCCCGGAAACGCTCACCCCCGAGGATACTGTTATTTCTGTACAAGCAGTGAAAGCTAGTGATTATTACAAAAATTTGAACAGTGTTGGTCACTTAACCATATGCCATGCAATATATACTTTTAAATTTTAGCTATATACATGATCCTAATTTCATAGGAGAAGTTTTTACTGTATGAATTTTAGGAAAATCTATGACCCCTCTTTTGGGGCATGGCAATTTTGACCCTAGGGCTATAATTTGAACAAACTTGGTAGAAGTCCACTACAAAAGGTTTCATAAGAGATATCTAAGCTTTAGCCTTTGTCATTTCACTGAAGATTTTTTAAGTCTTTTAATATATATATATTAAGTAAATCCTATGACCCCATGGAGAATTGATATCATTAGGGGTGTGGATCGTCGGATAAGTGACGATCCGATCCAAACCACAATTCAGCACTTACGATTCACAAATCGAACCACAAATCTTTTGTTATCAAGACACCCATAAAAACATGTACATTAGTTCTAAAACATGTTAATTAAAAAAATACTAAACATTAAACATATATGCAAATATAAACTAGGTTTATGTTTTTATTTTTTGGGTGAGTATTTTTGTTTTGTTTTTTGAAAACCATGTACTTCCTAGCTCAGCATCATGGTACATGGTCTTTAACCGGCAAATTGTATTTAGGTAAACTTGCCATAATTTATACTCAAATCGAATTTTTCTCGACTTTTAGAGTGTTCCCACAGTGAATGTATATAAACAAATAAGATCGCGATCCACGATCTCTGGGCTTACGAATATTTAAACTTGATTTTACACTTTGATTCGTGATTATCCAAGTACTCGGATACTCGCCCCAGCCCCAGATATCATATACCAAATATAAACAATCTGAGCCATGTACTTTCAGACAAGAAGATTTTCCTAATTTGCAGTTTGAAACTTTCTATTGGCCCTGTGACCTACTTATGCAACAGACCCATTTGAACAATTGAAGGGTGCCACCTAAGGATTATTTTTATAAAGTTTGGTTCATTTCCAATCATTAGTTTCAGAGGTTGTGAAAAAGAAATTGTTGATGACGCATGACAACAGACATCTGGGGATCACAAAAGCTCACCATGTTGTGCGTAGGTGAGCCAAAAACATTTTAATTGAAAAAAATCTGGTGGTTACACAACAACATACAGGTAATAATAAATACAAATAGAAACATATACTTTATGACGGATGTACTAAAATCAACAAAATATCTGGAATAAGAAGAGATCCCTCCAGAGCGATCGAAACAAGATCTATAAAGAAATAAAATAAAATTAATGATACATGGTTAATAAATACAAAACAAATTAAATCATGAATTCATAAAGAAAATCCTGTCCACTCATTCAGCACAGATTTTATTTTTCAGAACACTTGATCAACTATTGAAGATTTACTTTTTAAACAAGTTAACTCTTGACACCTATTCACTACATTTTTATGAATTCTGACATATATCTCTGGCTATACTTTTAACTTTGGAGATTAACTGAGATATCTTAGTTACCTCCCTTTACACACGATAATGTAAATAGGTGAAAAACAGTAGTTTTCTTTGAATTTTTAGGAATAAATTTTGAACAACTAGCATTGGAAAAGGATCTTTTATTTAAATGAATTAACATGAATTTTTATTCATGACTGATTTTTATATTTCAGTCTTTTCTACTGTGATATCATAGAACAAGGGGCTACAAGTTTTGAAAATTTAAGACTCAGTTTGATTGAGACTGCTCATGAAAAATAATGAAAAAATGCAGCATCTGCTGTTTTTAGCATAAAAATGAAGTTCAACTTAAATATAAATGTACAAAAGGCACATTGTAGTACTTCTGTTTCAATTGCTTCAACTTGAAGTTATACAATACTTTATAACAAAACATAAAGAAAATCTTATTAGGACCTTTCAAAATTCAAAATAATAATTAGAGCTAATATCTATTTCACAAAACTTCAGATCAATCCCGGAGTTTATATAAACAATAACATTTATGTCAATGTTGTCTGCTGCAAAACAAATTTACAAGCAAGAAGTTAACAAGTTGACTGTGGTATCAAATACAACAGTTACAACTATTCAGTGTCATCTTGTACTCTCACAAACATAGTTCATGTACAAGAATTCTCTGTAACATTAACATATCACAGATAGATAAATATTATATTTGGAAGAGCTTTTTCTTAAATCTGTAAATTACTTAACATAATTTGAGATATTTCTGACTTTGGATCTGGTGACATGGAGCTCCATCTAGTGGAAGAACAGAGATCAAGGGGTGGACAACTCTGATCTAGGTCAGAAACTGTACACGTGTCCTGGACTGACCATGAAAATGCGGTCAACTCATCAATCCAGGCATCCAAATCAGGACCAAATTTATGTCCATTTATCACAGATTCTTGGAGTAACTTTGTAGGATTTTTTATGCCAAGCTTTTCTGTAAAATCACTATAGTCTGCGCGAGAATACAACCCTGAAGGGCCATTATGTAATGAAATAACATCATCTAATGTCAATGGCACATTATTATGCGTAGATAATGGAAGAATTATAAACTGAATTTCTGCACAAATTTTCAATTTATACAACACTTTAACAGTCCAAACACCTGGTCTCAGTGGAGTTTTAAGCTTAGGCTTATGGGCATCTATATGAGTTTCTTTAGTCACTGTGACATCCTGATAGGCTGCTACAATCCCTGCAGGATCTATCCACGCCACAGAGAAGGTGGTTTCAGTACCATAGCCCCAAACATGACGTAATGCTACCTCACTGTTAGGACCAAGGAATTTTGGGTAATTTCTAAACACAAGCTCTTTCAGATCAAAATCTGTACCAACCTGAAAATGTAAATACATCTATGAAATTTTCTCAGTTTTATTATTTTTACGACTTTTGCATTATGCTTCAGAAAAATGTTATTAAACAATGCATAAATAAAGTGAAGTGAATATGCAGTTTTATATTAACAGATGTCAACAAATAATTTCAAAATGAAAATTTGACGTCTTAATTTGATGATGTCATACAGTACATGACATCATATCATAAACAAGTAAAAGATATTAAAACCATTTAAAATGAAATAATTAGCCTGCTTTTTTTACGTGATCAAATATTCGACTTAGGAAAACCAGTGGTTACATTTTATACTTGAAGCAACACCATCTATAATAATATTGCAACTGGTGTTATTTCAGGGCAAAATATCTCAATCTTCACTGAAACAAACAAATATCATATTTAACTTGTGATTTACAACCCTCAATTATGCTGAGCCAAAATGTGTGATGTAGACAGTAGACACAAACTTTCTCAAAATGATGAAAGAAAGTTCTACATCAAGGGTTACAAAGAAGTAATACCTCTAGATTTTGTAGTCGTCCGATTGGTCCTAAAGGATCTATGATGTTATAATGCTGTTTGTAACTAAACTGACTCTCTAATGTCACTGGAACACTTCTCCCTGGTAATGACACATTGTACTTGATCACATATCTGTAACATAGCACACAACAATATACCATAAACTTATATAAACGCAACTGTATGTCACAAACATTAACACATCAGCATTTCACACTCTAAAATAAACATGTCAATAATTCACAAATTTACAAACACACATTTGGAATTCACAAAGTTTAATAAACAAGTCAGTATATTTCAAACTAACATCTGAATGCCACAAACTAATACAGGAATCACTAATAACATTGTTAACCATTACCCTTCAGAAACTGAGAGTGACTAGTATTTACCCCCTGTATTAAGATCAAAGCAAGGCTACACATCTGTTGAGTCTGACCAGATTCTATACTGTTGGCTGACTAAGTTTAAAATTTCATCTTGATATCTCTAATACTGATAATAAACAGTACTGAAAAAAGAAGCTAGCCTAGTCTATTTAAAAAATTCAATCTGTTTTAAAAGTTAATGCAGTCTGAAGAAAAAAAACTTTGTTTAATTCATATGCTTTTCAAGTCTTTTGATTTTTCAATTCAAAGCAACTGACATCAGGCAGTTCCAAATTGACAACAATTTATGTTTGATATGTCATTTCAGTGCAGGAACAGGTTAAATTTACAAATTTATGTAGAACATTGCCTTAGAAAGCTGTAAGACCATTAGAGAATAGATTTCATGAGAAACTGTTCATTTGCATATTATATGCACAGATATTTTCATAGAGTTATAAAATTGGTGCAGGTATATGATAAATATATACAATATTCATTATAATACTACCTATGAAAGCTATCTGCTAAATTCAGCACATGAGATTCTAAGATGCGAACATTAGACATGATACAATTTGAAGTGGCTGATCCTAAAACTTCTTGATTGTGTCTCACAAATGACTTTGCAAAGGTCAACCACAGATCAGTTCTCTTGTCAAATGAATCTTTGAAATGGTAATCATTATGCCAGTGACGGTTAAGGCCTGGTAAATCTGTAAAAAAATAACAGTTGACAGATAATCTTTCTGGATGACAAAGTAGGATGACAGGGTCAGCTACATGAAAATTGTACTTTAAAACAGCCTTCAGGTTTTCTTTAGATTAAATATGTAATATTTAGATAAATTGTTTTGTATAATTGTCAAATCAAAAGAAATAAGTTGGAAAATGAAATTTTTGGATGATGAAATATAACCAAATGATACCTCAAATTTGATGTAGGTGTTGATAATGAACATATACTTGAAACTTAAAGTAAATCCATGAAGAAATAAGAAAGTTATAGAACAAATTAGCAAAATTCAAAGTGGATATAATTCTGAAAATAAGCATCCTAGCTTTTAAAACCTTGTCCTATTATTATGATGTGAGAGTCTGAAGTTAGAAGTAAATCCTTTAAAAAAGATTAAGATAAAGTAAAAAATAATAATTTCTAGAAAAAAACCTGTCAAGAGGGAGATAATTCTAGAAATATTCAAGCTTGAGTTATAAATGATTTGAGTGATAATAAGGAACATATACTTGAAGTTTTAAGTAGAAAAGAAGTTATAGAAATCAAACAACATTTTTCCATGAATATTCTAAGTTCAATGATGATAATTCTGATAATAAAGGTGCAAGAATTATGAACTTTGCCACATATGATGTGGGTGATGATAAGAAACTTGAAGTAACTACATTAAGAAAAAAAGAAGTATTAAAAAAGAAAAAACAACATTTTTTTATGAAAACTCTAAGTTTGCAGTACTTTGTTTCTTGGGTCTCCTTCCTGGAACAACCAAGTAGCACTACTGTTGTGACACCAGTTAGAGCAGACACCTTAAAGCTGCATGCCTTCAGATGAGCCAACATATTAAGAAAATCAAACTTTGGGAAAATGCACTAAGATTGTAAGAAAAGTACCGGTAAATAGATTCAAGATTCAAGTAATACTTAATATCTTATGTGCGATTAATGATTGATTTTGCAGTATTTATCACCATATTTCTACTGCGTTACTAACGCATTAAGGGCTATTTTTGCATATTTTGACCTGTTTTTTGTAATTTTTGTGGATTGCAATATGTAAATTACTTTCTTTGTTCATTTTGCCATATTTTACTTTTAAAAAACATTTTCAATTTTTTTTTTATGAAAATTAGCATGAATCTGGAGGCATGCTGCTTTAACCACTAGCCAACAAGTAAATTTCTACTACTTCACATTCATCTGATATTTTACCTATCAGGTCACGCCCCATCATAGTGTCCACATCATTTATAATTTCCTGGTTTATCACTGGTTCAAACTTCCTAGCAAAGAATGCCACTTTCCCTTTGTATGTCTGAAATGTAAATTATATAAAAATGAAGGCTAGCCTATGAAAATTAAATAGACATTTATGTAACTTTACATTTACATTTAAGCTGTATCAACATGACTTTAACATAAGCCTGCAATCAATCTTTTCTATACTGTTAGTAACTTAGGGGGTCCAAAAACAATACCAAACTAGGTCTTTTCATAAACTTGCTAAATTCGAAGTTTTATTACAATTCCTCATTCCTAACTAGTCCAGAAACCGTTTTTCTTTTTTTTTTTGCAACAGTGACATCAACTTTGAGGAGGTCCAAAATTCCAAGCAAGGTCTCCACATCAGCTTGCAATATACCAAATGGTTAAGAGGGAAATGTTGTTAAATGACAGTGTTGATAAACATTGACATCGTGATGAACATTAGATGACAGACACACTACCATCACAAAAACTCACATCTAGCACTTTGTGTTCAGGTGAGCTAAAATATTCAATGAAAATCTCCATCACAATTACCTGAAGCCTGTCATGATCTTCTATTTTGAAGACATTTGGAGAACAGCCACACCAATCTACCTGGTTTTTATGTTGACATTTACAACCCTGTTTACGTTTCCAGTTGGTCAAGTGAAGATTATTGTCCACCCAAGATTCACAGAATTCACTGTTCAGCAGTAACACATGGAAAAATGACTGGAAAATTATGTGTTTTAATGTATAAATAACCTGTGTAGTTTGTCTATAAACTATGATAGAATGTACAGAATGAGTAATTTATAATGGCTAAATATACATATTTATAATGGCTCAATATACTAATGTTAAATCAGGGTTGACATTAGAAGGTGGCTGTTAGGTCACAATTACTGTGTCAAATGTATGTTGGGCTGCCTCAAAATTGCCTTTGCTGTATGTGATAAAACCAAAGATAATAATCTCAAATTAAAAATGGGCTGTCTCAGAAAACATTTTATGACCAATTTTGGCCTCAAAACCTAAACCTTGAAAATCTTGCAAAAATCAAGTAAAACACTTAAAATGGAAAACTCTACGAAGAATAATAAAAACAACTCTACAATTAATTGAAAATTTATTCTAGTGTGATTCTTAGCTGGACTTGAGTGAAAAGCTTTATAACACTTTTCATTTTGGGGTGGCTTTCCTCAATAAAAATGATTATTCAGGAAAAACAGGCTCAGGGACTGACATTTAAATTTGCACACAAGTTATTTGTCTAGAATTTTCTCAATTGTACCACAAATCCCAGGAAAATATTTCAAGTCCTATGTCAAAAAAACCTCAGTGGAGTCCTTACACTATATTTACATGTATTCTAGTTATTTTGTGTTGAGATAAGGAAGGTAAAGTTGTATCTGACCAGAGAAAACTTTGCACATTTATATTGTATTAAACCAAATTTAATATACTTGTTTATTTAAGTAGCTTTATTTTATAGAGATTTAAATAGCCTTTTTCTTTTCCAAAAATTAAGGAAAGTGTTTTTTTATTCAATGAAACCATTTGAACACTTATCCTTCTGTACCTAAAAGTGATTAGCCTATGCCACACATATAGACCCAGGCCAGCCTGCACATATGTGTAATCATACACAGTATGGAGCCAGACGAGCCTACACATATGTGTAGTCATACACAGTATAGAGCCAGGCTAACCTACACATATGTGTAGTCATACCCAGTATAGAGCCATGCCAGTCTACACATATGTGTAGTCATACCCAGTATAGAGCCATGCCAGTCTACACATATGTGTAGTCATACACAGTATAGAGCCAAGTCAACCTGCACATATGTGTAGTCATACCCAGTATAGAGCCAGGCCAGCCTACACATATGTGTAGTCATACCCAGTATAAAGCCAGGCCAGCCTGCACATATGTGTAGTCATACCCAGTATAGAGCCAGGCCAGCCTGCACATATGTGTAGTCATACCAGAGCCAGGCAAGCCTGCACATATGTGTAGTCATACCCAGTATAGAGCCAGGCCAGCCTGCACATATGTGTAGTCATACCCAGGCCAGCCTGCACATATGTGTAGTCATACCAGGCTTCATACTGTTCGTAACTCAATTATTTTCAACTAGAAATGTGTCCAAAGAACACAGATGCCCAAATATTGCATTGTTTTGTCAATGTCAGAAATGGAATCTGACAGTGGGACTGGCTGACATACAGACATTCATGGGCAAATCTATATCCCTTACACTAAGCTATGTAGGCATTAAAATTCAGCAAGACAAATATTCAAGAAGATTTTCAGCTTTATTTATATCAAAGATTTTATAACCCGATTGAATAGGTGAGAATTGCATTGCAAACAATTATTTGCGAGGGATATATTGCAAACAATCATTTATATACGGCCATATAACCTGTCAGGAATAATTATAGCAAATCATAATACATCAAACTTCCTTTTTAAGAGAAAAAAAAAATGAAATTTCTTCATAAATTGATAGCAGCTGTGTTTATAAAACTATATAAACCTCATGATTACCCAAAGAAAAACAAAATTAATATAAGAACAGCAGACACCAGTTTTATAATAAAACAATAACTTTAAATACCAACCTCTACTGGCAGTAAGGTATACTTGTAAAACTTCTTCAAGCCAGTATTCAGCTCATCATTTGACCTTACAGAATATTCTATAAAGTCACGATAAAGTCCAATCCAGTCACTACCACCATCATAACTTATACCCCTTGGTAACTCACATTTACCCAATCTCCATAAATGGTTATCACATTCATGAAATAACCAGTTCAATCCCTGCTTCTTGATAAATCTGAAATTATATTAGTATACATTTAATATCGCCAAATGTAAGATTTACGTAAGTAATGAAATGATTTAATCAAGATATGAATAAATTTCCCACAGCAAGAACAACCCCACTGCAAAGAAGTGATTATGCTCACTTTTTTCTTACTTCTAGGGACAAAAACATTGAAGAAAGAATATTGCAGTAAAGAATTCCTAGAAAACAAAACTGTAATATATTTAAATTCAAATTATAATTAAAGTTTAATATTTGACCTTGATGGTCAAGGTTACATTTGAATGAATCATCATTCACTGCCAGTTTTTTCATTAGTGTTCTTTTGACCAAGAATGAATCAAACCTATAACATTATATAAGTAATGCCCTATTGTTGCGAAATTCACTAATTTTACCTTTAGTGTCGTGGTCAAATCAAGGTCATAGTCAAGTTCAATTCAATCTACTTTTATTTCCCCTAAAACACTTACAAAGTTACATCTATAGCCACTTATAGTAAACAAGAGGGCCAAGATGGCCCTAAAATGCTCCCCAAGATCGATCAGGACAAGCATCCTGACCAAGTTTGATGACAATTAAGTCAAAAATGTGACCACTAGTGTTAACAAGGTTTTTCCATATTTGGCCGGTGTGACCTATTTTTTGATCCCAGGTGACCCATATTTGAACTTGACCTAGAAATCATCAAAACAAACTTTCAGACCAATTTCCAGGATATTTGGATCAAAACAGTAGCCACTAGAGTGTTAACAAGATTTTTCTTTAAAAGCTCCTGTGATCTAGTTTTTCATCCGAGATAACCCATGTTCAAACTCATCCGAGCTAACACCTAGACAAGCATTCTGACAATGATTGAGGCAAAAATGTGACCACTAGAGAGTTAACGAACAAATGTGGTTCAGGTGAGCTAAAAAAAACTGTGAAATTACAATAATTTGACCTTCAAGGTCAGGTTCATTTACAAGTCAATGTCGAAACAGGTTTGATCTATTTTAAGACATTGTCCTTGAGGCAGACACAGGATGGCACATGAGCAGAGCCACAGACCTTCTGTAAGGGAGCTGGATAGCTTCCATCTACCTTCTGTAAGCTAGCTGGATAACTTTCATCGACCTTTTGTAAGCAAGCTGGATAACTTCCTCACAAGAAAGAATTCAAAGTCGCTAGCAGTATTTGAACCCAAAGTGATAAGGGGCAAGTCAGTACCCTTTACCACTTGGAAATGTGTTCCCTGTGTTGGTGAATAAACAAATGTTTCCCATAAATTACAATATCTTAATTTTTCTAAAATATCTTACGTTGGTGTTTCTCTTCCATTGGACTTCAAGAAATTATTTCCTCTATATCTTGTTAGAAAAGTTGTCAGTGATGCAACAGTTCTGAAAAATTAATTAAATCTATGAATAATCAAAGCTAGGGGCTTAGTACGGTGATGAAGTAGTGGTGGAGAGGCTGTCTTGTTCATGAAAGTATTGAAAGAGTGATTGTAACTAAGGGCTAAGCATGATCATAGCAGAACCAGCATTGTCTATATTCTTTATGTAAGCCAATTTTCATGCATTTAAGGATATCAGAGATCAAAATGACACAGTGACTACACAATAAACACAGCTGAATGGTACATTTGTATTTTTAAATCAACAGTTTATGGGATACAAGATATTTATTTAGAAATAGAAAACTATTTTACAAATACTCAATTTTCTTTTTAAATTTAAACTTTTAATATTTTTGGGGGAAAAGTACATTTCCTTTGGAACAATGTTGCCTACCATTATTTAACAGAAAAGAGTACTGGTCATAATGTAAAATATTTTCATTAAAACAATGAAGCATGGATCATTTTCACAGAAGTTTACGTTCTTATTCCAGTGCCAGTTGGATAAAAATAAAAATTTGACAGGTTTACTACTTACTTCACTGGATAATCACTTTCACTAAGGTTAATGTAATAATCCCAGTGCCAGTCTGCCATTTCAAGAAGGCTCTCCATGAAAGTTAAATGTGCTTGCAGCAGACTTGCTCCACCCCAAATAGTAGCAAACCTTTTTCTAGAAAACCTCACATTCAACAACTTCTTTTCCAGAGGCAACAACTCACGGTACATGTACTCTGATCTCTGTAAATAGGTATGCAAGTACTGGTATATATATCATACATTTAGAATGCTTAGCAACTAATGAGACAATAAAGTGGCTCCTTCAATGTCATACTAAAACTGATCGTCACAGCTAAAATCTGTTTCCATGATTTTCACATTCTCCCTGAATTTTTTTTAATTCTTTATTCAAAACCATTTTAAATTTTCAATGACAATTGAAGGTAATTACTAAATTTTGCAAATACATGTACATTGTATGTGAAAACTTAAATAAAATCTGATGTAAACCTATTTGTTTCATAATTTGCATTAATAATTGACACTTTGTCTTGTTTTTTATAGGGATGTCATCTGGAGCCGAAATGGCCATCCGGATAACCAAATCAAACATCCGGATACATCCGGATGTTCGGATCGTTGTTATATTCTTAGATATGACGTAACCATTTTTTCGCGACCTTTTTCAAAGTGTAGTATTTCGTTTTTCTTCCTTTTTAATTGAATGATACATATCAAAAATTTTCCGTTATTGATTTTATTTCTTCTATAGAATATGACTATCTGTAAATAAATCTATCAATAAATTTAGTGCGTGTGGTACTTACGATTTCAAATGAAATGAAAATGAAATTCGCCGCCGATATTCTGAATTCCTCAATTAGCGCTATAATACGCAATAAAATTCGCTCACATTTGTGAAAACAAAATAATACCCGTAAAAAATTAAATATAATGTTTCCATTGTTCAATAACACGCATACAATTTACACACGATGACCTTTGACACGCGTGTAGCCGGCTTTTCAAATGAATCTGCCAATCTTTGATGTTTACCATCATGTAGCCCTGGCTATTTGATTCGAATTATCAAAGAAAGTGCCGAAACTTACATGAATTACATACATTTTAAGTGTTCATAAGTAAAAAAAGAAATGTGAAAAAAATTGTTTTAAAAAAAATGCACATGTTTGATTAATACTAAAGGAGAAAGTTATTTTGTCGGATAATTTTCGTATCAATTACTATAAAAGCTGTGATGATTAACATATTATTCCTTAAGTGCATTTCTTTATTTGATTATTTTATTTCTGCAGATTTTTCATTGTCTCAAAATAAGGAGCGACGGGTCGGTAAGCCGAAATATATATAAAAATAATAACCTAATTAAATATTTAAATTTGGACATAAAAAATGTAACATCGTTGCCGATTTTATTAACAACATGTGTCATAATTGACTCGTAATTATTATAGTAATTATTGATTTTTTGTGGTCTGCAGAGATTATGATGTGTATTGTCAAACTAAGGTACAATACACAATATGGTTGTCAACACCATGTCTACGCTTATTTCAACGCATGTATTTATCACATTTTCACAATATTCTAAAATATTTTATACAAACATCCGGATCAGAAAATCGGCTCCGGACACCGAATCGTGATCCGAACGTTCGGATATCCGGACTCCGAATGACATCCCTAGTTTTTTATAAAGCCAGTTAAAGTATAGTCTGGTTAAAGTTACATTTAATAAATTTCATAAAAACAGAAATAGCGACATTTCATTTATAAATTGGGTTCCATATCGACTCCAGGTCTTATTTTGGTGTCCAGACAACCAAAATGAGTTTTATGAGCATACAAATGTGCAACCTCATTGTGGCGAATTCGGAAGAACAATTTTTGTTTTCATGAGAAACTCCGCCTTCAGATCATTCATACATCAATGTTAAATCAACAAACATGACTATAAGTAGCAGCCCTAATTTAACGGTATATTTCCGCATTGTAACGGATATTTTCATACAAATTTAATCTTTTTTATGAGATGATTATTTTTTCTGAACACCAGGCCTAGTGCACCGTGAAGTTTAAACGGTTAAATTGTGTTTGCACAAGAAAAGCTTATATTTGCTGTGTTCCGGATAGCAACAATAACACAGTGACATAGCGCATACACGAGCTGATTATAGTCTTCATTTGCATGTTAAAATTAGTATACGAACTTTAGTGTTACCGTGGGGTTTTCCATTTAAAATCCTAATTTATGAACAGTATTTGATGAGATTTATAACGATACTGTTAAAAAGGTTAATGAAACCGTAGAATGCTTGGTTTTTAGGCCGACGGCAAAAATATTTTTACATATTTATTTAATGTAGCTTTAAAGCAGCCTTCAAATTTTCTAAAGGTTAAATATGTTATTTATAGATAAATTGTTTCATATATAATTGTGAAATCAAAAGAATTAGTGGAAAATGAAATTTGCTGTCGTAAAAATACATAAACAATAAGGAAACGCCTTGATTCCTCTAATCTACCAGTCTTCTATTTTTTCTGATGCACTTTTCCAAGATTACATTACTGAAATATTTAGTTTGAAACAACACAGAATTGATTTTCAAACAAAGAATAAAAGCTGGAGGCCACTTGCGTCTAAAGAAATCATTCAAGAAATTAAACCTTTTCATGCATGTCAGTACATGTATCTTTATTTCATTGATGGTTGGTACTAGATTAGCTAATGTGCTGCATATTTTCCAAGTCATATGGATTTCTAAGTGCATTCTAATATTAAATTTTCTTTGGTTATTTTTTAATATTTTCTTTTTACATTCCATATAAGCAAGACTCTTGAGACAATGTAATATATAAATCTTTGACTGTGGTCTAAATCTGATATAAACAATAAATACACGCTACATAAACATTATTTAAAAACATGAAAGAGTAGATTATCTGCTCTGTACAGTGTATACGATAATGGAATGTGACAAACGCTGCCAGTTTCTCACAAATTTATAAGATGAATATTTAATCCTTAATAATGAGATAAAGAAAACAAACTTACACTGTCAACATGGATGTAGAAATAATGGTTTGGATCAAACAATATATTTATCAACCTGCGAACCTGCCTAACGGCACGACCATTCACTGTTAGCACAAAAACTATTCTTACTGGTGTCAGATCTTTTACAGAATTAGCGGTATATACCAACTCGGCTTTGATGGTTTTCTTCTCTGTAAATATAACAAGAAATGCCTCAATGCAACAAAATTTCAAATACAAGGTTTTCAACATTCATGTTTCACAGAGTTTATTGAGTGCCCTGGTGCATACTGGCAGCATTTTGCTATTCAAACATTGAAGTTTCACAAAACAAGACTGAAATGTGTTTTTTCAAACAAGACTTTATAAACTAAATAACCCCAAGGGGTGGGGCGAACATTGGCCAAAGGGACACGATTCTTCAATGGTGTTATATTTTGATAGTGAAAATGTATTTCAAGTTTGAGGTAAATAACTTTGAAAGTTTCTGAAAAAATGGACCTTTGCAAAAAGGTTAATCAGACCTAAAAGTCTAAGTTGAAAAAGGAGCATAATTTTGTATAAAATAGTTATATGGTTATCTGCCCTTTTGAAATGACGTCCATCTATCACTACAAACGTATATATCAAGTTTGAAGTGAATAGCTGTTATAGTTTCTGAAAAATTGAACCTTAACAAAAAAGGTTAACCAATGCCAACACCAATGAGAGGATTTAAAAATTGGTGTTAATTAAACAATTTCACTTCCTTTAAGATGGTTGCTACACAGAATCATGACATATTTTGTCACACATCTAGTCATTAAAGTCTTTGTCAAGTGAATAAACATATATTTTAAAAATTTTATCAGAGTATATTTAAGAAATAATATTGGTCTCAGCAGTGTTTATCGGCTATTTAACACCAGTTTGGAGTTTTGATGTGTAGGAATTGACAACAAAGGCTGTAGGCATCAACACTTAACATCAATACTTATACGCATCAATATCCATGTAAGATATGTTTTACATTGTGTAACTTATTTATAAGCAAGTATAATTTTCACCTGGTAAACCTGTACTGAAAATTCTCTGAGCATTGTAACCACCACATGTATCTGAAGAGTTACCAGGACAAATAGTGCTGCATGAGGTCTCAGGTAGAGATCCATACTTGCCATAACTGTTACCACACCAGCATTCATCCCTGTACTGTACACCAGCATACATATAACCTGAAATGATAATCAGTATGTTTAATTATGAGAAATACAAGTCTGTAACAATCCCTGCCAATTTAACTAGAAATGTGTTCATAGGACACAGATGCCCCCACCCTCCACTAGTGCTTTTGTCAGTCTACTGACGTACAGCAATGCAGTATGACAGGGGTATGCACCACACAAGTTGAAAATTGTCAAGTTTCACTAAATGAAGGGCAATAACTCTGGCAAAACTGAATTAATGGTAAATCCACACATGAAACCCCCAGGTGCCTCACTTCCCATGCTGATCATCATTCCTGTAAAGTTTGTTTACTCTAGGTCAAACACTTTAAGATCTACATGAGTCACAACATGAGAACACACAGACAGATGCTCACACATATGCACACATGCATGGATGGACAAGGGCAAATCTAAATGCCCACCTTAAAGTGGGGGCATGAAAATTAAACATGACTCATGTTGCCATGAGAAAATTGAAAAAAAAAACAACTTATAAACGCAACCACATTTTCAGAAAAATAAATAATGTGAATTCTTTATCAGCATTTTAAAACATTTTTTTTTTTTGCATTCGGAACAGAAATACTTGTTCATTCTAATTACCATTTAAAAACAGATTAGTTATATAATAAAGATTGATTATATTTTATACTGTAACATTAATTTGGAAAACTTTGAAAAGTGAAACAAACTTACTCCCAGTGAGGCAGAAATCTATACACTTGTTTGGACAATTATCCACTGCAAATATGACATTGAAGTTTGTCAAATCTCTCTCCTTCTGATTGTCTTTAAAACACCCAAAGTATTTACCACGTGGCTCTTTACCTGCATAACAAAAATTCTCATAATAAATTATGTTACCGAGTTTTGCTTTGTTATCATAAGTTTTACTTCATTTTAGAACTATGTACTTACATGTTCATTAATCTTAAACCTGCTGGAAGTGAAAGTGATATATCACTTGTCACCAGTATAGAGCCATAGCAACCTGCATATCTGTACAGTCTGACCAGCTGCTACACTGTTGGTAAATTTTGTATTTCAATTTTGAAATCCCTTAAACTATATATAGACAGATACTAATTCAAAGGAGGCCAAACCCATTACTCAAATTTAGCAGGATACAGGTTAAATCTATCAAAGTTTCAATACACTACAAACCTTTGAGGTGACATGTTCTAGGAAGGGAAGAGGGGTACAGCATATGGTGCTCATTTCTACATACTACATCAAGTATTTCTTTTTTACACGAGTCTGTTTTGACACGTGACAGTGCCGAGCTTGCCTCCTTTGTTGACACCTTACTACAGTTCAGCTTTTTACTATCAGTCTTATAAATCGTCTTTACCAGCTTGTAACTAGTTCTCAGAGTAGTTTTGACAAATGGTTGACCATGGAACCTTGCGTGATTTCTTTCAGTCTCAGACGGTTGATTCTGAAAAAAAATTGTTTCTTTACTTCTAAAATAAATAATCTCATTGAAACATAATTATAGAAATTACTGTGAATTCACTTATATTCGTGGGCATGAAATTTTGTGGTTTTATCAAAACGGGTGTTTTTGTGGGTTCTTAAATTCGTGGATTTTAAATTTCAAATTAAAATAAATAACCTAATGCAATATATTAATCGCCCCGCATTTTACTTACCCGATGTACATTAACATATCATTGCATATCACACGGTGCTTGTCAGTAAATTTAATCCTTGCCTCTGGGCATTCATTACACAAAAATCGGCGGAAAAGCGCCAAATCATGTTTGTAATATATAGAATAGAGACATAGCAAGAAGTATTTGTTGGGATAAAATTATGTCGAATCTTAAATTCATGGATTAACCTACCCATGAAAACCACAAAAATTCCTGCCCCACGAATAATAATGATTTGACAGTAAACACAAGGCAGGAATACATATAGAGTACACCCTGTTATTACATAATCTACAGTTTTACTAACTTTGGGAAACCAGTGCAAAAATTAACTAGTGCATACAAATATATGCTTAAAGTTGTCAAAATCTAAGAACGCCACTACAACTACAATTCAAACAAGAATTCATCAACTTTACATGTCCTTGCAGAGCTTACAAAAAATATATACTAAAACAACAATATACCTTTGTTGAGACATGCACTAGCTCGGAAGTAGCTATAGAGTGCTGTACCATACTACAATACTAGTATACCTCCGAAAGAGGTCAGGTAGCTCTGTTGTTTAATACCAGGCATGTAATTTAAAGGATGTTTTAAATGATTATATTGAAGTAGTCCAAATCATCCTTCAAGTTAAGTGAGTTGATATTGGGCAAATCGTGAGTGGAGCGAATCATTATTATTTCAGAATCAAATGGCCTTGGGGCCATGTTATATCTATTAATGTCAAACCCCTCGCGGGGACGTAGACATGTTGACTTACACCATAATAAAAGTGATAAACAGTATAATGAAATATAAAATGAGTTTCTAGTATACACCTTTGGTATCACTAGCACTGGTCAGCATTACTTTTCACTGTCTTTAACATTAACATTTTTGTGTCCCAAATTATTTGTAAACATCCATAATGGCATTCTTCTTCTTCCAGTATAGTGAAGGGCCGCTGCTGTGTGTGTGGAAGGGGGAGTCCACGCCTGTATATACAATTTAAAAACTGATAAAAACATGTCCTGTTTCCTTAAGGTACGATGTATCCCTGGATTCCAGACTTAAAGGATTCCAAGGACTGGGCCATGATGATGTCTTCAGGCAGCTGGTTCCATATCCTGATGGTGGATGGAAAGAATGATTCCTTGTACACTGTGGTGCGACAGAATGGGATCCTGTACCGGAGTTGATGCCCCTTGTGGCTGCTCCTGATTGGCTGAATTGGGGAGGCAGTTGTATGGCAATTAGGGAGTTAACAACACGATACATCATTGTGGCCTTGGCTCTGGTTCTGCGTTGTTGTAGGCTATTCCATTTTAATCTGTCAATCATTGCTGTGACACTACTGGTGGTATTGTAGTTGTTAGTTACGAACCTAGCTGCTCTTCTTTGCACCGCTTCTATTTTGTCTATGTTCTTTTTGGTGTGGGGGTCCCAGACAGTGGATGCATATTCTAACTGGGGTCTGACCAGAGTCTTGAAGCATTTGTCCTTGATGTTACTTGGACAGGATGAGAGGTTCTTCCGTAGGAAGGCAGTGGTGTAGTTTGCCTTCTTACAGACACTATCGATGTGATGGTTCCATGTTAGGTTGTTGGAGATGTTGACCCCTAGATACTTGGCCTTGGTTGTAACAGCCAGCTTTTTACCATGAATGTAGTATGGGACAATGTGTTGATTTCATTTGGTGGAGATACGGATAATCTCACACCTGTCTTGGTTGAAGTGCATTAGCCAGTCTGGAGTTGCCTGGTGTCGGCCTCTGTAAATATGGTCCTATAAAGAAGGCAGTCGTCCGCGTACAATCTGGCCTTGGATCTCACTCTGGATGGCAGGTCACTGATGTAAGCCAGTAAGAGCAGTGGACCGAGGACTGTTCCTTGGGGCACTCCAGATGTAATGGGTGCGGTTGGTGAGAAATGGCCCTCTACCAGTACTCGTTGTGTTCGTCCAGACAAAATCTCCGGATCCAATGGAGCAGATTGCCTCTTATGCCATAGTGGTCTACTGGTCGGAGACCATCAACCGGACACTTTTGGAACATTTTTCCGTACAGATTTCATAATTTTTATCCTAGAGACTAAAAAATTTGACATAGTTCAACTAGGTTCTTCTCCTAACTAACAAACTAGTTTGTTTATTTCTGATTGTATTGACACTTATATCTGAGGCTTGACAAGGAGGGTATCAAAATTACCTAAATTGTCTACACTACAGTACCATGTATCCGGACAGATATGTACATGATGTGATTTAATTCAGATAAAAGCTTGGGTGTTTTGATTTTTGATTTGTAACATGATATACAATATGTCAGCAACAAATGCTGAAGTTTTGGATATTCTATTATTCACTCTGCAAATGATTATAGCTGGTATATGAGGTCAGGCATTGCTTTCTTGACCCCCGAATTTCAATGTCAACATACTTGAAATAGACATTAAAATATTACCATTTATAGAGGTTGAAATAAATTTATGTACTTAATTTTAAAAGAAACATGCACTTATTGTTGATAAAAAAGTGACTGACAACCACTGAACAAAGAAAATACTAAATTAAGCATTTTCGGGGCCGTCCGGGTTTGGTGGTTGTCCGGTTTTGGTGGTCCCCAACCAGTATGGTCTAATTTGGTGAGCAACCTTTCAAGTGGGACCTTGTCAAATGCTTTGGAAAAGTCCAGTAATACTGCATCAATCTGAATGTTGTTATCAATAGACAATACCGATGGCAAGGTCCTGGATTGTTGTTATCAGTTGGGACTCTGACACAGGATCGCTTCTTCCTAAATCCATGCTGGTAGTCAGTAAGTATGTTGTGATGTTCAAAAATGTTGCACCATATCCGATACATATGAATTATAGGCATTCATACATTCCTGCTGGGTTGACTTCTGTCCTTATCGCTGCCTAATTTATTTCAACATATTTCTTTGCTGTATATTAAAGTCAAAGTTAAATAATGATAGAAATTATAAAATAACAGTCTTTGCTAGATTTTGCAGTGTTTTGAAGGACCCGATATGCTTACTTTAAGTGATTTGGGGTGATCATTCGAAGATGCCGTAAAATTTGGAACTGGTGTTTTCAACATTTTTTCCACATCCGACTTCCACTGATGAAGTTTGTTAATTTCTTGTTGATTTAAAGAATAGAAGCTATATCCTAGAAATAACTGAATTGACAAAGCTATAAAACAAAAATAGAAAAAGACTCTATATCGCCGGCAAATCCTCCAGGACGAATTTGTCCTGGGGGCCGCCATGTTTATTTGTGCAATATATTTTCCGCACATCATGAGTTCCGACAAGCCACGTAGATTAAAGATTGAACGCTGCAAAATGTATGGTAAATAATAAATAAACTATTAATTTATTACATCACAGGAAAGTGACATTCTATCAATAATTAAAAACATAAGCAAATAATTAATGAAATAACGGCAAATATACCCCTCTACACAATAAATAAACACGAGGGAGTGTTTATTTATTGTAAAGAGGGGTACGGTACTGGTTGGGGACCACCAAAACCGAAACTGCTTAATTTTGGGTTTTTTTCTTTGTTCATTGTTTTTTTCTCATCAACATGCATGTTTCCCCTAAAATTAATTAAATTTATTTCAACTTCAATAAACGGTAATATTTCAATGTCTGTTTCAAGAATGTTGGCGTTGAAAATTTGGGCATCTGACCTTATATATATACCAGCAGATATATAATCATTAATTTTGCAGATTAAACAATAGAATATCCAAAACTTAAGCATTTGCTGCTGAAATATTGTACATCATGTTAAAAATAAAAAAAAATAAAACACCCAAGCTTTTATCTGAATTAAATCACGTCCGGACACATGGCACTGTAGTGTGGACAATTTAGTTTTTTTATACCCTCCTTGACAGGCCTCAGATATAAGTGTCAATATAATCAGAAATAAACAAACTAAGAACCTAGCTATATTGTGTCAAATTTTCAGGTCTCTAAGTTTGAAATTTTGAAATGTGTATGGGACAAATGTTCAAAAATTGTCCGGTTGATGGCCTCCAACCAGTATATTTGCCGTTATTTCTTGATTATTTGCTTATATTTGTAAATAATTGATAGAATATCAAGCTCCCATGATTTCATGTACCTACAATTACTAAGTATCTTCTTCTTCGAAAATCTTTCAATTTATTCCAATGTTTTAATCAAAATTTACCAGAATTCATTGTATTTTAAGCATTACCGATATGAAATCAGTAGCTAGGCCTATACCATTTATACATGCATCAGGAAAACAGCCAAGTTCTGATCGATACTGTTTAAAAACGGTCTCATTCACTCATTTCCATTACCTTTTTGGCAGTCATTTAGTTTTTGCCACAAATGATGTGTGTGAACATACATACTAGTTTTCTTTGGTGGGTTGGGGGTCCCGGGATCAAATAAGATATATAGTATAATGTCGGGAATTGACCACCTGCCGTAATCATTTAGACTATAAACTATCGATTAGATCTAAAGCCACAGATGTGTTATATATGTAGTGAAAAAAAATGATTTTTTTATAATTATAAACTTGTACAGCGTTCCATATATTGAATGTAGAAAGGCTTTGATCATATTTATTACAAAGAGGGTGTATACCCATAAATAGATCCCGGGAAATCGCATTTAGAAAGCCGGGATCGTATTAGATATATACACACGTGTGGAGATGCGGGAATTGACCACTATACCACATTGCTTTCAAAAAAGCCTAGGTCATATTAAACATATAGAGAATTTTCCACCTATCATAGATCTATACCAAAAGTTTTTTGTTATATATCAGATATGTTGAGTGTATTTTATGATCTTTTCTAATACTATTAATAGTGAACTTAAGCTAAAATCATGCATTGTGTTATTAAGAAAAACTCGTTCTACTTATGCATAGATCCTTGATAGGTCAGAGATATAGAAAATAAATGTAGCTTTATTCTGGATTCCACTTTTCTGGATGAATATATACTGCCTTCATCTACATCTCTTTAAAATGATTTTTTTAATGATGCAAAATTATATTTTGAAGTTTATGGTAATCTCTAAAACGAGCATACATGTATAATTGATATGAAGAAAAAAACGATGTATAAAGCAAAAGAACTGAGTCGTATATAGCCACAAAACCTCATGTAAATTCGAGTTCCAAGTTCGGTATAACTTCTGTTTTACCATACAGTTCTTTACCATATACCAAATGCAACGGAAAATTGTTGAGCGAGTTAACACATACTCGTATATCTGGTTTTCAGTCATTTCTATCAAAAAGAGTATTAAAAAATATATCTTTTTCCTTCAAAGATGGCGGCGTTTGTTTACAAATTGTAGGATACGACCATAGGCACTTGTATGGTTTCGGGCTAAAAACTCTTTAGATATGTCTCGATTCTAAAACCGTCATTTTCGATGTTTTTTCTCCATGATGAATATAATGGTCTTATTGGTCTTCCGTGCATCATAAAAATCGACTTGTATACGGTCTATATGTAAATGGAATCGCTAAATGAAATATGCGTGTTACAATGATGTTTATATTTTAACAATATATCATACTCATATTCAGTTGTTTAGGCAGTATAGGATATAGCTAAGGAGATAAATTTTGCTTACATCTCTGTCAATAAAGAAAATCAAATGAATACCTCTCAGCAGACAAAAAGACATTCTATGTATACTTCTTCATTTGTATTTTGCATATAATTTAGTTAAATACGGATAGCTTTGGGGAGTATGGGATAGGTAGATGGAGATCACTCTGAGGAATATCTCTAAATATATTATTCATAAAGTACATGTCCTAAAACAATTCTTAAACTTCTGAAATATAGGAAAACAAAATGGTATAAATCTGTGTTAAATTTGAACTTTTTTTTAGTAAATTGTTGTAAAAGTTAATTTTTAATTAAATTTTGTGACAGCAATTTGACTGATTAAGTACATTTTGAGACCATACCCACTAGGCCACTACGTATAAAGACATGTAAAATCCATTACTGACAAAAACACTTGCTGATTATTTTCATTTATATTCAATGACAATATATGTTTTATAGGCAAATGTTTGTTGGAAATGATAAGAAAATGATTCATGCACCAAAACAAGTCAATATTTTATTGCTTTACCTACTGCTGATCAATGTCTTCATTGTTTATTTTTGTAAGGCCTCGAAAAACACCGTGATGCGTAAACTTCTAGATGACTGGTTCTGGTTAACTAGTACAACAACAAAAAACATGGAATAATTTTAAAATTTAACTATGCATGGGCGAAGAAAATACATTGTACCACTCTTTTAATTGATACAATTGTTAAATATCTAAAAAGAAATTGTTGATCAAAACTAGCAATATAACTGACAAGCTATCCTAAAATCTGATGGAAAACATCTGGAAGGGTAATAAATAAATAAATAATAATATTTGGAATACCTGATGAAAACATATAGAGTTTCTTCCCTTTCAAGCTAAAACCGAAAGTAAAACCTGGTGGCCGTGGTTACAATTGCTGTTCAAAGGTGTGTAGATTTTATTTTTGGTTAATGTTTTTATTAAAAAACTCATTTTTAACTGTTTCGCGAAATTAGCTTTTGACAACTTTACATACTAAAATCTGTTCAAATACATTTTAAATAAATTAAGCGGTATTTCTGTTTATCTCGAATATATCTAAGATTATACATGTATATACTGCGCATTGTGCGACCTACATAATGTCTAATATGCATTTATATGATAAGATCTACATAAGTGGTAAGTTAGGTAAGTTTATCATATCAAATAAAATCGAATTATTTACTGTATATTATCTTATGAATATTAATATGAATATATAGAGTTTACATATATATAAAGCACTATTAGGGCAAAATTATAAGTGGTTTCGTATTTTGGAAAAATCAACACTATAAAATCAGATTTATGAAAAATTTGCTTAAATGATTTTTTGTTAGATTTTTCGAATTTCGTTTCAATTCGTCAACAACAACAACAACAGCAACAATAGGCAGCTCAAAAGATCCGAAAGCGAAACGAAAACTACACGAGGGTTTTAACATGGGCTTACCCGATTTTTCGAAAGCGAAACGAAAACTACATGAGGGTTTTAACATGGGCTTACCCGATTTTTTTTATTCTTTACTTAATTTAATGTTTACACATAAGTCTTCCAAATTGTATCTCAAATCACATCATTTTGTATGAATCATTCCCTCGCACCATTGCTGATCTAAAATACTTTTGCATTATTCAGTTTCAACAACGTGTTCTTTATATGCTTTTATGAAATGATATTTATTTCACGCAAACTTTTATGTGTACAGGTTATGTAAATGCAGTACATTACTGATATCTATTTTAGTATTAAGCTCTTGTCGAACCATTGTTAAGCATATAATACCCCTTTTTCTTCTTTTTTATACTTTCTTTTGTTTTAACCACGTGTTAGGCCCGTTTATTTATACATTTTTTACATAAAACATTCATCATATTACAATTATTAGTTTTACATAATAATTTATTAAGAGTAGCCTAATATTGTACTTTTTTTATTGTTTGTACGGACTTTCTCCTATTAAATTATTAATAGGCAGGTTATTCCTGAATTCACCCCTATACTAAACAGTGGCTCGATTTGTTTAAATGAGAGCTATCTATGTTATCTATCTTAGCATCCGTCACCGAGTTGTAAAGGTTCAAACCACTTGCCCCACACCGTTGTTGGTCCAAATCCTACAGGGAGTTTAGATTATTTCATGTCAGGGAGCTATCCAGCTAGCTTACGAAAAGTCGAGGGTTCTACTCAGATGCTTGTTTCTGCCTGATATAATGCACGGAGCCCTCCACATATGGAATGTCGCAATATGACCTATACTGTATCCGTGCGACGTGTGTCCCAGACAAAAATATACATATGTTGTTGTATTAGTCGATATGTTATATATAATTACTTACGAAGACCCTAAACATGAATCACGACACGAAATAAAGGCGGAGATGTGTTAAATACTATAGAGTTTTGTTGAGTTATAAGTGATAAAAGTGATAAAAATGTTGTTTGTTTTTTACCTAAAAATTAAAATATGGCGAGAGAAAAAAAGCAAACAAAAATATATGGTATACTGTGATATAATATATTTTCTTATGTCAGCACAAAGTTTCTAAGTTATATAGCGATATGCCAATGTTCGTCGTCCGTCGGTAACATGTTTACTTAAACAAAACCTCCTCTCAAAAGACTTGTCCAATTGTGATGAATCTATACAGGAATTTGGTGGTCCTAAATGATTAAATGGCTCAGCTCAGCTGAACAAGATGGGTACCAGAGCTAAATAGAAAAAAAGCCAAACTTTTAACGACATCTCCTTCTCAACCACTTGGTAGATTTTCATAAAAATGTGCAGCAATGTGATCATTTGGTAGTTTTACAAAAACTGCTCAAATCGTTATGATCAGTTAAACAAGGAACATCCTGGTAATTAAATCTTGTCCGTTTAGACCATATCCTCTGGTCAGCGATTTAGGCTATTTTGTTTTTGTAAGACATAGAACACATAATTAATGCTCTTTGATATTTGTATTAAAAAGTATCTGAAAACATTTGCACCTAAATAATAAATAATCCTTGAACTACTTTTATACACCAATAATGTAAAAGACATTTAGCATTTTTTTGTTTGGCACAGGCGCTTGTACTTACCTTTTTATGTACATTTTCTCATTTATCCATTTAGGTTTTGATCATATGTCAATAACTAAACAGTAATTAACTAAACTAAATACGGTGTGATTATCTTTATATTTTCGGAACTAAGATTCGCGAGATTGAGTACTGGACGTGGCTCACGTTTCTCCCAAGTTTCTTTCTCGTTATGTCACGACAACTTTAAAATATGTCTGAGTTCTTTTGTCGTCCATCGTTATTTGGGTAAGTTAACATTTACATGCAAAGAAAACAAAAGGTAATGAAGTTATTACACATTTCACATATAATACCTCTAAACATGACTGTCTTCTAACGCTGTGTACAATTATTACCTTTCAGAATCCGAAAGTATAGGATATCTTATCGTGTTCATTTAAGGAAGGATGGGTACTCTCGCCAGGATATTAATTGTTCTACTCACAGTCCATTGTTTACTGCTGTTACATATTGAATGTAAACAACGTAAGAACAAAAACAGCGGGACAGAAACCAACTTTGATCAAGAAGTAAAGCCGGGGCAGTTAACTTGTCAAATATGTGGAAAGTCTTTCAAGACGCAGAAGAGTCTTCAACAGCATATAAGGGATAAGGGTCATGAGCTATCAGACTCTCGAAATAGTGAAAACAATCTTCCAAAAAAGCCAGTACAAAACATTGAACCAAAACGAGCTAAGTTACAGAAGACAGAAACCAACTTTGATCAAGAAGTAAAGCCGGGGCAGTTTACTTGTCAAACATGTGGAAGGTCTTTCAAGACGCAGAAGAGTCTTCAACAACATATAAGGGATAAGGGTCATGAGCTATCAGACTCTCAAAAGAGTGAAAACAATCTACCAAAAGAGCCAGTACAAAACATTGAACCAAAACGAGCTAAGTTACAAAGAAGTAACAGTATTGATAGAGATGACAGGGTTGATTCAACAAAGGAACGCCGTAGATCAATCAGCGAGATGGAGAAAGACGAAATAGCTATAGATAAGAATGAGAAGAAGAATGCCAATGCCGAATACTCGTATGTTATGAAGAAGATCATAAACCACGTGCGTACATACAGTAAGGGAGATATTTACTCTGCAGACATTCATTTAGCAGGCAGTAACTTGGTTAAAACGAAAGTAGGGAGTGCGGATGAGGTTGATACCAATATAAAACTCAAAATAGACGTCGAAGATATTCTAACTGATACAACATTGACGTACATCTACGAGGATAAGAATACGTTTGATGTAAGTATTAACATCAGTTTTTATTATCTCCCGACGGGTACTTTGTTCAAACAGAAGTATAATATCTATCGTGACTTGATAAGTGACTTGTTAATTACAAGGACAAGTCTACTTTAAACATTAATCTGTAAAGTGATAAATGATTAAGTCATATTTTCTAATTTACAGGACAAACGGTCAGTCCCACGAGAAATGACACCGGATCGTAAATTTAGAGATATACCTGAGACGTCTATTCCACATGGTCAAGCTGTTGTTAAAGTAAAAAACCCTTCATTATTATATAATCTGACATACAAGGACGACTTGATTCCACATAAAGTACTACAAGATCTCCATTCAAAGGTGGGAAAGGCTATTGAAGACCTCAACTTTTCACGTAGGTCCTACATTACACATTCAGTTGGTATCTATCAGATTAATATCATTTTTGCTGTTTTACAGCAGCATATATCATGCTATTTTTAGACCGAAATTTTTAAGAATTGTTCAAATAACTAAATATTCATTGTGTAGTGTACAGAAAAAAAACGATAAAAGCTAGCTTAGTACATTTTCTTTTCAATACGTTTAGAATAGACCGCGGAGTAGAAATGTCACTTTAGTCATGAAAATGACGTAAAATGTCATTAATTTTGTCGAACTTTTATTCTATTTTTGTTATATTTATCCTTGTTGTTGAAAATTTGTTTATTAAATGAACGAGTGTGGCTTTAACCCTTTACTTCATGTAGACGTGTTTTGACGGCTTTTTGACCCCCTCATCCTTTTTGAGGCCACAAACAGTGAAAAATTACCCTATTAAGACCCCAAACACTGTTTTTCGTTTGAGAAATGTTGCTAAAAAGTGATCACTTTTTCAGCGCCGGCCCTATCAAAAAAGTATATCAGGGGTTGCCAGAAGGGGGATGTGCCCCTTCTGTTTGGGGGGTTTGAAGGGGTGCGGTAGTCCCCCTCATCGCCGAGAAAATGTTTGACTTGTGAGAGGCTAAAAATGGCCTCAGGTCGATTGTAAGGTAACGTGTAACCAACGCTAAAAAGCATTTTACTCCATCTCAATCCATTGAGAAGTTGCAGCACTTTGATGAAAAAAAAACAAACAAACAAACAAAAAACAATGCAAAATAGTAATTTTTGGCAATTTTAAGATGTCCCCTCGTTTCGTTGCCATAGTAACAGGAAATTTAAGGCTGAGCATGTCGTTACAAAGGCATTGGTCCAGTCAACATTTGTGCCAAGTTTGATTAGGATTGAGGCATTTTTCATAGTTCCATAGCAGTTTGAACTTGTAACAGGAGCCTTTTCAATGAAAACGGCCATTTTTCAGGGAAAGGGTTAATGACAGGCCACTTACAGTAAAAACAATTATATAATGCCAGATAAGATAAGTAAGCAAACATTAGACCTCAAAATATTGATAACTCATCTATGACTATCACCGTTTCGTTATGACTTGTAAAAACATTTACGTACAAAATGCGGACCAGCCCTCTTATCTATTCAGATACGTTTACATTTGAATGTTAATTTATTCATAATCTTCATCATAATATACGGGTATTCATCATTCGCATTCTTCTTGCTTTAATTAGATAGAAAATTTAAATGATATGAATTAGATACTCTATATTTATTTAAATGATTTAAACTAATTTTTTGTGTAATTCATGCGGTTGTCCTCGAGCGATATGTTTATTTATACTTCAGACGTTAAACTATCTCCAACGGCACAAGGACCAGCACTAACTATAACCATAAAACAAGAGAAATATAGCGACATCAATGTAGACATCGTACCGTCTTTACCGTGTTCCCTTCCAGTAGACATTCATGGTTGGCCAAGAAAAGACTCTAGAAGCGCATTCAAAAAGAAAGTTGAAGCCGTTAAGAAGGCTGGACTGCATTTAGTACCTAAAGGCGACGAGACATGGACCATTTCCTATTCCAAGGCTGAAAAAGCCCTTTTAGATGGTATTGATGATAATAATGAATATAGACGTGGTGCTATGAAGCTATTGAAGCAGTTTTTGCAGAACTGCAAAGAGGATTCACCCAGCAAATTACCGGGATTGTCATCCTACATAGTGAAGGTATCCATTGATTTGATAAGAAAGCGGTATTTGGTTTCGGTTCAAAAGTTTGAAACTGTATATGGTATAAATTATTCATGATAAAACAACCAACAAGTCTAATTCAATGATGCCATTAAAACATTTTGATAATGCGAGAGTTTTTTTCTTTAAATAATACTCATTACATAAATTTTGATCTTGATGTGACAATACCAAATATGAATCAATCTATCAAGTGTTCTAACAGAACGAACAAAGTCATGTGCAGTAGTGATGGTGAGATATAACTGTTCCTTAACATTTTCTCTTTTAAAACAAAGTTCATAAAAAGAGGACAGGTATCAAATACGAAACAAGAATTAATTTACTCGAAATTTATGTAAGTAAACGCAAATTGTTTTCTATGAAGAAGAATAAGATTTTATCAAAATTTTATTTTATAGATTCAAATACTTTGGTCAAGCGAGAGACGGAGATCACCTGGGTATTGGTCAGCAAAATACAAGGACCGGATTTTACTTGATGTAATAGATGATATGGTGGAATCTTTGGAATCTGGAATATTACCGGAGTATTTTGATGTAAAAATAAATATCCTAGCTACTAAAAGTAAATCCGAGCTTCATCACTTTGCAGAGTGTCTTAAGAAAGAAAAGAAGAAAATAGAAATGAAACAGAAGGATGAATTGTATATTTGTGTTGTGTTTTTTTATTCCTCCATGGTCCACGTAGTCGAATAGTTCAGGTCTTTGACTCGAAAAATCAGTTTTAATCTCAAGCATGTAGCATTGTATCCTATCAGGGGCTTTTGAACTGTTTCATGTGAAGAAGCTATTCAGGGGGCGTATAGAAGGTCAATTGTTTAATGAAGTGCCCGCTCGTGACGAGGGACACCTTAGGTTTTCGCGGGAAAGTCGTTATATGACATTGACAGTGCCGATCGGACCGAAACCAAATTATCCCTTTAATTGATACAAATTCAGAAATAGTGTATTGAAACAGTTAGGAACTTAGCATAGAGAAAACGATTGCAGAAAAGATCGAAAAGGAATGCTTTGAAGTGTGATACTTTATCACTTAAATCAGCAAAAGTATCATATTTCATGCACTTTAATTAATGAGGTAAAACACATCTTAAATAGGTATATGCTGACTGATTCAGATTTTACATTACTGACAAGGTGTTCCTCCACCAGTAAAACTGGAAAGTCGTCATGTGACCATTCAATGTCAGTGCAACTTTAACCCGACAACAACAACAACAACAACCTGACTGAGATGTTTTATTAGTTATGACAACAGGCTATTTATGTTAAAATTGATTTAATTTTCAAAACATCACTTAACTGACAAAGCAGTACTTTTATTGGTTTACATATTGCAGTAAGCAGCGATAACAACATATTTTCTATACTCCGATATACATGTATTAAATATTTGATACTTTGATACAAAGAATAATATTATTTACATTGAGCTATACAATCGATATTTTTCACAGTAACACTTATTTACAGCAGTGTTTGAACACACTATCACTGGATATAATGATTACAGTCGAACGTGTTAAAACCAGGACGTGTTTAAGCCAGGACGTGTTAAAACCAGGACGTAGACTTGTCCCCCAAAACATTTGCCCGAATCCTTTTGCAGAGCGTGTCTTCGTATCTGTACGGTTTAGATTCGTATATTTCTCGTGCTTGATGGTCGATTGGTCCCCATTTTTTAGATGGAGACAGCAAGGAAACTATTCTCTGAAGAAGAAAAGCAACAATATAAAGAGCAATTTCAAAAACAAGGTAAATTTATGACACAAATGTACCAGTACCGACCTGTATTTTACTTTAATGTTGTATATAAATAGCGATCTCATCCCATGGTAAATGTTATAATTCTAAAAGAAAATGTAACTTTCGTAAAGAATATAATTATGTGCCGCGCTATGACAAAACCAACATACATAATGGGTTTGCGACCAGCATGGATCCAGACCAGCCTGCGCATCTGCGCAGTCTGATCAGGATCCATGCTGTTCGCTTACAGTAGAGCTGGTCGCGAACGCACTATGTCGGTTTTGTCGTGACGCGGCTTATATTATCATGATGTGTTCTAGGAAGAAAGGCCTAGTATTTAGAATGAAAATGTTGTGGAGGGATTTAAAAATATCAGCAGATAAACAGACAAGCAAGCAAATAAAAAGACAGGTAATAAAACAGAGAGGACAACAACAATTTGATCACGGTGTATTGATTTAGGGTTTCATCGTTTAAACGAAATGATTGAAATCAGAGATCTGTGTATTACACTTATGCAATATATCAAAGAAAACATCGTGTTGAGTTTAGCGTTTGAAACAATTTAAGGGCCAAACATAATTATATAAGTCTGATTATTTGCGTTTAAAATTGCGGTGGTGTTCAGTCGCTCGTTTTAGTAAAATACAATATAATTGACCTTGAACATACCTTTAGAAATGAACCTTCAGCGTTCACAATTTCTTTCACCATGATGACAACAATTGGAATAAAAGGTATAACAGACATGGCCACGCCTATAGCTAAACTGTATGGCTGGTATACATATCCGTCCCCGTAATTCGGTGCTGTGTATGTCGCCAGAGTTATCAAGAATGCTATCTAAAATCATACGTGGTCGTTATCACGTAAAAAGTAAAAGTGTAAGTGGATTTATTACCACCCAGTTATCTTTAAAAAAAATAGAATTGTTTAAATATACAACGTTTTACTGACTAAACTTAACATATTTTTTCTTAAGGTATATCAGTAAGTTTCTTTTTTACAAAACGTATGCAAAATGAGAAAGGAGGTCAATATTTGTTTTGCTCACCCCACCCCCGAGATACAAATCAGTTTATTTAACAAATCGCAACCTCTAGGCCTTTTCCAAGAATCATAAGTAATCAGCAAAGTGTTTTGATTGGTTCTTATCACTATAGTTATTAACCAATGAAATGTCATTATAAAAATACATACAGAGAGAAATCCTGTCATGACAACACACCAAAATATCCTCAATATCTTTGATACTTGTCGCCCTGTCATCAACTCAATATCTTTGGCAAATCTGTCAGCTCCTAAAATTTGCAACATCGATAAATTTGTATAATTTGAATAAATAAAACATACTATGTATATGTTAACAATTTGAAAAGTGAGGCTTAGTATGACTTGCAGTAAAACGAGCAAAACGAATATCAAAACATTAGCATCATAAGTATTTGGAACAACAGTTTTCTTTTCCTAAATAACTGCAAAGTTTACTCATTTACTACCCATTTAGATAAAAAGTAATGAAATAACAGAATAAAAAATATATTAAAATAAATTAGAAATATAAACAAACCATAGATCCAGGTTACCATTATACATTCCAGAGCGGATCCAAACAAGAGAGCGAATGCGGATATGTACCAGTCAGAAAGTTGGAACAGAAATATTCCTCCCTACAAATATACAGTTTGAACCATTAAAGTAAAACATATTTATGGTGTCAGTATAGTTCAGTACTTGATGTCAGTTATTGATTGAGAAATAGAAACAGTTTATTAATGTAGTGATCACATTCTGTTTCACATTTTTTGTCCGAACATTTACTCATGTAGGTTACACGTCCAGATATTTCTCATATAAACATATTCAAAGTTGGCTCACCATTGTCAGTTATCTTTTACATACTGATGTTCATGTATATTATCATATGTTTAATTTAAGCATTTAATAAATTTTTATCACATGACGCTCCCTATTTCTCGAGACATTATATAAGCTTTACCATAACGTAGTTTTCAAGAATTTTACACAAGTAACATAACATCATTTCAAGCAATGACGCCAAAGCTTATGAATCAATTAAGTGAAAAAAACATAACTCGCACAAAACTTTAAAATGATAATTTTGTTTAACTTTTACATATTTAAAATGTGATGAAAATATTTTATTATAAAGTTAAAAGACCATTTTGGACGAATGCGATGTTATCACAATCATATACCATGAGATCTCATGTTAGGTCCAATAAATGCCAGTTTTTTGTTTCTATCAAACTAAGAATAAGAAGAAGTTCAAGCATGTCGGTGTAACGGAGAGACTTTATAGAATTATGACTTTATGATACAAACATTCAATATATTTTACAGCATATTGACTGCACGGTCATATTTTTATATTATACTTATTTAGAACAACGAAACATAAGAACAATGATATAAAGAAGTAAAAACAGCACAGGTTTTCGAAGCCTGCACACAAACATGACCACTGAATTTTTAAAGCGGTTGTGGATATCAGTATTTTATAGAAAGAGGGCACCATTCTTAAAGACATGCCATGGAGTCTTTATTCTACCTTTACAATTTTCAAAATCTGATAAAGATGTATAAATATATAGAACATAAAGAAGAAAACATTAATACTTACATTCATTGTGAGTGGCAAACTTAACAAGAACAACAACAGAGCCGTTCCAATTAAGACAAAATATTTACGTGGTAACAGTTGTTTTGGATACACATCCAGTAACGCTCCAGTTACTGTTTCAAACATACCAAACTGAAAATAAGACGAGTTCAACCTTTAACCTGCCTGATTTGTGTAATAGATTTGCCAAACGTGGGAGCTGGATCATTACATTCATATTTTTATGTATTTCAATAACAAAATATAAACAATAAGCTATAAAGCTTTTCTAAAAGTCAATAATCTATAATATGTTATCTTTAGATAAATCGTTTCATATAATTGTCAAATTAAAAGAATTAAGGTGGAAAATGAAATTTCCCGTCTATAGAATACATAAACTATAATGAAACATCTTAATACCTCTATATTCTAAGAAGGCTTTACAGTCATATGATGCACTTTTCCAAGATAAAATTACTGAAATACTTAGTTTGAACAACACAGAACTATTTTTTTTTTGCAACTAAAAATAAACTCTGAAGGCCGCTTTAATAGTCTCGAGTTTTGTCAGACTGCAATGACTGGCTCTGTACTAGTGGCCGATCAGTTATGTCATGGCAGAGTCAGTGTTAAAATGAATTATCATGGCAAAAGTCTAATGCTTTGAAACATAATAAATATACTCGTATAAGAACTGCAAAATCGAAAATTAAATAAAAAAAATGATTGTCACATTATTTGACAATACTGTCTCAAATAATGCTTGTGTTGCGGCAACCTGACTGTAAATAGCAATAGCTCGAATTTTTTCTTTGAAAGAGTCGAGCTTAAAATCAATGACGTGACATTGACGGTCATTGCCATTCAAAAGTCAAGGTCATATTCCAATTACATGTAGTTTAAAAACAAACGTGGATGTCTTAGTTAAAACTAGATCTGTCACTGTCATGGCGTGAATACCCCCGCATACCACTTTGTCAGAATCAACAGTGGCCATTTAGAGCTCAAGGACAATCTCCCAGCCAAATCTGAGGTTACTTGAAGCCAGCGCATTGCTAAGTTATGTATTCTACATGCTTCAAATGTGAAAATGACAAAATCAATACAGTGCACACATGCATTCTTTAGCATTTGAGCAGAAAAGGAGATGCGGAGGAAGGTAGTCTAGTACTGGTCTAACTGTCCAGGAACGATGGTTAGGAAACTACCCGCCTATATGACTGAAATACTGTTGGGAAAAGGCGTAAAATGCAAAAAACAAACAAACTATTAGTCATATACAACCTCAATTCCAAATATGAAGATTGTGGGTCAAAGGTTGCTTAAGTTATTGGGCGGACAATTTTTTGAAGTCAAAGTCCCTGTGATCTTGACCTCTGACCCAGTGACCTCAAAATTAATATGGGTCATCTACTAATCATGACTCTTCTCCATGCCAAATATGAAGACTGTGGGTTAAAGAAATCTTAAGTTATTGGGCGGACAAGCCATTTTTAGTCAAGGTCCTGTGACCTTGACCTTTGACCCAGAAACATCAAAATCAATACGGGTCATCTTCTAATCATGACTAACCTCCATGCCAAATATGAAGACTGCGGGTTAAAGGAATCATAAGTTATTGGGCGGACAAGCTTTTAGTCAAGGCCCCTGTGACCTTGACCTTTGACCCAGCAACCTCAAAATCAATATGGATCATCTACTAGTCCTTACTAACCTGCATGCCAAATATAAAGACTGTGGGTCAAAGGAATCTTAAGTTATTGGGCGGACAAGCTTTTTAAGTCAAGGTCCCTGTGACCTTGACCTTTTACGCAGTAACCTCAAAATCAATAGGAGTCATCAACTAGTCATGACTAACTTCCATGCGAAATATGAAGACAATGGGTTAAAGGAATCTTAAGTTATGGGGCGGACAAGATTTTTTTAGTCAAGGCCCCTGTGACCTTGACCTTTGACCCAATGACCTCAAAATCAATAGGGGTCATCTACTAGTCATGACTAACCTGCATGCCAAAAATGAAGACTATGGATCAAAGAAATCTTAAGTTATTGGGCGGACAAGCTTTTTGTAGTCAAGGCCCCTGTGACCTTGACCTTTGACCCCGCAACCTCAAAATCAATAGGGGTCATCTACTAGTCATGACTAACCTGCATGCCAAATATGAAGACTCTGGGTCAAAGGAATCTTCCAGTATCCAGTATCCAGTAACTTCGTTGTACGGGGGTATAATGATTGGCGTGTTTAGATCAATTGTAACAGAAGTACTATGACTTAAACAGGGAAGACATCTACAGTCATATTTAAGAAATAATATTTACCGTGCTATCAAAGGCAACTGTAATAAGCATGAAGAAGAAGAGGGCGGCCCATAGTTGTGGTAAAGGCATCCGACTGATGGCCTCAGGGTATGCTACAAAAGCAAGTCCAGGACCTGAAAATATATGCTTTATTATACGGGAGAATAGTAATACAATGTACAGTACTCGGTGTATAGTAACTCTACAAATATGCTTAGTTTTCGGAACTAATTATTTTTTCAACAATGAATGTCTGTATTGTGTAAGTTATTATAATTATATCTGAATTTTTGTGTGGTTTTTTTTTAACTTTCAACTGTTCTTGGATTTTGTACGCGTCCATAAGGAAATTGAATAAAGACACATGTCTACCGGGCCCGATATATTCTTGAGTAAATTTCAGAGATGGTCCTGAGTAGAGTTAAATGTAAACTAGAAAATAATTTTTGCTAATTTATTACAACTGGAAAGGTTACCTGATGCCTTGGCGACAGCTTCTACCGTCGTTCCAGCTTCCTTTGCCATAAACCCCATACACGTGAAAACCACAAGACCCGCATAGAATGCCGTAAATGCATCGGATGCCACGCAAATGGTTGTTTCACTGAATCAAAATGTTATCATTTTATAATAAATTTAGAAATAAATCTATAACATGTTAGGAAAAACAACTAGGTACATGTATTAGCTAACTTTTTCCGGATTATCGATAAAATTGAAATAATTAAAAAAGATAAACAACAACAGATCAACAGAAAGACCGTCCTAAGTAACAATTGGAATAATGGAATTGGGTAATTTATTTTTTAAGTTTGTTCCACAGAAGAAAACCAGTTCATTTTCAAAACTGTTATAAGACTTAACATATTTGACATGCAGGATAAAAAAAGTGTATGGAATGCGGGATAAAACAAGTGTATGGCATGCGGGATAAAACAAGTATATGACATTTGGGATAAAACAAGTGTATGACATGCGGGATAAAACAAGTGTATGACATGCGGGATAAAACAAGTGTATGGCATGCGGGATAAAACAAGTGTATGACATTCGGGATAAAACAAGTGTATGACATGCGGGATCAAACAAGTGTATGACATGCGGGATAAAACAAGTGTATGACACGCGGGATAAAACAAGCGTATGTCACGCGGGATAAAACAAGCGTATGACATGCGGGATCAAACAAGCGTATGCCACGCGGGATAAAACAAGCGTATGACATGCGGGATCAAACAAGCGTATGTCACGCGGGATAAAACAAGCGTATGACATGCGGGATAAAACAAGTGTATGTCACGCGGGAAAAGCAAGCGTATGTCATGCGGGATAAAGCAAGCGTAAAACAAGACTTATAGTGTATGGCATGCGGGATGAAACAATTATATGCCATGTGGGATAAAATCAAGTGTATATGACTTGCGGAATAAAATAGGTGTATGACATTTGGGATAAAACAAGGGTATGACATTCGGAGAAAACAAGTGTATGACATGCGGGATAAAACAGGTGTATGATATTCGGAATAAAACAAGTGTATGTGGCTTTCGGGATAAAACAAGTGTATGTGACATTCGAGATAAAACAAGTGTATGTGACATTCGAGATAAAACAAGTGTATGTGACATTCGGGATAAAACAAGTGTATGTGACATTCGGGATAAAACAAGTGTATGTGGCTTTCGGGATAAAACAAGTGTATGTGACATTCGGGATAAAACAAGTGTATGTGACATTCGGGATAAAACAAGTGTATGTGACATTCGGGATAAAACAAGTGTATGTGGCTTTCGGGATAAAACAAGTGTATGTGACATTCGGGATAAAACAAGTGTATGTGACATTCGGGATAAAACAAGTGTATGTGACATTCGGGATAAAACAAGTGTATGTGGCTTTCGGGATAAAACAAGTGTATGTGACATTCGGGATAAAACAAGTGTATGTGACATTCGGGATAAAACAAGTGTATGACATTCGTAGCAAACAAGTGTATGACATGCGGGATAAAACAAGTGTATGTGACATCTGGGATAAAACAAGTGTATGACATGACGTTCGAGCTTCCGTTCACTCATATTCATTGTAATTGCGTTGAAATCCATTGCAAAAGAAAGCTACAAAATGCATAGAAAATGTAATTATTTATCTTACACAATCGACTTCTGATGGAATTTATTATGACTCGCCATTGTTATAACTCCTCCATAGGTAGGTCCAAGAGAGTAAAATACCTGTATGGCAGCTTCTAACCAAACCTGACAACAAATTACAGACAGACACAAATTATAATAAAGATAAACATTTTATAACATTTATGGTGTTATCATTATTACCGGTAAAAAAGGCAACACAAAACAACTTGCATGAAATATGTTTCCATTTACGTAAATAATGCATGCATGATTTTGGAAAGTATTCTGTTTACATTGGAATTCAAAACGGATATTATCTGCAAGTGTTTCTATCTACGTAGAAAATTTAAGTCCAAAAAAAAAGATAAAATAAGCTAAAAATATAATGTTCGAAATATAAAAATACAACCTTTAAAGTTTTACTTTTTTTATTTTGCGACTGTAAAAATGAATTTGTGTCATGATCAATTAAATAAATATCATGACTGCGAAATGGCAATTAGACGAATTAAAAGTTGTAAAAAGAAATGATAAAAAAGAAGATAAAATGTGTTCAAATAAGGCAAGATATTAACAAATAAGGCAAATTTACATACAAAGATTATTTAATTAAGATACAATAACCTATCGACGTTTACTTGAACACATTTTTCTATCTTCATTTGACAAGTCTGCATACACCATTCAAAATGTTCATTACATGAAGAAAATAAATTTTATCAAATTATATACAACACACACCATATGGATTTTCAACTACTAACTGATTAACCATAAACATTTCTTAAACAAAGGTGAAATTGTACTAAAGGACATAATTTTGTGATGATATCTATATATAATTAAATGTACCAATATAAATTTAAAACGGAAAAATTCCTTCTAAGAATTTGCATTTTGAAATTGGAGGTTTGTTTAAGCAAGCTTATGGAGCTCAATAATTCGAGCTTACATTTGATTTACATCTACATTTAATAATAAAAAATGAAAGATGATTTGTTTCTTATTTCTTTAATCTTACTCTGCGATTTTGCTGGTGGCAGAGTCGCCCCCCTGTCGGACATCGAGGCTTCTCCCGCCTGTCTGTGAAATTCAAAAGTTGATTAGAATTTAGAAGTATATAAAAGTTTAATAAACTTCAAGTAATACAATCTAACTGCTAACACCGAAATAAATATGAATGTACACATGTACTATCTTATTTTTGTACTTCTTTGCAAAGAACAATACAGCTGTTTGCCAAATGGTTGAAAGCCAAATAGGTTTGGTTGGTGTGATTTGAGTAGGAGTGGAGAAGTCTAGGGGTATAATGCACGAAAGACCGGTAGGGACATTTCAACTTCATCAATTACCGATTTCATCTTCGTGAATTTTATCGTCGTGAATTCACGTTTTCAACATACGGAATTCACGATTTCAACTTAATTAATTCACGATTTCAACTTCACGAATTCACAGTTTCTGTGTATTCATGAAGTTAAAATTGTGAATTTGTGAAGATAAATCCGAGAATTCAAGAACTTGAAATGTCACCAATGGTCTTTCGATATAATGCGTACAGTATACTTCAGTTTCTTTTTTTTTATTCCAATGACCAAACAATCAAAATTCTGTTTAAGGAACACGCCTTCATACATAATATCGAACTCTACTCTAGGTCAGATTTAAACATGGTTTGCCATGGTTTCTTTTTATAATATTTCTTGCAACTCTTAATCTTTTCATTGACAATGATTATTGTGTTACATCACTGAACCCAACAGTATGATACAAGTATATTAATAACATAGATTATTTGGTAACAGTCAAAATATAATCCAGAGGAAAATACCGTTACTGACAATAAACCACGTAACCAGATCTTCATTGTTAAAAAGTATTGTTATACCCATGTAAAAGTGCATATTTCTTAGTCCATTAACAGTAAGACTTTTTCCAATTGGCTAATGGGACATCAACATTACAAAAATAGTGAGGGGTAATAAAATATAATAACAGTTGACATTTGAATTGCTTCAGGACCGCAAACCTCTAAGATCATGTATTTTATCACCTGCTGTATTCCATGACATACAATAAGTATAAGTCAGTATGACCATGTTATAAAACCTGATATTACTAGCAGACGATAATTGCAGGGGAAACATACCAGGATGTATATCATTCCAGCGAACGTTTATCACCGTTTTGTAGAAGTTTAGTAGGTTACCGATATCGGAACTCTTTAATGTAATACTCATCATTCTGTTGTCATATCTGTTTTTGTAAAAAAAATGTTTCTCATGAAAGCTAGCTATGCAGATATTTTATGACGTCTCTCCTTTTTTCCAGAAAAGATTTCATGTTTATTTTTCGTGTTTATAAATTGCAACATTGTGAGTTATTTGTATCAAATAAAAAATCACTTATTTCCTTTTTTTAAAAAATAATATCTGATAGCACTATTCCATGTTACTCCATTCTAAATGATTCTAGTACTTAACCGCCATTTCTTTTTAATTAATATTGTTTTCCTCAAACATACTAATGATTAATTGAATACATGTACCACCGTTAATTTCTTTTTAATTAATTAATATTGTTTTCCTCAAAAATACTAATAATTATTTGCATACCACCATCCGAAACTAACGAAATATGGTAACAACAACAATGCTAACATTACTAACGGCAATCGTTATCAATTCATGCGCGTCAAAACTCCAAACCGGTATTACATAACCGATAAACCGGTGCAATACAGTAGCCGATAAACACTGGCTAAGTCCGATAAACTAATTTAATAGATAGGTGCGGTCCCATTTTAATATCAAAGCACAGAAGGCGCTGAATTTGTTTGGGTCTCAGAATGTCAGAAAGGTGAAGGTTGTGAGATTATAAAACACTTTGTTTTTGTATAGTGCCAACAATGCTTTCCAGCGTTTTAATTGCAGTAGATTGGCTATAAAACTAATTGCAACACTGAAATTCAATCCAATGTTTATTTGAATTAAACAATTTGAAAAAAAATTAGCTGCCTTAAATGGGATTTGAACTCTAGACCTCTCGCTTCCTAACCCCTCGGCCACGGTGTATTTATATGTTAACGGCCTGAAGAAAACCATATTATTCTAAATTAGGGTTTGTAACGACGCTTACTGTTGTTTAACTCTTGTGTAAATAATCATGGCGCTTACTATAAGCATGTATATCTATAAAGAATAAAACAATATTAGAAATCTTCGACCATTCGGGAATTATTTTGCTTGAAAATCCGTCTGTCATGTGACCATATTTACGCAGTGATCTCCCCTGATTTTTTCGCCCTAAGTGTTACATATAAAGGGAAGTAACCGCTTCAAAAAAGCGGACTACTTTCGACATTTGCAATTAACAGCATTAGAGTCTGAAATTTCGCTACCATTATTTGTTTGGTCTGAAGACCCAAACAAATAAAAAGCATTGATCAGTGTACTTTTGTGTAATAAACTGTATTTCATTCTGGAAATACACGGTAATTAAATATTTACATAAAAATACTAGGAAATAAAAACAACCTTATTTGTAGTTTGCCGCTATTGACCTATTTCCGAAATTTATTTTTTTTATTAAATTCATTTATTTTATTTCATTATTATTTGTTATTGTTAAAAGGATTTGTTTTGTAATATTTGGTTCCACTATTGTTGATTTACCTTCGGAAATACCGATCCTGTTACAAATCTATATCACTGGCACGCAAAAACCTTGTGTAAGGAAATCGGTTAACTATAATCATCGCGAGCTGTAATCTGCGTCCGTACTGATCAAGACTGAAGCATCATAAATGCATTTTTAGCTTCCAATTTGTACAGTGAATGTTCGCGATAAAACCATGCAGCATTACTATCAATATGTACGCATGGCCTGTAAATAAATCAAAGCGACAGGTCCTGGCAGATTCCCCACTGCTATCTTTTCTATGTAAATACAGACGGTGAATTGTTAACAAACTTATCAAAAGAAACGGAATGTTTGTTAGACACTTCATTTTTACATGAAAAAGGTATGATCTGGAAACATGGGAAGGGTGATGGAGGGATTATGGTAAAGACGGGAATACCGAACCCTATGAAAATCAGCTATCACCATGTTAAGGGTATAAAATTATATCTAATGCTGTTTTTGCTATTGTTGTTGTTTTTTGTTGTTTTTTTTTTCAAAGAAATTTTAAAAAAACTGCAAAATTATACTGCCATAGTCTTATTTCTTCCATACATGAAATTTTAAAATTATTCTTTTTCCAAATTAAAAACTCAAGGCAACACAGATATAGCTTTATACACTGTTACTTTCTAAAAATAGAATTTGCAAGTGAGGGAAGATCTGGAGGTGAATTTACTCAATAGGAAGAGGAAAAACTGAATAACAACTATCTATTTGCTTTAATTTGCATAGCAGAATATAATAATGAAATCCTTTATTGCAAAATGTATATGACTTTTACATGTACACGCACTCTTTATAATTGTATGGGCTTAGCGTCACTTAAAGCAAAGTTAAATAAGCTGTCCTTGATAAACCAATGCCATTTATTAGATAATGCATGAAATGACACTTAAATGAAAAGCGAAATCAATTATTTGACCTTCACGGTGAACTGTAATGACCCATTACTCTGAAGCGCTTATATTAGGCAAGTTCATCGACGATGCAAACAAATATATTATAATGCTGGTCAATTACTTTGCAAACATAAATTAAAATCGAATGAAAATAGAAGCAAAGACGCAAGTTGGTCCGTTAAGTATAAATCTGTTATAAAATCAGGCTGTTAAAATAAAATGTCCGTACAAGTTATGTGTAGATTTAGTTAAATAAAAACTTCTCTGCGATGTTACTGGAAGTATTTTCAATGTTATTCGTGTATTAATATTTGAATTTAAGAGGACAGAAATCCATTTTGTCTTTTAACGTTGCTCCAGTTTCAGAACAAGTAAATTGTGAAATCTATCAGCAACACAACTATTCTAACTGATCTGGAATTTCAGTCTTCTAAAAAGAGAGGACAATAACTACCTTCATCATTAAAACTAGAATGCGGTGTAATAATTATCTAATTAGCTAGAACTGGTATTTCTCAAAAGAAAACGTCTGTCTTTCACCGACACGGTCAGAATGAAACATGTAAATATTTATACCTGAGGTGAAGCAAGTTTTTCAAAATCTGGTGTTATATACCAAATAACTCCGTCTACAGCCCCGTCCAACATGAGTCCTCGGATTAACAGAACCGTTAGTAACACGTATGGTGCCGTGGCAGTGACATAAACAACCTGTACAAATTATAGAATTTGATTTACAAATTGGAGTGTTTCCAGATTTTGAAGTAACAATATAAAGAGCAATCGGAACTCCTCGACTAATATTTATAATAGCCTCGGACTTATACGTATACTATGTGTTTTTAGATGTAAACAAAAGCAGAGAGTGTAATCTCTGATAATGTATAACGAATGTATATTTGACATCAAAAAGGAAAGTAAAGTATGTTTCGGTAAAATTATGTTTAAGCATATGTCTGACAATCATAATCAATTCAAAAACGCTCCCTGATGCACATTTATGAACAAATCCGAATTAATGTCAACAGGCAGACATTTTGTACTTACAGTTTTTACAACCACCATAATAAATATATAGATAATGTACTGTTTACTTATTTACTTAATTTAGGTGAACCTTTATTCGCTTTATTGGAATAATTAAAGTCAACAACATCCAGCATTAAATTACCGTTTATTTACATTTGTTAAGTTTTTTAGGGTAAGTAAGACCGAAATATTGTATTCTTGCTATTGTTTTGAGGTCCTTTATCGGAAGTTTGATGGAAAACGCCGAGAAGATGCGAATGTTTAAAGAGGACAACTAACACGCTTCAAAATGAAACCAAATATCGGAAAATTATCAATATAAAATGCGGATGTTAAAAAAGAAATGTTAATGAAGTCTTTATCACATACATCTTTATCGTGTCTTGTATTTTATAATGATTTTAACTGTCATTCTGCCAGCCTGCAAATTAACCGATTTACAAAGATTGAAACAAGAACATATTACAATTATGCGCAGTACACTTGAAATAAAGTAAGCAAGAGACTGTCTAGTTTAAATCGACGTTACAAACATGCAACATTACAAACAATGTAAAAAATAGTCTGACAATCAATTGGAACACCTTGACTATTAATCATAATAACCTTTGACCTCATAAAGAGTTGAAAGAAGTTCTATCATGTGGCAAAACAGAGCGTGCGTGTTATCGTGATGAGAAGTAAATAAACATGTAAATATTTGACATCCAACGGTGAATTATTTCGGTTCAATTATGATTGAAAAATATGTCTGACTATACCAGAATCAGTTAAAAAAAAAGAAGTACCTTTAAAAAATACTTGGCTTTTACTTGCAAAAACTATGCCCACGAAGAAATGTTGGCAATACCTGTTTAATGATTTAATAATGACAGGAAAAACTTGTGCAAATTGCATACAGTTATGCAGGGCTGTCAGTAGAGTTAGTCCAAGAAATTGTACAACGTACTGATGTATTGTACTATTTCATGTAGGGGCAAAATCTTCCCTCTTCAACGTTAACACGTTACTTTTCGACCAAAGTTTCAAATGAGCATTTCTTGGATGAAAGTGATTTTCTTGGATGAAAGTGATTTATTATTGTTAAGAATGATAAACAATGTATCAAAAATATGATCAATTGTATTTTAACCCAATTTGACGTACACCGCCCCCCCCCCACCTCCAAAAAATGGTTAACCCGTAACCCCATACAATTTCACTATTGGGCCCATTAGCAAAGATCGGAAACGCTACCACGTACAATACATACGTATTTTAAAATGACCAATGAATTTTCTATTTATATTCAGTTCTTCCCTGTAAATTTTACAGGAAGTCAAAATTGATTTTAGATGGCTTTCGGCCGAAAAATGTCTATTGGCAACCAGTTATAAACCAAAACCGAAATTTTGTCAACAGGTAAACACTTTGTTCTTTCGATTTCTAAAAACAAAATAGTTAGTATATAAGTGATATACTTTTTTACTTTTATATCTATGAATTTACTTAATTTAGGTTTACTTGTACACGATATAATGAATAAACTCACTCAACAAATACTGTTTGTATACATGTTTAGTTTTTCAGTGTAGGTTAGACCCGTTATGTGTATTTTTAATACTATGTTCGAAGTTCTGATTGTCTGACAATATGCTATAAAATGTATGCTTCATTGCTGATATATATTACCTTTCCAAGAGATTTGACGCCTTTGATCAATGCCGCTACGACAATCGCCCAACCCACAAAGTTGCTGAGTACCAAATGCCATTGTATCGCACCCATACTTTCAAGACCGTCCGATTTCCGCAAAACATTATATCTGAAAAAGAAAGAAGAAACAAAATGGAGTCGTACAGATGCTTAACAATGTGGAAAATTACATACTGAATGTTCAAACCCATTCTAGCGTCGCTTAGTAACCGATTAGATGATAATTTTATGTATAAAAAATACGTGTAGTTTGTTTTCAAAATTTTGTTTTTAATGTTTGATAAAACAAGAATTTGTAACAGAGTTACCAACGTCCCCCGCCCCGGGGAAGTTATGAAGCATAAAATTGTGCTATTTCAAAAGATTGAGGTATGGATCTCAGGACATTCAGCCCAAAATTATGATCAATGCTAGATCTGCAAATGCAACAATAAATTTATTAAAGAAATAAAATGAAACACGGAAATTTAAAAATCTATCACGTTAAGCTTTGACCTCTTAGTGTGACATTGACCTTGGAGGTAGGGGTGCAGGTGTTGTACATGACCTATCGTCTTATTATTGTAATTATTTGTGCCAAGTATTTTCAAAATCCCTTTAAACTATGGAGAAGTTATAGATCGGACACAAAATATACCCTATTACAGACTATGTTAATCTTTGACCTCTAAGTGTGACCTTGGAGGTAGGGACCCATGTTTTGCGCCTGACATATCGTCTTGTTATTGTGATTATTTGTGCAAAGTATTTTTAAAATCCCTTGATCTATGAAAAAAGCAAGGGCTGGACACAAAATATACCCTATAACTGACTATATAAATCTTTGACCTCTAAGTGTGACCTTGACCTTGGAGGTGATGACCGGTTTTTGCGCATGACACATCTTCTCATTATTGTGAACAATTGTGGCAAGTATTTACAAAAGCCTTTCAAAGATAAGAAAGTTATGGACCGGACACGACATTTACCCTCAAATAGACAATGTTGACCTTGAATGAGCAAGTGCAACCTTGACCCTGGAGGTAGGGGTCTGGTTGTTGCGCATGACACATCGTCTTATTATAACAAACATTTGTGGCAAATTATTTCAGATTCCTTTGATAAATGACAAAGTTATGGACTTGACACAAAAGTGTGACGGATGGACGGACAGACAGACGGATGGACAGACGGACGTACGGACGGACGTGCCAACAATTGGGGTTTATGTGCTTTTTCTTTGATCTTTGTGTGGCATTTTTTCCCATAAACCAGTAAAATTACCACATAAACCAGTCGGTTTGTGGGATTTCCTTCTTTTTTAACTAAAATTATGGACGGAATGAAGCTCATAGACCATTGGATGTTCGCCCGGACAGACGGACGGAGCCTATTTCTATATCCCCCTTTTTTCTTCGAAAAGGCGGGGACAATTTAAATTGAAAAGTCAGGTATAACTAGATTTTGGATGCCATCTATTCTGGTATAATTTGTCCTAGAAAATATTGTATTACATTAAAAAATTAAAATTTTGAGATAAAACTGCTTTTTTTAAGATGAATGTTTAAATGTTTGCGTAGTACATGTACTTACAACCAGAATTCATTAGCTGGTGACGTTAATATTCCCGAAGATGTTGCGTTACTTGAAATATTGTACAGAAGTGACGAATTTACAATAACGCTGTCATTAACACCGGAAGTTGTTAGAAATGTTCCTTCTGCAATAAAACAAATATATTGTTACTATATTTTCATTGAAGACTGAAATCTTTGACCATATCGTAATTTAAATAATAAGAAGCACGGATATATGGTGGCATATTTCTGCCACCAGATAACCATATAACTAACTAAGTAATTAAGAGGTTAACTAGTAACTAGTTAACCTCTTAATTAACTAGTTAGTTATATGGTTATCTGATGGCAGAAATATGCCACCATACGAATATTAGTAAATATTTAGTTATAGAAATTTAACATAACAAGAACCACGGCCGCGCGGGGCAACGCTCGACTTTTTACTTTTTCTAAAAGCAAACAAAAGGTTTAAAAAAATTGTGGACGGAAACGGCATGACTGTAACAACACCTCTATTTTGTTTTCTTGGAAAAAATGTAGAGTTAAAAATAACAAGTTTTTGATAATCAGCCATTATCAGTTTATCATTAGTCATCATCTTGTTTGGTTTTACTCTGCAGGAAAGATCATTTGGCGACTTTCCAGCTTTATTGGTGGAGGTGCCCCTCCGTGCATTATTTCATTATTTTGTTTCATGAAATTATTTTATACATAAAGTAGATGCATACATGTAAATACATTTATATAATTATGTAAAATTCACATATTTCATAATGAATTAAATATTTTATTTCAAGCATTGCAGTTTAGTCTCTTTAATCATCTTAATCTTTCAGTGATAAGAAGTAAGAAACGCAAGTATACATTTTACCCTGTGTTTATAACCATTATAGCTTCTAATGAAACATAATATGCTATCATATCATTGCCGATGTAATGATATGTTATTTATGAAATCATCATTTAAATATTAGAAAATAAATATATACATTTTATTTCATTATATTGTATACTATCTGGTAAAAAGTTCATACAAACATTTGCCAGGTAAGATATTTTTGACTGACCATATTAAAGCAAAAACAAAACATAATGTAGAGACACACTTTATTTTGTTGGCGACGCAGGTGAGCGGCAGTTTAATGTGGCCAGAGGCTTTGTTTATATTTGTAAATTATATATCTTTACTGTATTATAAGTTGACAAATCATTGCTATTATATGAAATCTCTGTTCGGTTGTAGATGGAGAAATTTCCCATTTGTCAAGAGAATGTTAGTGATGGTACAACAGTTGTCGGACTGGAAACGTGGAGTGCCATACAAAATTTTGATGACAGCACATTCAGTGGAGTTGATATAAAGCTCATGTGCAATGTATAAAAGACTTCACAGGCCGCAAAAATATAGAAGTTATTAATGTATACTCTGTAAGAAAATTTAGATTTTGACAACAACATATTTAAAGCGCCCTCTATTTCAAAGGTTAAATATGTTATTTTTAGATAAAACGTTTCATATAATTGTCAAATGAAAATAATTAAGGTGAAAAATGATACCTCTAATCTACCAGTCCTCTCTCTTTATGTAAACGATCTTATATCTTTAGAATGGAATCTTGTTAATATAATATAAATAACACACGTGTTGAAGAATGCTAAACAGTGATATGATGCATTTTTCCGAGATAAAGTTAATGAATTACTTTGTTTGAAACAACACAGAATTGTTTTTTCCGACAAAAATTAAAAGCTGAAGGTTGTTTAATTTTAAAACCAGATGTATATTTTGCAATGTTATATTATATAGTATTCGTCATGGAATTGCAAAATAGATAAATAAATTTTGTAAGTCGATTTTAAATAATATCAATAATCGAAAAAAAATCATTTCGCCCAGGTCTCCCTACATCTCAGTGAAAGTACATGTTTGTGAAATCATTTCATCTCGTGAAGGTAGTCTTCTCATTATTTATCATGATATCGTACTCTTGTGGGAATTTAATTTTGATATATTACGCTAAAAAAAGTCATGCATTTGTTGCATGCACAAATGTTAATTAATTGTGTTGTTTACATGTCTCTAGTATGACAAATTTATTCATACACAATGTTTGTAAACTATCACGCATTTGTCAATATCACCACTGATGATAAGTGCAAGTCCTCATTATCAAGAGCAAAATAACTACTATCTATATCATTTTTCTTGGACAGTTCGAAATAAAAAAAACAAACGTGTTTATTTACATGGACGATTGGGAAGAACCATTTATTTGTTTTATACTCTATTGTAGTTTAATAAAGATTTTGCAGTATTATACCCATATAATGTAGGTGACTACCAACACCACTACGCTTTTGACTTATCTTGAGGCATGAATGCAATTTTGAAATTGACGTACTTTTTGAGTTCTTACGTATTTATAATTGCATGATTCATCTGCTAAAATCGTGTAATCGTGTGCTTAAGTTATTTTATAAGGTTTATTCTGCTGGCATTGTCAATTTATTGTGACGAGTACCTGTCAATTAGTTGTAAATGCATTATCTTTGGAATAGCTGTCCAATTTAAGTAATACGGAATCAAAGTACTTGAAGTATTGGTGAAAAGTGTACGAATTTGTTAATACTATATATTAATACTACTTTGTTCTCCTATTTGAAAAGTCAAACTGATGTGTTATTTATAAATTCTTGTAACACGCCAAAATGGTAACTTTTTAAATTTCGATTTTTTTCCAACATAATACAAACCAAGTCTGTCTAAACTGTACATGTATTATAGATATTTTTTGCAGTAAGATTTTTGTGCCTATCTCAATTAAGGAACGTATATATTTAATTAAAATGTGTGGTCTCCTTAACATCGTACTTTGTGTTTTCGTGTTTCAGCGTTTTCATCTTTGTCCCTTTGTGTTTTCGTCTTCGTCAATCCGTGTTTTTGACTTTTCGCGTTTCATATTTCTGTATTTATTGGCGATGGTCCTAACGGAACACCATATAATGGAGATGATAAATAGTTCCTTCTCAGCAATATTATAACTTTATGCACGTAAATTACACAGATAACGATTTGCATGTAAGTAATTACATGTTTAGGGCGATCAGACTCTAATATTTTGCTATTCCAATTTTACTGGAACTAACATCGCCAATTCTACGGGGTGAAAAGGTTAACAATAGCGTCAATTGCAATACATTGTATTTGCATAAACCATTTTTTGTAGGTTACAGAAATTTATCTCGAATGTAAAACACGACTGTACAAATTCTCTGTCTAATTAATTGTTGTCTGCCCCGTTGGCCAATCTCATAAGCTATTATATTAATATTGTCACGGGTGACGAGAACATCTGCTGTGTTATGTAAGAAATGAAGTAGACGTCTAGTTACATTAAGAAACGAAAGTTTATATAAAATGACTATCTGCTATCTATGAGCATTAAGAAAGGAAAGTTTATATAAAATGACTATCTGCTATCTATGAGCATTAAGAAAGGAAAGTTTATATAAAATGACTATCTGCTATCTATGAGCATTTAGAAAGGAAAGTTTATATAAAATGACTATCTGCTATCTATGAGCTATCTATATAATTGTTCTAGAACAATTCATAATCTGCTACATATAGATATGTGATACCCACACTTACCAACAGCAACCTTACATAATTTGAATGCTCATACTAAATCGCTTAAAAATCTAACAACACATTTTTTTCCCAAAAATATTTTATAAGAATAGGCAAATGATTCATTTGTTCATTAATTGTTTTATCAGTATTTGAAATACAAAATGCTCCCATTGTAGACAAATCCACTTTAAACGAAAATCCCATGTCAGGCCAATCCACTTTAAATATAATCTTTTTTAGTTTTATCTGCATCAAACCAGTATTTACTTCTTTAATGTAATACTATTTCTTTATTTCTCGACATGAACATAATACGCTGACTTTAATGTATATATTAAACATATATTTTTAAATTTACATAAGTACATGGGTAACTTTCGACAATTTATTTCATACCTTATAAAATATAACCGATCCAAAATCCATATCAAATTTTACTGTACATGAAGTAACAAAGTTCTGATAAAATGTAAAAAATGTTGGTGTAAAACAAAGAGGTAATTAAACATGGGATAGAACAACACTGATTCTATTAGGCTCGTACACATCTGCAAAGCCTATGTCAGTTTCTGCTCGCGCCATGTCCAATATAGCAGCAGTGTTTTCGTCCAATAGAATTCAGTATTGTACTCAACAATGTACCTTATAATGTTCAAAAGTTTTTATTAGTATCTATATTATTCTGTTATTCTAATTTGTATCATGGCTGAATATATCAATTTTCGTCCTTTCTTCGGCAGCAACACGCCAAATTACTTGTTTTCGTCTTATTGCGCGGCGCGATGTCGGTAGAGAAAAAGTTACGACAGAACAACAAGCCATATACTAGTAAACCGGTTGACACCTTGTCCTTCTTTCGCCTCTCTAACAAAGCCATGCAACAAGATGAAAACAGTGCATTCTCACAAATCATCCACGATAGATTAATTTTAATTCTGTAATTACCTCTACAGTTTTCAGTGTTCCACCAGTTTCCACACGTGGACCAGGGTAGCTCTGATTGAAAGGATTGAACAAAGTAGTACTGGATCCATCCCATGATAGACACGTAATACCAGAGTATGTCAAACGATATCATTACCATGAGAAAACCTATTCCTGTCAAATATAAATATATATCATGTATAAGCTAGAGTTAAAAATACGGCGACAGTATGGCAGAAATACTGAGAATGTTCTCTGCCTAGAAAGAAAATCATCTACAAAAGAGCGGTCATGAGTTCAAGCCTAATCGTGTTCCATTTTCACAAACACAAGTTTTACTTAACGTGAAATATATACGCCTGGTAAAAAACAGCTACATCTTTCAGAGGTGTAAATTGCTTATCGCTTCTTCCGCTCGTCGAATATAAAACGACCTTCAGCTTTTCTAAAGCTTAAATATGTTAATTTTTACCGACAATAATATATATAAACAATAAGGAATCCCCTGGATACCTCGAATCTACTGCTCCGCTCTCTAAATTAGTAAAACGTCACTTGTTTTTCCATGATGAATGCCGTTATAATCGTCAACAAAGGTTGAAGGTATAGCGTTGACTAATTATATATTTTTTGTAAAGTCTGCATCAAACATCGAAATTCATAGAATACTGTACCATGAAGATTTGATTAGCTTCAAGTGAACGTAAAATTGACGAATTTATGTTTGAACTGTAGTTGTTGCGGCATTTCCTACTTAGCAAGTTTAGCATTAAAATGGACTGTTTCATCATGAAAAATTGGTATTGCCTCATATTTTCACTATGTCAGCAAACCAATACCTTTTAAATAAATGTTTTATCTAGAATGTAATTAAAATCTAAATCAGAACTAAAAATTATTTATTAAATATATGACAAAATAAGATGTGACATCTATTCTTCAAGTCTGGCCTGCCAGGAAGGAGGTAGTCATGTCGCAAACAAGTTAGCTCTATAGTTAAAATTTACATAATTATTTCATATGCGCGACTTTCTTACTGTTATTTGCTCTGCTGTCATTTGAATGTCTTTATTATTTCTCTCACAGATGTGTTTTCTTTATCAGTTAGTACTAAATGAAGCCAGCAATTGATGGGAAATAAACGTGTGAAAGAATAAATACTAAAATTACGTACGTGATCTAAAGTCAGAAATTCGACATGCATGTGGTAGTAATTAATAAACATGGACATACAGGTGATTTCAACAATGTATTGCTATAGGAGGAGTTCATAAGGCGGGGATCAAGAGAGCTTTCGGGGCCATAGATCTATGGGATATTGGTACAAGGCGCAAGAAAAAAATAACCGTTTGTCTGGACCATGTTTGCATATGATTGTTTTAGATTAACAATAATTAATGCTTCAGACCTGACTAACATAAACGAATGGATTTTGTTTTATGTAATGTGTCAAAACCTCTAAAATGAGTTACAAGATATACAAATTGCTAAGAGTCTTACACCTCGATATACAGGAAGAAATTTTATATTTTAAAACTACGCAACATTTCCAAAGCAAGATCACAAATTGAATATGTGTACATTCTTTTAAAAAATTCAGTATGCCCGAGAGTTTGAACCGTCACATAGGATACTTCAAATAAAACCATAGCCCATAACCAAAGAACTATCTCCTTGGCGACATGACTATCTCCTTCACAGCAGAACTGTCACGCAAAATAAATATAATTAATATATTCCCTTAAAAAACTAAAATACAATCGTTCGATTTTGAAATTGAAGTAGAAGAACATATAAAAATAAAATTATATCAGTGACACAGCAACATTTACAATCATTTTAAGGTTTATGCGTGCGAAATTCAGTTTAAATTAATTTGATCATGATTGTTAAAATATTTCGAGAAAATTTCCCTTCCGTAACTTTGTAGTATGATATATGATGTCTTTCCAGGGCATGGGCTGTTTTGACTATTATGCATTCCTTGTTTTCAGCTCAAAATTATGTCATGTGTTTTTTTTGTTGTCACCTTACACACACAGCATGATGTAACATAAGCTTTTAGAGCCTCAGCTGTCACACAGAATACAATATAAGCTTAGCTTAAGCATGTTAGAGCCTTCATCTGTCACACAGAATGCAATATAAGCTTAGCTTAAGCATGTTAAAGCCTTCAGCTGTCAAACAGAATGCAATATAAGCTTAGCTTAAGCATGTTAGAGCCTTCATCTGTCACACAGAATACAATATAAGCTTAGCTTAAGCATGTTAGAGCCTTCATCTGTCACACAAAATGCAATATAAGCTTAGCTTAAGCATGTTAGAGCCTTCAGCTGTCACACAGAATACAATATAAGCTTAGCTTAAGCATGTTAGGGCCTTCAGCTGTCACACAGAATACAATATAAGCTTAGCTTAAGCATGTAAGAGCCTTCATCTGTTACACAGAATGCAATATCAGTTTAGCACAAGCATGCTAGAGCCTTCAGCTGTCACACAGAATACAATATAAGCTTAGCTTAAGCATGCTAGAGCCTTCATCTGTCACACAAAATGCAATATAAGCTTAGCTTAAGCATGTCAGAGCCTTCAGCTGTCACACAGAATGCAATATAAGCTTAGCTAAAGCATGTCAGAGCCTTCAGCTGTCACACAGAATACAATATAAGCTTAGCTTAAGCATGCTAAAGCCTTCATCTGTCACACAAAATGCAATATAAGCTTAGCTTAAGCATGTCAGAGCCTTCAGCTGTCACACAGAATGCAATATAAGCTTAGCTTAAGCATGTTAGAGCCTTCAGCTGTCACACAGAATACAATATAAGCTTAGCTTAAGCATGCTAGAGCCTTCAGCTGTCACACAAAATGCAATATAAGCTTAGCTTAAGCATGTCAGAGCCTTCAGCTGTCACACAGAATACAATATAAGCTTAGCTTAAGCATGTTAGAGCCTTCAGCTGTCACACAGAATACAAATATAAGCTTAGCTTAAGCATGCTAGAGCCTTCATCTGTCACACAAAATGCAATATAAGCTTAGCTTAAGCATGTCAGAGCCTTCAGCTGTCACACAGAATGCAATATAAGCTTAGCTTAAGCATGTTAGAGCCTTCATCTGTCACACAGAATGCAATATAAGCTTAGCATAAGCATGTTAGAGCCTTCAGCTGTCACAAAGAATGCAATATAAGCTTAGCATAAGCATGTTAGAGCCTTCAGCTGTCACAAAGAATGCAATATAAGCTTAGCTTAAGCATGTTAGAGCCTTCAGCTGTCACACAGAATGCAATATAAGCTTAGCATAAGCATGTTAGAGCCTTCATCTGTCACACAGAATGCAATATAAGCTTAGCATAAGATGTTAGAGCCTTCAGCTGTCACACAGAATACAATATAAGCTTAGCTTAAGCATGTTAGAGCCTTCAGCTGTCACACAGAATACAATATAAGCTTAGCTTAAGCATGTTAGAGCCTTCATCTGTCACACAAAATGCAATATAAGCTTAGCTTAAGCATGCTAGAGCCTTCAACTGTCACACAGAATACAATATAAGCTTAGCTTAAGCATGTTAGAGCCTTCAACTGTCACACAGAATACAATATAAGCTTAGCTTAAGCATGTTAGAGCCTTCAGCTGTCACAAAGTATGCAATATAAGCTTAGCATAAGATGTTAGAGCCTTCATCTGTCACAAAGAATGCAGAATAAGTTTAGCATAAGCATGTTAGAGCCTTCAGCTGTCACACCGAATGCAATATAAGCTTAGCATAAGATGCTAGAGCCTTCATCTGTCACAAAGAATGCAGTATAAGCTTTGCATAAGCATGTTAGGGCATTCAGCTGTCACAAAGAATGTAATATAAGCTTTGCATTAGCATGTCAGAGCCTACAGCTGTCATTTTCTATACATGTTCTTTTCTGTACGGATTCAGGAGATCTGAACAAAAAGACAGAGGTAATAAAACAATATCAAATCTCAATCTTATTTTAAATCCGGTTTATTTCATCGTAAGCAAACACTTTGGGGTTTAAACTTAACGGATACAGTCATGTTTAGGGCCCCTGGAGGAACATAAAGACTGGTTTAAAGCATAAATGCCTGACCTTTAAAACAACATTTCTAAATTAAATGGTTAACATGAGTAGATTAAAAACTTATTTTAAATATCTAAAGAGATATATTGAACACAATTAATTACGTCTTTAACAGAAATAATTTTAAATCATATAACAAAATAAGATTAATACCTTACCTATATTTAGATAATAATTTGTACACGATTTAAACGAATAAAAAAAAGATGTTTAGAAAAAAATACGATAATAAATGTCAAAAAGGACGACCTCTGAGTACTTTGGGTTTAAAATTACATATTTTACATAAATAAAGTATCATATGAGTCATTAATCCTAAAATTATTCATTTAAATGACAAACGACTTCCGGTCAATTTAACTTTTTTTCCATGAGACATAGATAAGGTTTGATATTCTCAGATATCATTGACGTGTATAGCCTGACAATAAAGGATGCGGTCTTATTACTATATGTATAAATTATATATTTATATCTTTATAATTTGAATAAGTACAATGAAATTTAATTTGGTTTTCAGCCTTTTACAGCTAGAAAAAAACAAACAAAATTGAAAAAAAAACAACAAAAAAACAAAAACAACAAGAACAACAAACAAACAGCAAAAAGGGAGCTAGCACTCTTAATTTAAATCAATAGCAATTTATTTTTGGTCCGTTTTCCAGAAAAAAATAAAATAACTTCTTAAATTGCCAACAGCCCTTCATAAATTTTATGTATAAACGTCGTGATTGTCCGTTGAAACACGCAGTTTAAAAAAACTGACTGAAATAACATAACGCTCATCAAGACATAAGCAGTACTGTAAGCTACACTTTGTAGATTTATATATACATGATGTTCAACTCAATTATGTACCAAACAATGAAACACCGACCTCACCCCCGTGAAATGGCGGTTTACACTTCTAAACCGCCGGAAAAATACAGGCTATATGTGGACACTCAGACAAAGCCCCTCCAGGGACATAGATCTACATCTCTGGCTCCACAAAAGCCAATAATTATACAGTCTTTTCGACATTTTGTTTTTTGGCGCCATAACGAAATCACCGCACTGACCAGACAGTGCACGGACAGGCAGAAATGTATCTCGTTCTTCCATCGACTCCTGAGACAAGAATTATAGTTTCACAATTACGTGAATTACATGCAAACTGTATAGCTGATGAAAATACTCAGTTGTGATTTTTTTATCGAAAGGACAAATTGACGAGCGAATGTTAATACGTTAATTTCAATGGCCAAAAAAGAGGAAAGAAGAAATGAAATAAACTAAACATGTTCACACTAACCTCTGAATAGCGGACAAAATTCAAACGCAGCTCCAGCACTCTGTCCCGTAAATTGTCCTAGACATACTTCAAGATAGTATAACGGTCCACCACATGTTATCATAAAGAAAAAGAAAGGGATAAGAAATGCCCCGCCCCCATTCCTGGCACACAAAATTGGGAACCGCCAAATACTTCCTATCCCCACCGTAAACCCTATAATAGCGAGCAGAAATTCCATACGAGACCCCCAATTATCACGCTCTGTTTTTCTTTCGCCATCTTTTCCCGCTTTCTTTCCAAGTTCACCATTAATTCCAATTACTTGTCCATTTTCTATAAAAGCACTGTTTTCACTATCAAGCGACTCGAGCTCCATGTTTTCTATCTCGCCGCAGCGGATTATGTCAGTACAATGAAAGAAATATACCTGAACTGAACTGTTTATTATTGCTAGATTGGTTTTACTATGATAACGTTTAGTAGTATACACTCAATAAGATGGTTGATATTATCAACGTGTATTAATTTACGAAAAGCTTTTTATACAGTAGACTTAAAATTAACTTGGTTAATTATGGAAACCTTGCGCATTTAATTAAATACTAAAATCAGCAACGCAGTACCCGAAACTGAGTTGACTTATTGGTAAAAGAAAGGGGGTAAGAATTTTGTAAAATCTACCATTATTTTGAAAATACAATATTTTCATGAATTTAATTACATTGTCTACAAAAATTTCAAATCATACCAAATAAATACACTCACTGCAAACATTTAAAAAACTATTCATGTATGTTAATTATTCACAACACGGCATTGATATAATATTAATTATAAAAGTTTTTGACCCGACATAAGCGGTCTTAAACGTGTATGACCCGAACTGCTAGACTTGGATAATTTTATTTCCTGCTAGACTGAAATATCAACACATGAAGACACTTCATAATTAAATTGTACAACTCTCGTTTGTTAATATATTAAAGAGCGAAAGATTCATACATGTATAGATGTTACCTTATATCTTTTCAATGCTACCTTTTTTTCGACTCTCAAAATTCATGAACAATGATACCATTTAAACCTTTAATCATAAATAACATGCGATATAAAGACAGGGCAAAAAAATGTAATTTTGTAAAAGAGAGTAGTATTGTCCGTACTGATTATGATGGTGCATGATTCTCGTGGTTTCTGTCTATATTAATTAGAACATATGAAAACCTTAAAAATCGCTAAACGCGGCATTTTTTTTAAAAGTAAGCTCGACTTGAATGGAAGTGTACCTTATTGATAGTGGTAATTGGGATCTACCGTCCAATATTATTATACTATTTTACACCTGCTGCAGATAGAAATAGATTTAGTATATGAAACGAGTAAGTTACAAGGATATATCATTGGCCGAGGCGACAACGAGGGATGTTTCTGCTAAAAAAATGGCGAGGCCGTAAGGCCGAGACAATCTGTTGCAGAAATATCTCAAGATGTCCCCCGGCCAGTGTTAAAGCCCTGTAACTAACGAGTTTCATAAAAAAATCAGCAAAAAAAAAATACTGTGTGCACCTCTCTCCCTTGTGCCCTTTCACTTTTGTTTCAAATAGAAAACCCAGATAAAATGAAGCAATACCAGCTCATGTTGTCGTACGCTACCTTACAGCTATATATATAAGGCATTTTTTTGAAGTTGTTTTCGCTGTCTAAAAAAAAGAGAAAAAAGGGAATAAAAACAAGATATACAACCCTAGAATACTAGTTAAAGACGTCCAATGTTTAGTGATGGCTTGTGGAGAAAGTAATGTTGATTCAAGAATTAAGGGATTTTTCAGTGGAAATAATATATTCATTCTGCGGATGTACCTTTATATTTTAGCAGTGATATAAGAGAATAAATTTGTTTATATAAAAAAAATTTATATTTATTTATTTACTTTTTTGCTGCTGGGAATGTTCGAACCCCTGCTGCCCCATTGGAACCTCTGTGAAAAAAACACACTGATACACACAAGGTGCAAAAAACCCCTCAACTGTTATATATTATCTTATATGAATCAATGAAAAAACTGTACTGTTTCATATCTTAAATGCTCATTGAAAGTGTACCGAGTATATGGATTAGACAGAACAAAGAAAATGCTCCAAACCATGCGATAATGTACTTTAAAGGTTCCAAAAGGGGTTTGGTGTTCTCATATTTAATATTTTACCGAGATAGATGAGAATTATATGAGCGTACAGAAATCCTTTACATGAAACATCAAGAAAATTTAGATATACTATATAAATTCAGAAAACTAAGCGTACTGTAGGAATTTCTTATCTGCACTCTACATCAAGGTGCATAAACGCCAAGTAATTCCGAGTCAGGACGCCGCAACATTATTTATCAGACACACAACTGACAGTGGAACATGATGCACGTCAAAACAAATAAAATGTAACACAAGAAACACTCTGATATCATCAACGTTTATCACTGGATCCAAAAAGCATGATACATTAAATAACCAGAATATTGTGCCAACGATTGATGGATTACTTTATAACATTATCGGCATCTTTAGTGAAAAAAAAATCATCAAAAAGTAACTTAGCATAGGATAGGAAAAACATTTAGTTTTAGTTTGAACTCTATGATTTTATCTAAATCGGGAATATTATTGTCACTTACAGAACAGACAACAGAATATAATATATTACATAATAATGAAAATATAATACATAAAAGTGTATGTAAATGAAAATGGCAAAATATTTTGTATGGAAAACACATAAACATCAAACATCTGTAAACATCAAATGAAATTGGCAAATATATATTACATACAATTCAACAATTGATATTATAAAACATCGATAATAATATGGTTGTTTCTTACTTTCAGAGCTCTTGAGATAAAAAGACAGGGAACCAAAATATCCTCAAATGAAGAGCTGGCCAATTTATTGCCCATAGTTTTGATACACTTCCGGCCGATCACTTTTGAAAACACTCGTGTAACCGTAATGCTCGCACAATGAGCAGGTCATTTATGTATACTGGTTGTAAACATGGCTTGCATCCTGATTCGAAAGAGAAGCAAAGAGCTTATTGCAAAAATCGTGGGTTTTTGGGTAAATACGCTTCAGAAATAAACACGGACCTAGATTTAGTTTATGAAGAAAAAGCCATTTCGTATCGTAGTCAGGTGGGTGTCAATGTTTAAGGAACGGTGATGATCCCCGCCCTGGGCGGCCAATTTCCACTATCGCTGAAAAAGATATCAGCAGTGACAAAGCCATAGAGTTAATGAAGATGCAAGATATACCTTGGAGGAAGCTGAAAAAAAGCCTCGGCCTTATTGACAAGGTTCAAAGATCGAGACCCTAGAAGCCTTAGAGAAATTGTCACAGGGGATGAAACGTGGATTTATTTTTTGAGCCCAACAATAAACTAAATGACAGCGATCGTTCAGTTGTTGCTCGACGTAGCAAGAGTTATGTACGCTCTATTTTTGACAGTGATGGAATAGTGGCCCGTGTCGCTGTGCCTGTGAGGGGTAGTGTCACTGAAAAATTTTACCGTGACTATTTTCTCACTGTTGTAGTTCAGCACTACATTACAAAGAACCTAAGGTCCGGAGTGCGCAGTATCCAATACTCCATGACAATGCACCTACGTATCGGTCAGCCTGGGTTCAAGCTTAATTAAAGGAGCAGAGAATTAAGGTTGTGCTACATCCCACTTATAGCCCTGACCTCTCTCCTTGTGACTTTTGGTTAAATTCATAATCAAATCTTGTCTTTGCGGTCGCCGGTTTTAAACCCGTAGTGCCGTCGGAAGCGCTCTCTTCCAGTGTATAAACAGTATACCCAAAAGAAGAGTTCAAAATGCGTTTTCTAAATGGATTCTGAGGCTGGAAAAGTGTGTAGAGGTCCATGGTGAATATTTTAAAGGACCCTACGAATATTTTTTCCACATGTTTAATTAGAATATGCACCTCGTTAATTAGAATATGCCCCTCGAACTTCAAAATGATATTGCTAAAACCTAATGTTGCTATTATTTAATGATCAACCCTTGTGTTTATTTTCACTAGCATAAAGTTATTGTTGGCCCAATTAATCATACAAGCAACATTGTGCCTTGCCTTCCACAATATCGACACTTATTGAATGTTTGTGTTGGTTTCATCACATTTTAGAAGGCTCTATCACACTGTCGATGGCACCAGTACTTTGTCGGTGTTTATATCGAATAGATTGTTAGATTAAATAAATGCTTTTTTAACCAAGCTCTTTGAACTATTTCTTTTTTGTGTTGAGAAAAAGGGGAGGTTAGGATAATTGTACATGCACTATAAAGTGGGCAGACATTAATCTTTACGGTAAAGAAATCATTAAAAGGTGTGTAATTCGTTGTGAGAGAGCATGTTTTATTCTTAAGTCAGTGTTTTTGATAAAGTATGTCCTAATGAGAAGCGTGTACATTCATCTGAACAAACAAACAAATATACTATCATGTTCTTTATTGCACAGCTTCGTCAATAGATATTACATTGCCCGCTACCCTCACCAAAAAAACCGATCAAACATAAAATCATTCTTTAAATCACAGGAGTCTGTAACGAATGATCCTGGTATCAAAACATTAAATCATTCTTTAAACCACAGGATTCTGTAACGAATGATTTTGTTTTCAAAACATTAAATCATTCTTTAAACCACAGGATTCTGTAACGAATGGTTTTGTTTTCAAAACATTAAATCATTCTTTAAACCACAGGATTCTGTAACGAATGGTTTTGTTTTCAAAACATTAAATCATTCTTTAAACCACAGGATTCTGTAACGAATGGTTTTGTTAACAAAACATTAAATCATTCTTCAAACCACAGGATTCTGTAACGAATGGTTTTGTTTTCGAAACATTAAATCATTCTTCAAACCACAGGATTCTGTAACGAATGGTTTTGTTTTCAAGACATTAAATCATTCTTTAAATCACAGGATTCTGTATCTTAAGATCCTGGTATCAAACATTAAATCATTCTTTAAATCACAGGATTCTGTATCTTATGATCCTGGTATCAAACATTAAATCATTCTATAAATCACAGGATTCTGTAACGAATGATGGTGTTATCAAAACATGAAATCATTCTTTAAATCACAGGATTCTGTAACGAATGATACTGTTATCAAAACATTAAATCATTCTTTAAATCACAGGATTCTGTATCTTAAGATCCTGGTATCAAACCTTAAATCATTCTTTAAATCACAGGATTCTGTATCTTATGATCCTGGTATCAAACATTAAATCATTCTTTAAATCACAGGAGTCTGTAACGAATGATGGTGTAATCAAAACATGAAATCATTCTTTAAATCATAGGATTCTGTAACGAATGATGGTGTTATCAAAACATTAAATCATTATTTAAACCACAGGAGTCTGTAACGAATGATACTGTTATCAAAACATGAAATCATTCTTTAAATCACAGGAGTCTGTAACGAATGATACTGTTATCAAAACATGAAATCATTCTTTAAATCACAGGAGTCTGTAACGAATGATACTGTTATCAAAACATGAAATCATTCTTTAAATCACAGGAGTCTGTAACGAATGATACTGTTATCAAAACATGAAATCATTCTTTAAATCACAGGAGTCTGTAACGAATTATCCTGTTATCAAAACATGAAATCATTCTTTAAATCACAGGATTCTGTAACGAATGATACTGTTATCAAAACATGAAATCATTCATTTAACCACAGGATTCTGTAACGAATGATACTGTTATCAAAACATGAAATCATTCTTTAAATCACAGGAGTCTGTAACGAATGATACTGTTATCAAAACATGAAATCATTCATTAAACCACAGGATTCTGTAACGAATGATACTGTTATCAAAACATGAAATCATTCTTTAAATCACAGGAGTCTGTAACGAATGATACTGTTATCAAAACATGAAATCATTCATTAAACCACAGGATTCTGTAACGAATGATACTGTTATCAAAACATTAAATCATTCATTAAATCACAGGAGTCTGTAACGAATTATCCTGTTATCAAAACATTAAATCGGGATACGGACAAAAGCCCCCCCCCCCGGACGAAAGCCCCCCCCCATCTAAAAATGACAAGGTGGACAAAAGCCCCCCCATGAAATTTTCACATAGGACAAAAGCCCCCATCCCCCCCCCATAAAAAAGTAAAGGTAGGACAAAAGCCCCCCTCCCATAGTCAATCAAATTTACATATATTGTATTAAAGTTGTGTTTTTTATGTGTTTAAAAGATATGTATGGACATCACATGTAGGTGACAAAGTGCTTAGGATATTAATTTGATCCCTTTACAAAAGTGATTAAACATTACTACTCTTCTGACCCTTGTTGTGTATATGAAAAGCTATGAATTCGGTATCGCATGCATACATTATTCAATTTTTTATCATAAACTTTGTTATCACTTCAATATATACATTATAAATAAACATTTAAACAAATTCTTTTTATTTTTATTTAAAAGTTTGTGTGAAATTTGATGAATTCGAGCACCTGTGCGAGTGAAAAAAGATGGGGGGCTTTTGTCCTGCCTGTATTTTTGATGGGAGGGCTTTTGTCCTATGTGAAAATTTCATGGGGGGGGGGCTTTTGTCCACCTTGTCATTTTTAGACGGGGGGGCTTTCGTCCGGGGAGCTTTTGTCCTACACTCCATTAAATCATTCATTAAATCACAGGAGTCTGTAACGAATGATACTGTTATCAAAACATTAAATGATTTATTAAATCACTGTCTGTAACGAATGATGGTGTTATCAAAACATGAAATCATTCTTTAAATCACAGGAGTCTGTAACGAATGATACTGTTATCAAAACATGAAATCATTCATTAAATCACAGGATTCTGTAACGAATTATCCTGTTATCAAAACATGAAATCATTCATTAAATCACAGGAGTCTGTAACGAATTATCCTGTTATCAAAACATTAAACTCAGAAAATAACAAGATTATGTGTTATAAAACGTACAAAGAATACAAAAATGAGATCTATAAACTTTATTCTGTGTGGTTTTTTTAAGTAAAAAAAAATGTTTTGTTAAAAGATAACGTAAGCCAAGTAAATTACTAGTGAAAACGGATAAACACTGAAAAAGAAAACAGAACCAAAAAAAAAGTATAGCATGAACACAATAATGTATAGTATTACCTGTTTCAATGATGTAAACCATGCATTAATGTCAAGCAGACTATGTAAAAACTTGGACCGTTTTACCATACAAGACAAAATAATACAACATACAACGGATAGTTGAACTAAATGTCAGTTCGCTTTGCTTTAACACAGTTAAATGAGACAATGAACTATTGGAAACATTTGTTTGTTCCAACAAGTCTAATTTTTATACCACAGAAATGCTTAAACTGTATGGATTTGTCAATCATCAAATATCCAACTTACAAACAATGACATGTTCGCTTTCACCATCGAAAAATGCCATTAGTTAATGATCAGTAACAGGTCTTTCAAAACGGTATAAAGGGAAACAACTACGTGTGTTTGAAGAGTATGTAATAATATTATAATACCACCCAAACTGGCGGATCCAGGGAATGATACCAGCCAAAATGGCGGCAATCTTGAAATAATCAAGGTAATAATCTGAATAAAACTGGTGGTATTCTTCATTCACTACATGTTCTTCGTGAAACTTTGTAAATACATCAATTATATGCCGGTGTTTTACACTTTAAATACGCATTAATATATACATCCTTTGATACTAAATTACTAATAAATTAACTATTTGACGCGAGTTTTTCTTTAATCCATGGAACGAATGCAGCTACTCGGGCATACACCCCTGGTGCATTTGGTACAGCACACCCTTCGCCGAACGAAACTACTCCCATAACAGTGTATTTATCTAAAATAAAAGTAAACTTTATCAAAAACATTAAATGCATCTTGTAATCAAAACAACTGACTAATAAAACGCATTTTGTAATAAAAACAACTAACTAATTAAACGCATTTTGTAATAAAACATCTACAAATATAACTGTCAAGCCCTTAATACAAATATGAAATAATCAACATAATTATTTAATTTTAAACCAATTTCAACTTGTATTTACTTATTGCTTTAAATTTGTAAAAGTTACTATGACAAATATATATGAATACTCACTGTTAATTTTACACACAAGCGGGCCGCCAGAATCACCGGCGCACGTGTCAACACCGCCAGCAAGAAATCCGGCACAGGCCATATTGGATGTAATTGTTTGTTTATAAAGTTTGTTACACGTCCACCGATCCACCAAAGGAACACGTGCAGCTTTCATATATACACTCCGTTCATCTGTAACAAACAACTCTCACATTAACTGCTCACATAAATTGACATAACTATTAAAATTAACTTAAAAAAACAAGAATTTGTAACAAAGTAACCAAAGTCCCCCGCCTCGGGGAAGTTTTATATGAAGCATAAAATTGTGATATTTCAAAATATTGAGGTATGGATCTCAGGACTTTCAGTCTAAGATTATGATCAATGCTATATCTGCAAATGCAACAATAAAGTTATTAACGAAATAAAATGAAACACGAAATTTAAAAATCTATCATGTAAAGCTTTGGCTCTAAGTGTGACATTGACCTTGGAGGTAGAGGTGCAGGTGTTATGCATGACATATCGTCTTATTATTGTAATTATTTGTGCCAAGTATTTTCAAAATCCCTTGAACTATGAAGAAGTTATGGACGGGACACAAAATATACCCTATTATAGACTATGTTAACCTTTGACCTCTAAGTGTGACATTGACCTTGGAGGTAGGGGTGCAGGTGTTATGCATGACATATCGTCTTATAATTGTAACTATTTGTGCCAAGTATTTTCGAAATCCCTTGAACAATGAAGAAGTTATGGATCGGACACAATATATACCCTAGAACAGACTATGTTAATCTTTGACCTCTAAGTGTGACCCTGGAGGTAGGTACCCATGTTTTGCGCCTGACATCGTCTCCTTACTGTGATTATTTGTGCCAAGTATTTTTAAAATCCCTTGATCTATAAAAGTTATGGACTGTACACAAAATATACCATATAACAGACTATGTTTATCTTTGACCTCTACATGTGACCTTGACCTTGGAGGTAGGGACACATGTGTTATGCATGACATATCATCTTATCATTGTGACTATTTGTGCCAAGTATTTTCAAAATCCCTTGATCTTTGAAGAAGTTATGGACGGGACACAAACTATACCATATAACAGACTCTGTTAACCTTTGACCTCTAAGTGTGACCTTGACCTTGGAGGTAGGGGTGCAGATGTTGTACATATCATCTTATTATGTGACTATTTGTGCCTTGTTATTTCAAAATCCCGAAGAAGTTTGAGATCGGACACAAAATATACCCTAAAACAGACTATGTTAATCTTTGACCTCTAAGTGTGACCTTGAACTTGGAAGTGGGGATGCAGGTGTTGCGCATGACACATTGTCTTATTATAGTGACTATTTGTGGCAAATATTTACAAAATCCTTTGATCTATGAAAAGGTTATGGACCGGACACAAAATATACCCTGTAACAGACTATGTTAATCTTTGACCTCCAAGTGTGACATTTACCTTGGAGGTAGGTGACCGTTTGTTGCGGATGACACATCAGTATTGTGAACAATTGTGGCAAGTATTTACAAAATCCCTTCAAAGGTAAGAAAGTTATGGACCGGACACGACATATACCCTCACATAGACAATGTTGACCTTGAATGAGCAAGTGTGACCTTGACCCTGGAGGTAGGGGTCTGGTTGTTGCGCATGACACATAGTCTTATTATAACAAACATTTGTTCCAAGTTATTTCAGATTCCTTTGATAAATGACAAAGTTATGGACCAGACACGAAAGTGTGACGGATTTTCTTCGAAAAGGCGGGGGACAAAAAAATACACCTCAGAAATACAGTAGAAACCCGCAAAACCGGTAAACCGAACTCCTCAGTAAAATTAACCGGACATTTCTCAGGGTCCCGAATTTACTTAATTTGAAATATACATTCGGTGAGAAAAGGGCAGTATACATGTATGTATAACATACTTTACTTTGGTTCAAAAAACATTATGTTGTTGTTAATGATCAATTATTTGTGGCAAAAATATTTTGAATTGTGAATAAAATGCAGACTAATATCGTTTCTAAAATATTTGTTACATAATTATCATAAGGCATATCAAACAAAACTGGATCAAACAATTTCCGCCGAAAATAAAAGTAAAAGTACTGAAGACAACAGTAACATATATTTCTACAAATGTTTAGCATCAATCTGACTCAAGTTCAGATCTACTTAAGTTATTTCTTGCATACGTTACGTTAATTAGGAGCTGACCTGTATTAACAGTAGCAATTTTTCTTTACTATAAATACTGTGAATTTTCAAATTGTTAAATTACGCTCATAAAGAAAAACATGGTTTATTCAACTCACCATCTTCATGTTCGCCCCAGCCAGAAATCAGGCATTTATACCCCGGCTTGTACTCCGTTGTTACATTTGGGAGACAGGCTGGCTGTACATAGTCGTTGAAAACTATACCTCTTCCATGAATAGGTCGTATTTTAACTAATGCTATATCATAATCATAGTCTTGTGCTGTAACACATCATATATATGTCATTACATATTATATATAATTATGACGGGCGTCCGTGGCCGTATGGTTAAGATCACTGCTTGATTTGGGAATGTGAAAAAGTGAAGTCCTTTATAGAAGATATCAATGAACATTCTATGTAAACTTTGAGATGGATGGCAAAAACTTTTATTTTGGAAAATCATAAGAAAGATTTTAAAAGCTTATTACATACTTTGCCTGGAAGTCAAAAGATATATATATATTTATTTATTTATGTAAGAGGAAATGTATTGTTCCAAACCTAAATGGGCTGAAAGGATGCTTAAAGTAAGCCTCTTCAATTGTTAAAAATACAAACATTTTAGAATGTAATCTTTCAAATTGGTCCATGGTTAATTTACGTAAGAAATATAGTTATACATGATTTGCTTACGATTAAATTAAACTTCTTTAGAAGTTATAATTAGATTGTTTAAAAAAAAACAATATGATTGTGTGCAGTATATGTTTGTTAAATTTGTTTTGTTTAATTGTATTGCAATAAATGTTAAACTATATTGATTTTTATACTTTTGTCTGAATTGTATATTATATTGACGTTGCATGCATGCGACAGGCATTGGTAATTTGTAATACAAAAGCATGTCAACTAGATGTCAAAATGATTTTGTTAATGTATGTGTAAATATTTACAACATATGAAAAGTATTAAGAACTAGCACTTACAGTTGTATCTTTCATGCCGGATAATGGTTTCCACATCAAACTCTTGTTCATATGTATCTAAATGTCCGGAATCTAGGTCCCCAGTACGTATAATAATCTGACCTTTACTCGAATCCCTGTCATTAATTAAATGAACGTTTAGAGTAATTGTGTATAATCATAATGACTAGTTATCATAACAATGCTTACATTTAAAGTCAAATGACGCTATTAAAACCAAAATTGCTGAGCAAACAACATGGAAAATAAGAGGAAAACCCTACCTGAAACAATGTGCAGCACTAAGAATCCAATATTCTCCAATTATAGTGCCACCACAGTGGTGTAAATGATAGCCTAAGAAACCAGACAACCGTCGCCGTATTCCCGCTTGCCATGGATACATCCCGTAAGAAGCCTTTGTCCCGCCGTAAATCCTACCCATCTTTCGGTATGGCAAATAGTCTAAGCCGTAAGATTCATCTGGTTCCGTAACATCTCTACGGTCTCGGTCGTTTTCAAGAGGACGAAGACCACAACTCTGGTTAAAACTAAAGCCTCCTTAAATACAAAAGCAAAGACTCAAATCTGTGCAATACATGATTTTTTTTTATAAAGACGGATGGTTATTCTAAATACAAACTATACATGTATATGCAACTTATGGTGAGTAAAAGACTTTATCAAAACGAGACAATAAACGGCAAAAGTAAGCACTATTTTTTAAGTTTATTCACAAAATGTGACGTAACGCCTGCTAAATCATGATTCATTTTTAGAAGCAGTGATCATGTGAATCTTATATCCTGCTTGACAAGCACCGAGATGCAACTTGCGGCCACCATTCAACAAGAAACATCCTCCCTAAAGTCTTTACAACATGTATAAAGAAAATCTTAATCTAAAATGTCTACAATTTTATCTTAGTAGATGTCAGTCTATTAAAAAAAAAAACAAGACAAAAATCATCACAAACCAGCACATTTTGAGATGTTACAGTACTCCCATCTTTCATTAACATCAGTTGTGTAACACCAGGGTGTTACGTCACCATCTGGTGCCCTGCAATAGTTAGCTGCCGCATCCACACTTCCATCCGCGAACTGATCGTCAGTATGATATTTATGCTGATGAGGGATATCCAAGGACCATCTTTGACACGTGTGACCGGAAGTAGTTTTTAATGTGTGCCCAGTATACTTTGACGCAACTGAGAAGCAGTTCACTGAAAGTTGATAAAAATTTTAAATTCAGCTATATGTACTTGTTTTTTTTTAAGATCACAGAACAAAATTGTACTGAAATTACTGAAAAAACGATTGTAACTGTTTTTTGTTTGTATTTTGTTGTTTGTTTGTTGTTTTTTTTTTTTTTGGGGGGGGGGGGATGTCTGATTTCAGGCAAAATAATTTTACGTGGTCGTGGTATAATGCATATTGGTTACACCAAACTTCATAGTTAACTCATTGAAAAGTCCTTGCGTCGTTTTCATTTCTTCAAAAGATGTCATTCATTTGATTATTTATGATACAAATTTATCTGGATTATATAATTAATAAGCAACAGCTTCAGAATAGAACCCTTTATTCTGAGGTACATTTATTTCTGGTTGTCAAGTAGTCGGTAGTAACAAATCCCTGTTTCCTTTGGAGCAATAGACGAATTACCAAACTCGGTATGGTTCTAACAATTTATTTTCAATTTTACCTATATACATGTACCTTTAAAATGCTCTAAGCTTACCTTTACATTTAGGAACTTTGCAATATTGCCATCGTTCATCTGGGTGTGTTGTGTAACACCAAGGTACACTGTCTCCATCTGGAGATCTACAGTAGTTCTTTGCTGCCATCACAGACCCGTCAGGAAACGCGGAGTCATCATGATGTTTGTGCTTGTGTGGCGAGTTCAAATGCCAAGATTGACACTCAAAACCAAGTTCTGTTACGGCTTTCTTGCCAGTGTATGGAGCACCAGGGCTAAGACAATCTACCAAATGAATTAATACGTCCAGAATCGTAAATTCAAACTATTGATTAATTTAGTACATCTTACTTTATTGAAGTATTTATCAATACCTGATGCCCTCAAGAGATTCAGCATAAGGTCGTCGTTCCTTGTCACTTTTTTATTGGTATTTTCAATCTGTACGTTTTATTTCTAATGTTTTAGGACATTTAGTTATAACGGTCAGTGCTAATACCTTAGAAAGGTAAAGTTTAGCTGCAGCTACAATGTATTTCAAATTGCAACAAACGAACAAAAGCAAAAACGGAACACTATAAAGCATTAGTTGAAATAGTTATATAAGTCTAAAACAAACCGGAATTCTCAGGAGACGGTGAAGGTGATTGTGTGACACCTATAGTAGTAGAAGGAGGAGTAGTGGTGGAGGTGGTCACTTCCGCCGTGTCATCTGCTTGTCTACATGTCACTGCAGCGTCTTCTTTATGCTCACAATTATGTACAAGCCAATCCGAGTGTCCACAAAGTTCTATGGATAGCTCGTCTCCCTTACACTGGACGTCGTCTAAAAATATTGCCATATTAGCATCTCCAGGACCAAAATAATCTCCTGTCAATGCCTTTCCGTCCCTTAAAAAAACCACAAAACAAATATATTGATACACGTCTAAATATGCATGAATCCGATACGTTCCTGGAATGTTTAATTAAATATTTCTGAAGTGATAACTGTTGGCATTTTATTAACGCCCTGTAAAACGGTGCCGTTACCATAAACGATTATTGTAACCTAATCTTTGCAATTATTTTAATTTCTATTAACGACAATCAGCAAATGTTTAAGAGAATAGTGAAATTTTCAGTAGATATTTTCTTTACCGAAATCCAAGCATTCTACAAATAACGGTAGCATCTTCATCGTCCCAGCTATCATCACAAATGGTTCCCTTCTCGTTGTGCCTTGTCAGTATCACTCGACCACTATGATCGGTACCATCTTCAAGTTCCACAGTTATCACTTTAATATATGTAAGTATATCTTGATCAAATATTGATAAGTAGGATATAACACTTTTTTCAAATTATTATGACATCAAGCTTATAATCATAATAAAGATTTATAATGGTATCACAAGAACAATATAATTATAAAGAATTATTATCATATATATGCATTTTCTTTTACTGATCTGTTACATATTAAGATGTATTTTTTATGTTACCATCATCAATGGTTGCGCAAATAACACCCACATCTTCATCATGTCCACAGTTTTGATCACGTGGTCCATAGTGCGGACATGTTATAATGTCAGTCTCATTTCCAATACATTTAACATCATCCATCCAAATAGTCCCATTGCCAGCTCCAAATATAGAATCTTTAACTGGAGTTCCCAGGCTGAAATGTTAATTTAACATTGTGCCGTTTAGCAAATTCCATATACAAAATGTATATGAATATTATTTTCACATAATATCGGCCAAGAAAGTTTTTATTTTCAGAATAGAAACTGGATTAAAATGACTTGTCTCAAGCCGTCATGTATCATTAACCAGAAGCTATTGGTTTCAGCTAACTTATTTCTGGTTCTATTTAGTTCGACAAGGCCTTTTTCGGTTGGGGATTGTAATTGCTTGACAACACGCTTTTTTTTTCGGACGAGGTCCGTCTAAAACGGCTTGACTTCCTGTAAAATTTAAGGGGAAGATTTGAATATAAACATATTTTCATTGGTCATGAATTACAAATTGAAGTTACTAAAATAACATAAAGGATCTTGCTGAAACATATACCGACACCTTAAAAATGATCTAAAAAGTTACACTTCTCGGATAGTTAAGATCAGTACCAAATTTAAGACTGCTTTAAGAAAATAATTATTAATTCTTTAAGAATAAACCACGGAGCTGTAATAAAAGTCTCTGATTTAATTTCGTTAAATCTCTAGTATATGACAAGTTTGGTCCGTTAATAACGCTCACGATCCGAAAATACCAAATTCTGGAATTCTCGGTAGATTATATGTCCAGTGTCCAATGATATTATATGATATTTAATGTAGTCACTTGATATGAATCTCCACATATTCGCATATTAATGAAGTATACATGAACTTGAATACGCCAGTGTAACTTGGTAAACATACCGAAACACGACATAAAATCAGCCTAAAGTACAGATCACTTCATATTGATTTGGGGCCGGATTGACTAATTTGGAGCCAGATCGACATGGGACAGGATTTACTTGGGGCCGGGTTTACTTGGGACCGTGTTGACTTGCACCGCTACAGCAACAGTGACATAGGCATCAGTAAATATCCTTATTTAAAGGATAATATGATACTGAAAGTACGAGTCAGTTAAAAATACAAATGACCTAATACTGACCTATATCCAAGCATATTGCAGACGACATTTGCATCTTCATCTTCAAAATAATCATCACAGATGGTACCTCTTATACCGTTGAGAATTAACTCAACTCGCCCCTCTGCTGGGGATTCACCCCCAATTAGCTCAATTATAGAATCTAAAAAATATAATACCCCCAATTAGCTTAATTATAGAATCTAAAAATATAATATAATCACTTTTTCTTGAAAAGCTGTCTCAATTTCTTTTGCCTTTCTTTCTTACTTTTGAAACAATTAATTCATTTAAAAAGTTTGTAACCCTAGAAAAGACTGATGACAAAATAAAACTGTGTTAATGTAAATTTATGTTAATCAGATTAATCCAAAATCGGCCGAATATTAAACTTCAGTTCGAATTATTTTATTTAACGTTTTGAAACCATTTTCTTCTCAATGTTTGTTTCGTTGAAGTATCTATCATGCAACATCCACTTTTCGTCGACAATAATCACGGAATGTAGAAAAGGACTTTTTAATTTTTCAAAAATCTTTAAAGTCTCACTATGGCTCAGAAATGCATTTTCATTTCTCAAAAACTTTCTATTTTTGATATCTTCTTGCAGTTTCTGAAAAACAAGTATACTAATTTGCCTTATAGATGAACTACCTTCTACTGCTTCTTTTGCTTATAATTATAGTGAATTGAGTATTTTGTATGGTAGTCAAAATACTACTTTGGTTACAATTTGCTACCTTTTCGAATTTACCGCACATTCAGCGCTACTTTCTTCAGCTGTTAAACAGTTAACATGCTCCAAATCAATTATTTAAGCATTATTTAACACATGTTTGACATTTCTAAAGAATTGGCATTATCAATTTCCCAAGTTAACTTACTACATGTTTTTTCGTCTGCACAGTCCGTGCAATTGCATGTTCCATCACAAACTTTGTTCAGAGATATGCAGCTCGAGTCGGCTTTACAAAAAAATTCTTTGTCAGCATCACATGTAGAATCTGTTCAATAATAGGAATAACAAACGTCTATACAATACTTAATTGATATTGGATATTTTGTCACATGTGTAAGTTAAATTATTTTCATTCATTTAAAATATGTATAATATATGTACGAAGATATAAATAACTTAAAATCAAACATTTTCATACATGAATCTCTGTCTCTAAATAAACAATTACGTTATAATACAATGTTTCGATTCACGAGTTGTTCAAGTACGAGGGTAAGTCAATATTCTCTGCAATATGACTGTCATGCAGAAAGTATATATCTAGGCATCCATACCAGTCGAAGGACGAACTTTATTGAAGTGTTATTTCTTAACAGTCATCTCTATAGTATTTTGATGTGACAGAACGGCCTCTAGAAACAGGAATTTGGACATCAGTTTCACGGATATTGTGAAACATCGAAACAACGACTCCTGTTAATGTTAAAGGCTTACCTTTCTTTTCGGAGCATTTGGCAGACGCTATTTCCCAGATGTAGCAGTCATGTTTCTTCCAGCCAGTGTGCTCACATTGTTCTATTGATGTTTCATTTCCTGTACATGCTACCTCGTCCAGTAAAATGTTACCCTCACCACTGCCGTAGTAAGATCTAGCAAGAGCTTCCGAAGGTCTGAAACAAATGCTATAAAATTATTCGGAACTTCGTTAAAATGATGTACTAGTTATTTTAAAGATAAAATTTAATTTTAGTAACAATGTAGCACCAAACAATATTTAAATAGTGCATATCTGATGTCAAGAACTGATGAGAAATATATTAATCTAAAACAGACGATATTTACCCGTTGAATCCCAACATATGACAGACGACAGTTGCATCATTTTCATCCCAATTATCGTCACATATGGTACCCCATTCTCCCTTGTATAAAACTTCGACCCGTCCAGCAAGTTTGGTACCACCTTTTAATCTTACAGCAACAGGTTCATCTCTACCTACAAAGGATAAATTATGATTATTTGACACAAATAAAAGTTCTCGCGGTGGAGACCAATATTCATATAAAATTTCTCTCGGTGGAGACGCAATATCATGAATATTCATATCAAAGTTGCTTTTGTGATAAAAATGGCCTCAAGTGGAACAGATACAGCAGCGTAAAGCAATTATTGTCAGTTTTCTTTTTGTAGTTTCTTTTATTATAAAAATGTCAAACATGTACAATAATTCAGGACAAAGTAAAATTATTCAATACCAATTGTATATTACAAAATACGATATTCTCTCATAACATTATTTAGGACCCATATTGTCAGTCGCGGCTCAGGCATATATAACATCATCGACGGATACCCACGGTTAACCCTAAATACATGTTATGTTATATGTTTTAACTAACCGAGGGTATCCGACGATGATATAACAGGACTATGGCTATCATCTGCAGCACTTATAAATAGTGGAGGTTCATTTACCACAGTCCGCCTCGTCGGAAAAGTCGTCACAATCATCCGTACCGTCACATACTTTATCATTAGCCAAACAGCGGCCATTCTGACAGCGGAACAGCCCTTCACAGTCATCTGAAATACGGTAAAATAGTTTATTTTATTTACAAATATAGGTGTAATATCTATGAATATTTGTATGTGTTTCATTATCTAACTATCTGAGTACTCAAAGGTGACATTCATTTCGTCATGGATTCAATAAATATAATCAAGTTTTTAATTTCCAAACATCGATTACACGTGCAAAATGAAGAGCTTCGTGAAATTTTGATAATAATTTTTGGAATAAGATACTCTATATTATATTGAAAAAACGCGTTTACACTTAATGATACATTTTAGAGTATAATTTCGGTATAGGAACATTCTTTTAATTTTTTTATATACTGTGAAAATTCACCTATTAGATCTAAAGTAAATAGAAAATCACTTACTAAGTTGGGAAAGAAGTTCATATAAGTTTTCTCTCCTCGATTCCTTAAATCCTTCAGTTTCGCTTGTGTGATGGGATAATAAACACTCCCGGGTTCGAGCACTAAACGAGAACGATCGACAAACAAACCGTTTCGAATTCAAGCAATACCTGGCACACTAAAAAAGCGTAAGCAATAATATAACATATGTCGCATGAGGAATCTTGGTTACAAAGTTTGACTTCAATAAACCTACATACTGAAGGTTATTTATAAAACTTAGGTCCAACTTAAACCTACATTCTGAAGGTGGTTTGTGAAGCTTAGGTAAAGCTTAACCTACATTCTGAAAGTCGTTTATGAAGCTTAGGTTAAGCTTAAACCTACATACTGAAGGTCGTTAATGAAGCTTAGATAAAGCTTGAACCTATATATTAAAGGTATATTCAGGACTGATTTTGAGAATTTGGCTTTCTATAAGATGCTAGAGGCATTTTGTAGTACAAGTGGTATCTTGGTGTATTTTACCTATTTAAGGTATGCTGAATCCGATAAAGGTGGATACCAAATTGAAAAACTTGATCTTGACCATTGAAATGGCCATTTAAAATGACCACTAAAATGGCCGCCAAATTTCTTTATCATAAATGGATGATATATCAAATAAAACTTTTAAGGAAAGGAAAAGCCTGAAATTTGTCACAAAGCATGTTTAGGTAAAAACAAATTAGACATCAAAACAGAATTAAAAAAAACAAACAAAAAAAAAAACAATCCAATATGGCCGAAAATCCAAGATGGCAGATATTTTTTTTATAGTAATATAGTACTGAAAATGTTAAGGCATTTAAACATATTTAGGGTTTACGCAGCGAACACTACACTCTTTCCTGTCCTATCTGCTAGATTTTATCTGGCACTCAGATGCCTACTTATATTTCACAGCGTAAATATGTGTTAGGGGGTTAAATCGTGTGCATGCAAAATATACATTAATTAAAGGCCCCTTTTTCTGAGTACTCTTCGGTTTTGGTGTTCGTTTTTCTGTTATCAGTCGTCGTCTTCGTTCTTCTGTTATCGGTTCTCGTCGCATTTCTCTGCTGTCAGTTCTTCTGTTATATATTGCATGGTCGTGATCTTCATTATTCTGTAATCGGTCCTGGTCTCAGTTCTTTTGTTGTTAGATGTTGTGTTATCGGTTCTCGTCTCTGTTTTTCTGTAATCGGTTCTCCTCTTCGTTTTTTTCCGTTCTTCTGTCATCCGTTCTCGTTGCTATTCTTCAGTCCTGGTCTCCGTTTTCTTGTTGTCAATTATTCCCGGTCTCTGTTATCGATCCCCGTCTTCATTCTTCTGTCATCAGTCTTCGTCTATATTATTCTGTTATCGGTTCTAGTCTGTTTTTCTGTTATAAATCCTCGTCGCCGGTGTCTTGTTGTCAGTTCTTCTGTTATCGGTCCCTGTCCTGTTCTGTTTTCGGTTCTCGTCTTCGTTCTTCTCCGTTCTTCCGTCATCGGTTCTCGTCTCTTTTCTTCTGTAACCAGTCCTGGTCTCCGTTTTCTTGTTCTCAATTCTTCTGTCATCGGTTCCCGTCTCTGTTATCGATCCCCGTCTTCATTTTTCTGTCATCAGTCCTCGTCTATAGTATTCTGTTATTGGTCTTCGTCTCTTTTTTTTGTTATCAATCCTCGTCTCTGTTGTCTAGTTGTCAGTTCTTCTGTTATCGACGTCTCTGTTTGCTTGTTGTTAGTTCTTCTGTTATCGGTCCCTGTCCTGTTCTTTTGTTATCGGTCCTCGGCTCTGTTCGCTTGTTGTCAGTTCTTCTGTTATTGGTCACTGTCTCCGTTCTTCTGTTATCGGTCCTCGTCGCTGTTCCCTTGTTGCCAGTTCTTGTCTCCGTTCTTCCTTCTATTATCGGTCGTCGTCTTCGGTCTTGTACTTTCGGTACTTGTTTCCTGTTCCGTTAAGGTCTTCTCTTGTTTCTATCGTTGCTGTCATTCTGTGTCGATGTCCTGGTTTTGTCAGTCTTGTAGTCATATATTCGTTCAATGGAGTAGCGGGGGATCGAACTCACGACGCCTTGATTTGTAGGCAGACAGTGTTACCACTGCACCATAGCGCCCGCTCTGAATAATAACCATTTTTGAAAATCCTTTATACATAAAATAATATTTCAATGGCTAACAAAGGGTGTATTACAATTATATTTTAACACCTCTACTATGTAGCCAACCCACGTGACTTTTGTATATGGTCAAAGAAAATATTACTCGATTTATACCAAATAATATTTTTATAGATAACTTTGCTGTTACTTTAAGATATCCTGGAAATTTATTGGAGGGTACCCGGAATGATGTGATAATCTTCTTGTAGAATTTTTTCAAATTTTTTTTTCGAGAGCTGCCATGGTATAGCAAACAGACGTAGCAATCCCCTGGTTTCAGACATTTTATGACTCGATGAAAATATGGTGTTGTTATTGTTGTTGTTGTTTTTAACTTTAAATTTCAAAATAAATAGTCACATATTTTTAAACAAGATGGTAAACTTAAATATGCCCAAATGTCATCAAGAGCAGTTTTGCATGTGGAAGGAATGTATTTTTCAGACTGTACAGTCAAATGAAACAAAAAAATTAAGAGACGATATTACCTGATTGGTAATTTAGATGAATAGAAGTAAGTTTTCTTCTTTTTATTGCTTTTGACATTAAAGTTATTTATCAATTTCAGCTTTGCTTTTCTCGAAACAGCCTGACATTGTCAGAATTGTCAGCAAAAATAAAATTGAGGTACCACATGGGGAAAATCTTAGTCATTGAAAAGTGTGAAATTATATTTTGATAATTTTCACTGTGAAATTATCAAATATAATTTTCACGGATAAATCAGTAATCCACTAAAAAAACCTATGAAACTAATGTTAGTAAAAGCCATATCTGCTAAAAATGTAAACGTCATCGTTACTTCCGCAGTAGCACAGCCGGTTAAGTGATTGACTGATGTGTGAGAGGTCTATGGTTCGATTCCTACTGTTGCCATTTTTTAAGACCTGTTGTTTTTTGTTGTTGTTTTTTTTTGTGGGGACGCAGTATATATTTTAAAACACTTTTTGTCTCAGTTTGTGTTGTGTTTATGGCATTGACATGACACTTTTTGACATTTCAAAATAATTTTTAAATACTCATTTTAAACCATAAATACAATAAAAAGTGCAAAATATATGAAAACAAAATGAACAACTTAAAAAAATCATAGCTACAAATAATGTTGAAAATTACGGAACACCTGAAGTGACATTTTCCACACTTTCTCCCGGAATTGAATTCGTTTTTACGAGATAATAATTCCCAATTAGAAATATTATTTCTTTTTAACGAAATATAAAATATTAATTACGAAATATTGATTCGTTATTACGAAATATTATTTCGTTAGTACGAAAAATTAATTTGTTATAACGAAATATTTATTCTTTGGTAATATTTATAAACTAAGTTTATTGTTCAATATAAGTCAAGTAAACAAAACATTAAAAGTGATTTTTTTTTCAAACTGTTTATTGAGCCATTAGGCTTATAATCGCTATATTTGGTGGCCAATCTCATTAAAATCTGATCATATTGAATAATCATTTGATTTTGACAAGAATAATTAATTGCATCATATTGTATCATAGTTTTAATGACCTATTTTAGTATTTTTAAGCGGCCATTTTAAATTAACCTTTTAAATGTCAATTTTATTTTCTTGGTATCCACCCTCATCGTCTTCAGCATACCCATATTAGGTTAAAACACTCAAGATATAACTTGTACTATAAAATGCCTCTAGCATTCATATTTTCTTAAAAGCAGTCCTTTCTAGTAGTTCGTTAAGCAATTTCTTAGAAGTTACTTGTAGACCAATCCCTTTGGATTCCACCTCTTGGACTATAGTCAGTTCAAAAACATAATCGTAACCCGAATTGAATTTAAACCCACGATCCCAGTGTTCCTTTGTTGAGAGGTAAACATCTAAACCAATATGTCACCTCTTCCCTACAAATAAATTCTTAACCTGCTGTCACCAGAAGTCATTAGTCATTGTCACCAGTATAAAACCAGGTCAGCCGGCACATCTGTGGAGTCTGACCAGCTTCTATACTGTTGGCGGACTTTAAACTTCTTCTTGATATCTTCAAAATTAATAATGTACAGTTCCATAAGTAACAGCTGGACAAGTTCATTTAAAGGCCCATTTTGCCTCAGAATTGTTTTGATTTTTATTTCTCAAAAACTTCGATTTTTGAAAATGTGTTACGGTTTTCAAAAATATTCTCATTTGCCACATATATGAACTCAAGTTTGCTTCTTTTGCTCTGTTTGAAGTTTGTATACATTGTATCTACATGTATAGTGAATAAGTATTTTGCATGGAAGTCAAAATACTACTTTGTTTGCATTTTGCTACATGTTTGAGATTTCTAAAGAATTATAAAAAGATGGATTTCTGAGGCATAATGTGCCTTTAAGAAATGTTAATTTCGTGTGTGGAACAAGAACACTTACAGTCTCATTTGTTGCTCCTGCATATGTCTCAATTTGATAGCTACGAACAGTTAGTCCATTCGTCAACTTAAATAATGGTAACTGGTAATCTAAAATTACAATGTATTTGATAATAACAGATAGTCATGAATAGTAAAACTTAATTTTAATGTAATATAAAATCCTGTTATTTGTAACTGTAAATTAATTAAATCAATACATTTGTTGGATTTTTTTCTTATAAAAAGCTGTATTAAATTCATAATAAATATCATAATGCTTTCTTTTCTGAAAAGCCTTCTTTTATATTCATAATAATTAAAATCTAAGAAACATGAAATACCACAGTCCGGACCCTCGTCTTCACCATCTTTACAGTCTGGTTCCATGTCACATCGCCAGTGAACCGGAATGCAGCTGTAATATAAAGCGTATCCCTTTAAATAATTTGTAATCATGTAAAGCCGTCGATATTTTTTTCTTGAAATAAAAAGTGTAAAAAAGCTTTATAATAGTTATAATTAAAATACAAATGATTTCAACTATTTTTTATCTCTCAAAAATTATCATAGACATAAAACAAACCATAATTTGTATGACATACCGGTCTTGGCAACGGAATTCATCAGTATGGCATGTTGTATCTGATCCTACAAAACAGAAAATTCTGATTGTATACAATATAAAAACACCATTCATCATTGCGTTTGGCAAGAAATATAACATAACGACAGCAAATTCTTAGAAATAAAGACTACTGTATATACAGTGAAATCTGTCTTATTCGAACTCATCTGGACTATAAGAAAAGGATACTGGACTTCGTGGCCTTTCGCATATTTGCTGTTCGAAGCATTCTTCAATTAACAAATCATAAACTACCTTTGTAAGTGTAAACATGTATGAATGTAGGTTTAATATTTTTGCAAGGATTCAGTGAAAATTGAATAATTCCCATCTGATATCAATACCATATAATGCATGTACTATTAATAGTTGATAATCTATATAAAGTCAGTTATCGGTATATTTATACTGCTAAAAATGACAATTTTGTGAATAATTTTACCTTGTACTCCGTTTGTATTTGTTTCGAATTCATCTGCCGCTTCAGGTTCAATTCCATTGTTGATATCAATTACATTGCTATCGACTCCATTATCTGCATCAGATTCGTCGCTCGTAACAGTAACTGTGTTGTTTTCTGATTCAATCTCCAAGTCATTGCCCTTTTCTGTTTCTAAGTCATTGCCTTTATCTGTTTCTAAGTCATGAACTTTTTCTGTATCTGGCTGTTTGTCTTTTTCAGTTTCAATATATTTGTTTCCTTCAATTTCTAAATCAGTGTCTTTTTCAATGCCTAAATCATTTTCTTTCCTAGTTTCTAAGTCATTACGTCTTTCTGGTTCTAAGGTGTGGACAGTTTCAGTTGTTAAATTGCTGCCTGTGACAGTGTTTGTGTCTTTGTCCGATTCCCTTTCTCCATTGTAGCCCATAGGTCTGCTAGTTGTCCCTATTTCAGACTTCCTATAATTATCCGTGCCCCTGTTCCCTGTCTCCGAGTTTGAATTGTTACTTGTTTCAGTTTTTCTATTCTCTCCTATTTCAGAAAGAAGAATCATTTTGTTTTCGTTTTCTATATTGTTATTGTTTTCAGTTTCAGAATGGTCACTTGTTTCCGTTCCTCCATCATCATCTCTTTCGTTTTCCTTGTCGTCGTTGGATTGAACAGTTTTCTTGTCATCTGTCTCAGAATCGGCATTGTCAGTTTTGACATGACCGTCCGTTCTATCGTTACTATGTTCACTTTCGACATGTTTAATCGTTTCATAATCTCCATTATCTACTTTATGTTTTTCTTCCTTATCATCTTTTTCGGTTCGTTGCTCATTACTAGTTCCTGCAGTGGTGTCAGTTTCTTGATCTTTGTCAACAGCATCTGTTTCTATATCATGGTCTGTCAAAATGTAACTTTTATTTTCTATTTCATTTTCTTCTCCGTTTTTAGTTTTTATATCGTCATCCGTTCCGATTTCTCTCGTGTTACTACCTTCAGCTTCACTGTTTACACCTATTTCACCTTCCGCTATGCCACTAGTATCCAGTTCTTCTTCATCCCTTGATTCTGACACGATACTTCGGGAAGATTGTGTCTGGACGGTGTTTCTAATTGCATTCTGAAAGTCCGTGCCAGGTTTAGTTTCAATTATCTCAGGACCATCTTCGGCTGGACATTTCGGGATGTTACAAAATTCAAAATTTCCTTCAGATATCCAACACCATGGTGACTCGTCGCTGTCTGGATTACGACAGTGATTGTGGTCTCCTAAACCCTAAGGAAAATCATATAAATACAATTGCGTCTTTTTTCATTCAGGAATATCATTATTTAGTATTTCGTTTGAAAGTTCAAATACTACTTTGTTTACGTTTTGATACTTTATGACAAATATTTTCACATTCATTGCTACTTTCTTCACGTGATAAGCATGTCAAATGTTTTATTAAAACATTATAAAACGCATGTTTCCCTTACTTTAAAGAAGAAAACGAGTACTAATTTCTGACCGTTGATAACAATATTAAAAGAATTTCATACAGAAATTGTCATTGTCGTCCATTTGCATTTTGAATTCTTAATTTTAGATGAATATAGATTCTACATACATAAAATTATTTATTTGGATGTTTGGATCATTATCATTTTTCTCTAATAAATCATCATCAGAAGTTTACAATTAAAACACCGACAAACACATATCCAAGCATATGCAATATGCATACGAGTCGCTCATTCTTTAAGTACTGTCAATAGATATCAAGTCATAATGATAAATTACTTATTGCAATTATAACATGATATGTTAAAACGATAGAAATATCTAGATGGCTATTACAAAATTACAAACGTCAAAATGTTTGATAAGCGTCTATCCTTCATAAAAACAACAAAAAATGTATACCTTTCCAGGGTATGTCTCAGGGTTTATATCAGTAGCGTCGGTCCATTTCATGCACGGAGTACCTTTTTTAGTGAACGACGCCGAACCTCGGTAGTTTATGCCAATACCACTGTAGCAGCCTAGTTCAGAAAAAAATAACAAATTAAAATAGTACCAGGCCTATATCTTTCTTGAAGACTTAAAGGAACTCTACGGAGGTTTTATGACTAACGTGACTAGAAAAGAAATTCAACAATTTGAGGAAGGCCTGAACCACTAACTTTGCAAATACCCGGGCCATTCTGTTTTCCCGGAATTATCATTTTTATTGTGAAAATGACACAAAAATAAAAAGCGTTGCAACGCTTTTCACTCAACTCATGCTAAAAATTACCCCTTCTATCGACCGTCAATTTAATTATTTATTATCCTTTGCATAATTGTTCATTTTAAGTGCCCTACTATATTCATGTAAGAATTTCAAATTTTATGTTTCCAGGCTTTTTGACCTCAGTGGAGCTACAATATTTATAAAAAAAACCACATATTTTTTAATTAATTATTAAAATAACAAGGAGCTATAAAAATTGGATTCATAAGATCCATTTGCTTTTTTAATTTTTACTGATTTTTTTGTCTCAGGTTAATATATTCCAACTATGTCCTCAACTTTGTTTATTCTAATTGAGATCTATCTCTATCATAGTGTATATATATTAATACTGTCAGTGCTACTTTCAAATACATACCAACATCCGTCCATTCCGGTGCCCTTTCACAGATGTATCGAAACCCTGAACTAAGACGCTTCTTAGTGCTTGAACATCGGTCGTTTAGCCAAAAGTGATAACCTACACTGACGTCACTTCCGTTTGGATGTTTAAATGTATTCGAAAGATACAGACAGCGTTCCTTCTTTTTGCCGGTAGGTTCTGCTTGGTATCTCCCTGGTAGCCAGCCTGAAAGAATGAGGTTGTTATACATTGTGGAGTACAATATTAAATTCTATTGGACGAGTACAAAGCTTTTAAATCTTTATTGCACGAGGTACTAGCTCAGGTCAATAAAGATTTTGCAGCTGTGTATGAATCCAATAGAAATGTGGCAGAGCTTTGTAACTTCTAGTACAATTAAGTAAGGATTAGATTAATTTTTGACTCAGAAAATGAAAACGAGGCTAGACGGATTACAATAGTGATTTGATATGGATTTTTGGACTTTAAAAATGAAGCTAATGAGAGTAAAATTTTGACTTGATGTGGAATTTTGGACTCTAATCAAAGGGTACAGATGGGCTAACTATCAGTTACTTTATGTTTCATTCAACATAATATGTAACGAAAATGTGTCTATCAACAGACTGATAATCATGGAAGTTATGAAATGGAATGTGGGAACGTCTGCTTCCATTTGATAACGTGAAGATTATCCGAGAATAACGTGCGTTTTTATACAATCCTATACACGAGGTCATAGAACCCTTAACAGAAATTTTTAAAACTAATATTATAAAAGAAAATTAGTATCGTACTCACATACACAGACTTTTTCTTTAAAAAAGGGATCACTATTATTATTGTCATTCGAGTGTAAGACAAAGATTAATTCATACCGGGAAACCAACTGAATTCTTCTATTGGAACCTGTCTGGTCATTTTGGTGCCTTTATCATTATTTTCTGTTGATACCTTCTCCCACAGCCACTTGCCGCCAACCTTGATCCCGCCGGTAAGTATCGGACCTATAGGATAATAGAAGAAAACAAGCCCTTGAATCGTTTTGTAGTACATGCGCTGTTGGACTTTTTGCTTTCATGAACTATTTCGAGGACATGAATTATTGTCATTTTTTTTTTAGATCAACTGAGCGAAGCATTTTAGAGGCCTACCTGAAGATTCGTTCCAGAAAGCATGTGAGATGAAGTGATTTTCGCTCGCCGTTTCTATATTTATCAGATGTCCTCCACGTGCCGCGCATTTTTTGACAGCGAACTCTCGTCTGGTAACAGTGTTAGGTAAAATCTGATAACATCCTGTAGGACCGGTTACCCATCCATCTGGACAACCTGAAACAGAACAATTAGTTCTGATTTCCAAAACTTTACATATGCCTATATTTTAACCATTTTTTTTCTTTCGTCTGATGCGGCATTAATTAAACGAAGTAGAAGTAGACGTCCTGTCACAGTATAAAAACGCCGAAAACCTTAAGCTACGTACAGTACGATATAAGATTTATATGGCAGAAAGAAGATGTAAGAAAGAAAATTTAAAAGAATCCTTTCCATTTCCATTGCAATAATTAAAATCACATTCTAACCGTTCCATTATTTTAATATAATTACTAGTACATTTGATAATCTGAAATAGGACAATGGCATATATTATGTTTGTTCAAAACCTCCCATAGAAACTGGGTTTGTTAATATCTGAACATTAAGAGTATATTGCATATATGGATTTCACTTATGTTAAGTTTTTCACGATTAGATACTCGTACTCGTACTAAATAAAATTTCCAACCTTTCAATTACACACAATGCATCAAGATATGATGACTAATTTCTGCTACATTATTTTATTACAATCAGTGTTTCTCATACCATCATTAAGCTCACATTCTACACCGGCAGCTTTTTCTGTACCACATTCCTCTGGTCTTTCCCAGTTACATTCAATGACGTTCTGCGCACGTGCGTCACATTCGACCTCGTCCATGACGTATTTACTCGCCTTGCCAAGTTTACCACCTGTTGTTGCTCTAATTGCTCCTCTGTGGAAATTATGCAAGAAAAATTTTGACTTAATTTTAAAATATTAATTTTATTCTAAGTATATGTTAGTGTTCTACAGAAATTAGAAACTTCGATAGTGACAGGAGAATGTTTCTTATTTCTGTAGAACAGCAAGGATGAATACTAACATACTTAGTGTCAAGCTTTATTTGGCCTCATTATCATTCACTTTATTACATCACTATGCGGTTCTATAAAGAACTATGAAAAATAGAAGGCGACTTTGAACGGTATTCGATGTAGTATCGGCTTTTGTTCTTTTATGAAAATTAACGCACAGAATTTTTAAGAAATACAGCGTTTTCATTGGATGACAAATAAAGTTGGACACTAATGTAAATTAAAGTTAAGAATGGACGAGTTATGTTGGTGCATTACTCCCGTCTCTTCTGCCATGATTCTTGAATCCACTGAAAAGTTAGGATAATGTTTTTCTTACTGAGGTGACAAGGAGATTGCATATTGCATTATTCTAAGGAGTTACAGTGCGATCAGTGATCACATGTGTCGCCTGATGAAAGCAAATGAGATGTGATTGTCACTGCTGCTTTGTAGTATGGCTCAACTACTGTGTAGCAAGAGACGCAAAAAATCATTTATAATTAAAAGCATTTGTTTTTTACTGATGGGAGATAACTCAGCAAAAAAACATTCATCCGGAAAACCAAGTTAATTTGGGCAAGTACATGATCAATCCTGTAAAGTTTCACTCAAATTGCATTAGGTGTATAAGAAAAGTTGTTTTTTAAAATAAAATTTTGAAAATTGAAAATAATTAAAGGGCCATAACTCTGACAAAACCATTGAACTAGAAAATACTGACGATATGCACTGTTACTGATTATTCCTGATTGTTTGAATGAAATTGCACCAGATGTTTTTTTGGGAGTCCAGACACAGGGACGGACAGACAAACGACGGAGAAGTGATCCCTATTATGTCGCCGCTATTCTGTTGTAGGCAACACAAAAACCAATGATGTAAGACAATAACTTTTTATCATTCTGGCACAATATGTCAAACCAACAATTTTAATTTTGACTTATAGAAAATGATTTATTGTAAAATACAATGTATTTTAATTATTTCTAAATAAGTTTTAAATAGAAATACCCAAGACCTATCATTCTGTTTAATGTCAAACCATGAAGTTCCACAATATAGTTTTAATCATAGAGCATACCGTAGAAATCCAATCTGCTTGCAGACGACATCAGCGTTCCGTAAATCCCAACCGTTATCACAAATTGCGCCATATTTGCCTCGTAGAAATACTTCCACACGACCACTCCCGATATTACCTCCCTCAAAATGTGATAACCTATTGACAAAATTTGCATACTAGATCTGTTCGCAGATTTAAGAAAACAAGCTAAAATTTTCAAAATCTTTTTCTTTTAAAAACATAGTAAAACTCCCCCCAAAAAATTTTCCCCCAGCCAAAGCAAAATAAACGATTTCTATAAAATAAATTATTAATATACAAATATTATCTTGTAGCTGGAAACTTTAAAAACAGTTTTAAAATGTTTTATTTCTTTAAATTTTTTTTCTGAAAAACTTATGACGGTTCATACGATGGTTTAAACATTTTTATTTAAGTCTTGCGAAAAAGTTTTTGCAACTTTATTAACATTTCGAGTCCGTTTCCTGGAACAACCATACTCCAACCCTTTTCTTATGGAGAAAAGGGTCGTGACCGATGGTCGAAAATTTATTCGGGGGTTAAAGCAAACCCTTTAAACCTTGGGCCACGCTCCCCATACATGGAGCATAAAGCACAAATATATATGCTATACCGTTTTTTGTTTTTTTTTTAAAAAAGGGGGGGGGGGGGTATGTCCAACTCAACTAACATTTATGGGGATTTTGTTCGTCGAAAAGGCATTTTTGGGGTTAAAAAATTCAAATTTCCCGCTTTTACTGCCCGGCCCCGGGAAAATTTTCTTTAATTTTTTTTGAAGGGACTAAAAATTTTTTTGTTTAATTATTTGTTTTAAAATTTTAAAATCATAAACTTTGAATTGTCTAGCTTTATAAAAAAATTTAGCAAAGCAATGTTCCTAATTTTTGATTTAGGGGGAGCCCTGAATTTTTTTGAAAAGCCCAGAAGTCCCTCCTGTAGAATTTTAAAACTCCCCCCCTTTTGTTAAAAAGAGAGCAAATCCCTTTTAAAAGCTACATCCAATTGCTCGATACCTTTTTACGGGTGCCCTTTCGGCCATTAGAAGTCGCCGTCCGCTAAGGGGTAGACACACAAATGCGAAAGGACATCGCGACAATGCGAAGCGACGCTCGACAACGCGAAGCGATATGCGACAATGCGAAGCGACGCTCGACAGTGTCAAACGATATGTCGCACTGTCGCCTAGAAATGTCGCGGTAAAAAAAGGGCGACATTTAAGAAATGTCGCTTCGCGTTGTCGAGTGTCGCTTCGCATTGTCGAGCGTCGCTTCGCGTTGTCGCGATGTCACTTCGCGTTGTCGCGATGTCACTTCGCGTTGTCGCATTGTCACTTCGCATTGTCGAGTGTCGAGGTTGGTAGAAGTGCATACCACGACACTCGACAATGCGAAACGACAACGCGACAAATGCGATACGACGCTCGACAATGCGAAGTGACACTCGACATCGCGAAGCGACATTTTTAAAATGTCGAGTAAATGTCGCGTTATTTTTATGATTTTTACACCGCGACGCTCAACATTGCGAAGCGACAGTCGACAATGCGAAGCGACACTCGACAACGCGAAGCGATACTCGACAACGCGAAGCGACACTCGACAATGCGAAGCGACATTTGGAATAATATCGTATCGCATTGTCGTGCGTCTACCGGTGCTTTGGTCAGAATTTACTAACTCACCGACAAACGGTGCGATCATGGAAGGGTCGCACTAAACTGCTGACGAATTAGCTGACGATATAGAATATATAGGAAACTGCTGACCAGTTAAACAAAGAAGGATTATCGAAAACTGCTGACCAGTTACACAAAGAAGGGAAACATTGAAGGTGTCAAATTGCCGTTGGTGATATTACAGGCGAGGTCGAGAAATACTTGATAAAATGTTTTTTCAAGATGTCAATATTACAAATGATACATATTAATTATAAAAAATTCAATTGATATATACTGTATATTTTTCAATTTATTTTGATATAATATTTTATTTAAGTACCTTAATGAATTTTCTTCAACGTGTTATATATTGGTTAAAATTTTAAAAATGTAGTCAAAATATGATGTACGAAAAATCATAATTTGTTTCAAGTATGTATAAAACTTTAATACACTTGTTACTATATATAGTAACAAAATTGCCTATGATTTCAACTGATTATGAGTGTCACGTGACCTATTATGAGTTTGCGGCCCGGGGCCGAAACTAGTTATCAGCCCGCAGAACATGTACACGTGCACAAACTGAAACAATGACGTCATATTTTACGTCATCAAACAGTTAACTGTAAAATTGAAAGTAGGTTGTCAGCACGAATCGCTTTATTTTTATTATGAGAGCTTAAGCGTATTTAGTACAAACACATTTTTGTTACTATTGAAATTTGAAGAAATAATACGACAAATTTATTCCGAAAAAAATGAAAATAAAACTTGCTTCTAGATTCTACTGCTTTGAACACACAAACAGTAAACATCTCTGTACAGAACAGTAGAAGAGTAGACAAGAATTTCAACGAAAGAACTTTGTTTGTTTTTTTTTTTCTTTTCTTTTTTTAAATGCTACTATTAGATCATCCAAGTGTATTAAAGACATTAATACACGTCAGAGTAGGGCCGGAAGGTGATAATCGGCCCTAAATGAATAATGGCCCTCGGGCTAAAGCCCTCGGGTCCATTATTCATTTTGCGGGCCGATTATCACCTTCCGGCCCTCACCTGCCGTGTATTAACCTCTTAATGCATCATAGGTTAAAATATATACAGTAAAAACCCTCAATTAAGACCACCATCGGGACTGGACCAAAGTGGTCTTAATTGCGGGGTGGTCTTAATTGTGGATATTCTTATCATTGCTTACACACGATATGACCAGGGCCTATTTTAGTCATTTTGTATGAACAAACAATATGTATCTTAACCTGCAAATACAATATAAAAGTATATATTTTATAATGTTACATCTGATGGGAAGAAAACATATTTCTGAAGGAAATTTAATATCAAATTTTCTATTTTTCTGATTCAATAATAATTATTTGTAATAAAATCAATATCTCATGACTTTTATTTTCCACAAAAACAATGTGCATAAAGCAACATTAAACCACTCTCACCGTTTTCATTAAATCCCATAAATAACAGCTTTTTGACACCTTTGTTAAATCCCAGTGTCATGAAAAAACAAGCAGATAATAACAACATAACACACATTAAGATTAGAAGTGTTGATTTTAATATCATGGTCTCTACATAGCGAATAATAAAGAAAAAATAGGAATTGGGATGAATTATGTGGTCTTTAAATGTGATAAGTGAGGGGTTTGAATTAATTTGGATCAAATAACCATTGAAAATAAAGAAAGAAAATTTTCGTTCTTTTGAAAAACTGTCTTAAAAGCGGGGTGGTTAAATCGAGTGGTCTTAGTAGGGATTCTACGTAATTTAATATACGTAATGTGTATTTTAACAAAAATAATTATTAAAATGTATTTTAGTAAAAAGTGGGTTTTTATCAACACCCGTCCCTTTTTTGCGACTGAAAATGGGTTTTTGCACGGCCGGCATTATTTTACGTGGGATCATTAGCTTTATAAAAATAGTGTAAGGCCTAATTTGGTTAACTAAGGCGCGTAAAATTGAAAAATGACTTTATTTTCCTTTAAACGGTCTTTTTTTTTGGGTATGTAAAAAGAATAAAATTCTGTAAAATTAGGAATTTTTGCACTCGTTAAATAAAATAAATTAGTTGAGACCCGCTTTTAATAAATTTTATTCAACTCGTGCAATAAAATTCAGATTTGAACTTACACTCATTAAATCCTCTTTTTCGTTTCCCCTTATTTGTTTTTGGATAATTGTATAAAAATTAACAAAAAAAAAAGTGCTAATTTTAATTAAAAGTTTTAATTAATTAAAACAAATTTTCCACAAACCATTAAACTGATAATTTATCGAGATCGATATGCCCCAAGGTCATATTAAAATCGATTTCACACGCGACGTGTCATTCTTGATTTATCTATGACAAAATACAATAAACAGTCAAAAATATGTTATTAAAATGCTGACCATATTGTAGAATCTGCTGAAAAGTTAGATATTAAAACAAATTATCATCCTAGGACAGTAACAGAGATAGTGATGACGTAAACAATCAAAACAAACGAAAGAAACAACGTACTGTCCTAGGATGATAATTTGGTCTTAACGGTACATGGGAAAGTCCAAAAACGGGTTATCTGGATTATTATCCGATATCGTAAAAGTAAACACTTACAAATACTATATAGCATTATTCTTACAGTATCGTTTGCGTATTACCGTTATGGTTCTGTCGGTAGATCGAAATTATTTGTAACTTTTAGAGTTTTGTTCTCATAGGTTCGAACCCCAAGTAGTGCCATTTTATAACCACAGGTTTTTCTTCTTGCTCTGTTTTTTTTATCATTATAATTATTCATTTATTTTCGTTTTCCTTTTTGTTTTCTTCTTATGATATATATTCTATAGTATATATTTATTTTTTATTTCTATTCTTTTTTCTTTTTGTATTTTTTGATCACAGTGAAATAAAATATTCGATCTCATATTCATGTATGCATAAAACCGGTCAAACAATTGACTGTTCTGAGGTAAAAAAAAAATGTACCAGTAGTCGAACTTCTGTCTGTACGGATAAACTCATTACTGACACGGTTGCTCTACCTGCTGCGCTAACAAGACATATGATAACATGTAGTTTTATTTTCATTTTTATAGATTGTGCATTGATCTGCCTAACCTATTTTTCGCATTGTTATTGGTCTTTGTTATGTAAACAAAGGCTCAAGTTATCATCCTAGGACAGTAGTGACATATTTGTATACGATACACCAACAGTAAGTAAAATAAATAGTGAAATGAGTACTAATGGAACTTTTCAACAATCATTTACTGGGCAATTATTGCAGTCACCTCCGTATCAGTATAATCAACAATATCTTGGTCCACTACCGCCAGGTACACCAATGATGAAATCAAGGTACAAACCAAACTCCACCATGGGCTATAGCTATGATGGAAACTATGAACTCCCGTCTTGATAAGATCGACTCCCGACTTGATAAAATTGACAATATTGAAAAAGTAGTAA